ATAAATTAAATGCATATGATGAAAAGGAAAATAGGTATACATATTCATTAAGCTTTAATAACCAAGGGAGCTGCTAGTAACCCAAGTTATGAGAAATTAAACACAGAACATTATTTTTATCTATAGAGTGTCCCTGTAATTTCAAAGAGTGTGAAATTGGCTGAGATTAGGAGACTTGGTGGCAGAGGGAATAGGATGATGGGAGATTCTCTAAATTCCATGTTCTCACTCACATTACTGTGCTAGCATCTTTCACAAGCCAAAGAGAGAGGAAGGTAAATGGAATATAACAGCAGCAATCCACAGCATCTTCCACTTAATTCAATCATAGGCTAATTAAATAAAAAACATCAGGAACCAAAATCATTTGAATTAAAAATGAATACAGCTTCCACCCTTTATTTGATTTGTCCTAGGAAGAAATAACTGGATAATTCAATCACTGACTTAGAAAGTTGCCATAATTATTACAATAATAAGGAAGGGCAAAATCTGAATGAGATAATAGAAGAAAGAGCCCAAGGCAGACCCATGATAGTGGAAGATGGCTTGTCGCTAAGAGTTGTACTATTCAGACATTGTTATTGATATTTTAAGCACTACCGTGTGTAAGTATATGCACTCTGTGGTCATGTGGATAACCAAATCAGCCACTTATTTCAGCTGAAAAGATGGGAATAGACTCAACAGAAAAAAGATGGAAGGCTTTGTATTCTGTGATCTGCTTTTGCTGTTATCTATTTCTGGGCTATTAAATCAGGAGTTGTCAGCAATATTCTTCACAGACTCCCCACATTACAATATGTATTGGTGTTTGAGAGTCCTGGAAATTGAGTTTGAATTCGTAGTAGGTATTCAAATGTGTGGATGTTTAGCTGCAATAGGTCAATGCTTTTTAGTGTAGAAAATAGTTTCATCTAATGGGATTTTTCACTCTATTTTCCAGGAAGACCAGTATTCTCTGATTGCAACTAGGACAGAAATGCCAAACTCACTGCTTTCTTTCTAGAATTTTGTGACTTCTGCTTCCTGTCCCAGCTGAATCAAGAAGTCTGAGACTACCTAAAAATCAAAACTTCTTGATTTAAACAAAAACCCTATCATTAACCTAGGTAGCTGTAGGAGAGAATGCAGGCAGAAGCCCAGCAGCAGAGTGGGGGCTATCCTGTTCATTGCACTCGGTGTAGCATATATGATTACCTGCCCTGTGGCCGGGTGGCATATGTGTGCATTCGGTGCAAGGAGCTCCTGACCCTCAGAGACCATGTACGGGCTTTGGAGGTCAGGGTGGTGGACCTGAAAAGTGGAGCTAAGGGAGGCAGAGAGGTATGTTGATGAGGTTTTCCGGGATACTGTAGATTTGTACCACCTCCTGTCAGAGAGCCCCTACGCTGTTAAGGAGGATGAAAGGCCCAGAGAAGGAGTGCAATCAATGGGAGCAGAGGGAAACTTTCCCATAGTTGGGATCCTCCTTCCAGATGATGTTGGGGTATCCTCTCACACTGAGGTTACTTCTCCGGGGCAGGGAACTCCAGTCATTAGAAAGAGGCAGGTGTTAGTAATGGGAGATTTGATCATTAGAACCATAGATAGCTGGGTTTGTGATGACCAGGAGAACCATATGGGGACTTGCCTGCCTGATGCGAAGGTTGCGGATCTCTCGAGGCATCTAGATAGACTTATGAGTAGTGCTGGGGAGGATCCGGTGGTCATGGTACATGTAGGTACCAATGACATAGAGAAGGGTAGGAGAGACATCCTGGAGGCTAAATTTAGGCTGCTAGGAAAGAGACTGAAATCCAAGACCTCTATGGTGGCATTCTCAGAAATGCTTTCAGTTCCATGCGCAGGGCCAGGTAGGCAGGCAGAACTTCAGAGTCTCAATGTGTGGATGAGACGCTGGTGTAGAGAGGAGGGGTTTAGATTTATTAGGAACTGAGGAAACTTTTGGGATGGGGGAGCCTATACGGGAAGGATGGGCTCCACCTAAACCAAAGTGGATCCAGACTGCTGGCACTTAACATTAAAAAGGTTGCAGAGCAGTTTTTAAACTAAGAGATGGGGGAAAGCAGATTGCTGCAGAGGCGCACGTGGATCAGACAGAGAGTTCTCTTGGAGGAGAGTCTATTGATAGAGATTCTCTAGGTTTTGGTCAGGAGGAGAGGATGGAAGAAGATAAAGTATGGGCCAGATCAGACGAGAAACATTCATATAAAGAATCAGACACATCACAAAAGGACAGACAAATAAACAGTGACACGTTTTTAAAGTGCTTGTACACAAATGCTAGAAGTCTAAATGATAAGGTGGGTGAATTAGAGTGCCTCGTGTTAAAGGAGGATTTTGATATAATAGGCATCACAGAAACCTGGTGGAGTGAGGACAATCAATGGGATACAATCATTCCGGGGTACAAAATATTTTGGAAGGACAGAACAGGTCGTGCGGGGGGGAGGGGGAGTGGCACTCTATGTGAAAGAAAATGTAGAATCAAATGAAATAAAAATTTTAAATGAATCCACATGGTCCATAGAATCTCTATGGATAGTAATTCCTTGCTCTAATAAGAGTATAACATTGGGATCTATTATCGACCACCTGACCAGGACAGTGATAGTGACGATGAAATGCTGAGGGAGATTAGAGAGGTTATCAAAATAAAGAACTCAGTAATAGTGGGGGATTTCAATTATCCCCATTTGACTGGGTACATGTCACAAAATTCAGACACAAAATTTCTGGATACTTTAAATGACTGTTTCTTGGAGCAGCTGGTACAGGAACCCACAAGGGGAGAGGCAACTCTCGATCTAGTCCTGAGTGGAGCGCAGGATCTGGTCCAAGAGGTAACTATAACAGGACCGCTTAGAAATAGTGACCATAATATAATAACATTTAACATTCCTGTGGTGGGAAGAACACCTCAACAGCCCAACACTGTGGCATTTAATTTCAGAAAGGGGAACTATGCAAAAATGAGGAGGTTAGTTAAACAGAAATTAAAAGGTACAGTGACTAGAGTGAAATACCTGCAAGCTGCATGGACACTTTTTAAAGACACCATAATAGAGACTCAACTTAAATGTATACCCCAAATTAAAAAACACAGTAAAAGAACTAAAAGAGAGCCACCGTGGCTTAACAACCATGTAAAAGAAGCAGTGAGAGATAAAAAGGTATCTTTTAAAAAGTGGAAGTAAAATCCTAGTGAGGTAAATAGAAAGGAGCATAAACACTGCCAAGTTAAATGTAAAAATGTAATAAGAAAAGCCAAAAAGGAGTTTGAAGAACAGCTAGCCAAAAACTCAAAAGGTAATAACAAAATGTTTTTTAAGTACATCAGAAGCAGGAAGCCTGCTACCCAACAAGCCTCCACTATCCACCCCAAACACATTACCAAACCCATCCATTTCATCCTCATCCATAACAATTTTATATTCAACAACAAACACTTTGTCCAAACCATGGGAAAGCCATGGATACTAGGTTGGCTCCCCAATATGCCAACTTATTTGTGGGCCACCTTGGCTTGTTTTTTTAATCTGTTTGAACTGGCTTATCGAGAAGAAGGTAGTAATGAGGACAGATGATCTTGTGGTTAAGGTACTGTACTGGTACTCAGGAAATCTAGATTCAGTTTCCAGCTCTACTACAGACTACCTCTGCAATCTTTGACTAATCATTTAATATCTCTGTGCTTTAATAAAAAACAGTTGAGGATCTGGGCCCATTTTTCTTACTTTATAACAAGACTAGACAAAAGAAGGCCCAGTGCTGGAACTTAAAAAGACTAGGGTTCAATTCTGTGCTCCACCACAGACTTCCTGTGTGACCTTGGGCAAGTCACTTAAGCTCTCGGTGAGTCAGTTCCCCATCTGTAAAACAGGGGTGATAACAGGAGTATTACAATGATAAACACACTGAAGATCATGAGACACCGAGATATTTCTGTGGTGGGGATGTAAGTACCTAAAATAGACAGATAGAAACAAGAATGTATAAAAATAGAAAGTAATATTTTTTTTGCTCTAGATACAAGAAGATACAAAAGTCTTGTACTTCCTGCTTTGGCATTACATTGATATTCTTTTGCTGTAGAGATGGGAGTGAGCTGAAAAGTTCAGATCCACATCAGGCACCCCAAAGCATCCAAAAGGAGAACAGAGTGAAATTTTCTGACCGAAACTTTTCAGTGAAAAATTTCGGTTCAACAACACTAAAACATTTTGCAATTTGACATTTTCAAAATTATGAACAACTTTTCATTCCAAAATTTCCTCTTATTTTATTTACAAAAATTTAAAACATTAAAAAAATGCTCAAAATCCTAATGAAACATTTCATTTTAAGTTGCGCAAAATGTTTCATTTGAACCAAAACTATTTTTTCCAACTTTTTAATTTGCTGAAAACTGAAAGTTTTCATTTTTGGTTTGACTTGAAACTTTTTCCAATCTTTTTATGAAATTGCCAGCGAACTGAAAAATCTGTTGTTCACCCTGCTCTACCCTCAAAACTTTTTTTGTTTTTATTTGTTTGTTTTATAGTCAGGGCCCATCTTTGTTATGAGGAAAAGTAATAAAGACAAGAAATTCAATCCGATGCAGAGAGCCAGTACACGGACTATGCATGACTTAACTCCCATTTAAGCTTCACTTTGGGGGCTTAAGCTGTACCAACATTGCACAGGCTTTCTGCTGGCTCTCTGCATAGGGGTGAATTTCATCCTCTGAAAGGAATAAGCTTTGTGGATAGTGAATGAGCTGGGGACACATGGACTGAAATTCTGGTCTCAGTGAAGTCAATGGTGGCTTTGCCATTGACATCATCAAGGCCACGATTTCAACCAATGTGTCTTAAGAATTTCTATTTCATATGGAAGTGGATAATTTGATTTCTTATTAGGGGATTAAAATTGAGTGAAATCTTCTCTCTCTTTTTTGTATGCCTAATAATGTTCCTTTCTTCCCATTTTCTGCTTGTTTTTTGTATGTCTTTTAGAACCTCTTCCCATAAGCAGCGTTTCTATCTATGACTACAAACCATCTCCAGAAACGGGAGTGTTGTTTGAAATTCAGTATCCAGAGAAGTACAATGTTTTCACCAGAGTAAACATAAGCTATTGGGAAGGCAAAGACTATAGAACAATGTTATACAAAGGTAGGAAGAAGAAGAAAAAAAAACTATTGAAAACAATGCAAATATGGTTAATATAAGTATCAACCATCTATTGACACTTCATTATTGGTGTTGAATCTACAGGAAAATAAAAAGGAGTGTCAAGTGACCTGTAGGTTTAACGTAATTAGTGATTCTAATTATTTATATTTATTATTATAACTACCCATTTAAATAGCCTATATGTTATAGAGAGGTAGGAACCTCTCCGTAGTTGAGATGGCCACTCATCTTCAATTTTAAAGCCAATTCCTGTCCTAGCTCTAATATCCACAGAGAAAGGAATATTGTCCTCAGTACTGGAACATGAACACTGAGGATAGGATAGAATTTTCCCATCCAAACTGAAATTAATTGGGCAAGGAGTTCCCAATTTATGACATCTCAAAGTAGACATGTTCACTGGAATCTAAAACATGTTCTAATCTCTTCTTTTAGTGCTGTTTCGTAGCCAAAAAGTCAGAAAGAAGAAGAGCTACAATCTAGTTTATAGAACTCATGTGGAGATATAGGGTGAAATTCTGGCCATATTGATGTCAAGGTCAAAAGCCAGGATTTCACCCCGAGTGCCCAAGACCAAAGATTAGTTGCTTGAACAGCTAACTGTAGCAGGTATTAATGTTATGAATTGTAACATTGGAACGACTTATTGCCTCAGAAGGGCTTAAAATGAGATAACAGGTGATTGACAAAGAAATGTAAAACAATGGTGCTGACTGAAGACCTCTCGTGCTTCCTACACAAGCAGAGTGCTGGTGTGAGGGCCGCAGCTGCCGTAGAACCTCAGGGTGACGAACACCTCGGGAATGGAGGTTGTTCGTCACGCTGAACAAACCGTTATGGTGGTTCTTTCCCAAGTTTACAACTGAACACTCAGTTAATACAGCTTTGAAACTTTACTGTGCAGAAGGAAAATGCTGCTTTCCCTTTATTTTTTTTAAATAGTTTACATTTAACAGGATACTGTACTGTATTTGCTTTGGGGGTGGGGGGCGGTCTCTGCTGCTGCCTAAGTGTGTACTTCCGGTTCCCAGTGAGGTGTGTGGTTGACTGGTCCGTTCATAACTCTGAGGTTCTACTGTACATCACAGCTCAGGAAATTATATTCTCATGACAGAGCACATAAACTCTTCTTCAGGTTTCAAATGGAAAAGTATTCTTCATTTTCTCCCTTAACCTGTTAGGCAAGTTTGGTGTCTGTTCCCACAATCCATACCACAGCTCGGTCTGTTTCCGTGATAAGTGAATGCTTGGCAGCAACAGCTACAGTTGCTGCTAAACCGTTTCCATGATAAGATTTTTGTCTCCACTCATTCATAAGTTTCTGAAATATTCACCTTGTGGGCTGAAATTTTCCAGGCTTAGACTCTTCTCCTAAAGGGGAAATGCCATCCCAATGAATGTGTTGGTAAAAAAAAAAAGATTTGTTTCACTGAGTTTTCAGCCAGCTTTGCAGAATCAGCTGCAATTTACTGAATGTTATCCTGAAAGTATTTTGGGTTGGGAAAACGTAATCACCCCGAACATTCCATGGCAATGTGATGACAATGAATCAGATCATATTCTACCTTCAGTTATGCTGGTTTAAATCTGAAGATACTCCCACTGAATTCAGTAGAGTCTATAGTATCCGATGCGAATGAGCTTGTCCTGTGAGAATAACTCTGAAAAGTGACAAAAGGATCTGGATATATACACACACAGTACCCAAAGGGTTAATACTGTAGATACCTTATTTGCTCAGAATTGCACAATAGCCAACAGAATTGCCCTAACAAGCAAATGAATTTTATTGGATGCATAATACATAAAGTCACTACATAAGAGTTGCCATGCACTGCTGTTCCAAGGGGTGGGGGGAGTAGTGAAATCGACAGCAATATTTGTCAGCCTCAACCAATGGTTGACTTCATGGCTGTACAACTGCTATAAATAAATAAATGCACCCTGGCTTTTTGTTTGTTTATTTGAGGCAGGCATTAATCAGCCACAAAGTCCACCCCCCTCCCCCGAAATAGCCCGAATTTCCCCTCACTCCCACATGCATTAATGTTAGAGATTAACCCAGATCTCGGCATTACAAACTGGGCCCATTTCTGCTATGTGTACAATGAAAGTTGTCCATTGACTATCTTATTCTGAACATGATGTCTTAATTCACTAGAAGACCAGCGAACTCTTGTATGCAGTTGTTACAGGGATTTGGAAGCTTTTTTTCTTTTTATTAGCTGTTTTTTTATATGCTACTGTCATGTTGAATAGGGTTGCCAGTTGCAATGATCTTTCCCAGGAAAATCGTTCATGTTTATTTTGCTGCTTTTTGCATCTAAGTACCTTTGATAATCAGGAAAAACACTGGCAAACTCAATTATTGGCATTTTATCACTTAAACTGGGCTAACCTATGTTAAATATCCAAAACATTGCTCATTTAAAGTGTGCCACCATGTTATCTGAAAGTGAACATTTGATGTATGTTGGGTTGTTGGTTTTTTGTTTGTGTGTTTTTTTTCCCTTCTACAGATTTCTTTAAAGGTAAAACAGTTTTCAATCACTGGCTGCCAGGAATATGCTACAGCAACATCACATTTCAGTTGGTGTCAGAAGCAACATTCAACAAAAGCACGCTAGTGGAATATAGTGGTGTCAGGCATGAACCCAAACAGCACAGAACAGGTGAAGAAAATGTGTTTATATACCATTGACAGCATGTCTACATGCAACACAGTGCAAGGAGTAATGTCTCAGTGTTTCCATGATGAACATTTGCTTATAAAAAGTACGTACTGCCTAAAACAAGATATTCTAGGCTTTCTCTCCAGGGATAAGAAGCAATTTGCCAGCAGTTACAAATTACCACACACCTCTTTCCACAGCAGAATATATTTATTTAAGAGTAAAGGAATAAAGAGAAAACATATAACAGGTAACAAACGGACCAGAAATTGGCCATCAATCCTATGGGGGCTCTGACAGGCCAAAGTCCTTCCAATATTTCAGCAAGTGTTGGGGCCCCTACTGGGACCAAAGGTTATGTCCGTTGGCTGGATCAGAAAGAGAAGGCCATTAGTCTGTTTAAACTCAGCTTTTTACACCAAACGCCCTTTCTTTGTTCCCCTTAGGCCTTTCGTACCTGTTGGAACTAGTATATGCCAACCATCCTAGAGGTAGCATTTCTCTGGAGCTGTTTACAATCTCAGGGATTGCAGTAATCACTCCCCACTGTTTTTCAGTTCCTGGATGAACTGCAGTAATCCTTCTCCCATGGAGCTAAATACAATTCCTAGCCCACAATGTTACACAGAACATTCATAAATTTAATACAGTACAGTCTACAAAGGTACTGAATGTGGCTGCAGTCTGTTACAGCAGCTATTGTACAAAATTCTCCAGTTAGAAACCCATGCTGTATCATCTGAAATTTTAAGATCAAGCTTTCCCTTGATATAAAGCGTTAACTTTATTCTAGATGTTTGCACAAAGCTGGCTGCTAAAATTGAGGGAAAAGCCATATAGTGATCAGGATGACATTTTACATCCTGAATTGATGTGCTGTGTATTAAGATATTTTTTCAGTATTTCTCAACACTTTCACAGTTCCACAAAAATAATTTTCCATGCACAAGAGGATTTAAAAGGTACAATGAAAGAAACAAAGAGCCCAATTTACAAACAAGCACTTGATTATTTTTACTCATGTTCTCACATCAGAGCAACTTAGTTGGGCTACTCGTGAGTAAATTTATTACATTGTCCCCAAATCTACACTATTACACTCCTGTACATTCTAGCCCTGATTATTCTCTCAGTTTACGTTTGTTTTACCCATAAGGAGTTAGTCTTGGCTTACACCTGTATAAGCAAGAAAAGAATCTTAATAGAAAGAACAAAGAATTTCAAAATATTGTGTATTTTCTCTTGCTGTAAACTAGACATGCTAATTTCCATGATGAATTAACTAACCGCTGTAGGAATATATTAAACATACCTATTGGTTGTTTTTTTTAAATCTTTTCTCTTCTAGTTCCCTACCCACCTCGAAATATTTCTGTCCAAATTGTACAGATGAACAAGAATACCTGGGAGGAACACAGTGGGAATTTCCCAGAAGAATCATTCATGGGACTACAGGATGTAATAGGGCAAGAGAAACTTACCCATTTTTCTAATGATCCAACTGAAATTCCCTCAGCAAACACCTCTTATTCATGGCCTGATTACCACTATAACAGCACTGATTACACAACTACATCCCAACCATACTGGTGGACTAATGAAGATGAATCGCCAGAGGGTGAAGATGAGTTTGTCAATGCAGTTCCCAGTGAATATGAGAACACCAGTACAGCCAGCATGTCAGGGAAACTTACATCAGAACCTCCCTCTTTCCTCCCTGTGCAAATGGTGCTAAGCTGGTTGCCACCAAAACCACCCACGGCATTTGATGGATTCCATATTAACATTGAAAGAGAAGGTAAAGTAAAACCCAGGCCTTTTTTATATCATTCCTAGTGGTGAATTCTTCTCCTCAGAATAATTAGGGGATAGCAAACCTTAAGTATTTTCATTCAGATTTTGTGTGTCTGCAAAACGGGGATGGACATAAGAATATGCATTAGTTGTGTAATATATGGTTTTCTTGTTTCTGGTCAGCTGTCCCTGCCTTTGGAGAAGTTTCCCTATGGAACCTGCAGTAAAAGAGAGCCTACCTTTCTCTCTCTTCAGGCAAAAGTGTCTCTAAATGGAAAGCTGAAAAACATGTTCTGTAGGGTGTTTAGGGGGTGGTTGGTGGGGTATGGGGGAGGGCCTTTAATGCATCATAAAGCAATGGTGAGGTAACCTGTGCTAGAGATTTTTCATCCACTTCTCCAGATGATTTTTCAACTGGCCCTTTATGACAACCAGTTTTCCTCGACTTTCTGCTGTTTGGGGCAAGGAAATTTTTCAGAACAATAAGGGGAGAGAAGAAAACATAGCAAACCCTTTTCTTCTTCTTCTTCTTCTTCTTCTTCTACATTGTTTTTCACTTTCAAGTGTTTCATGGTCACGACAATCTTACTTTATCATCAGTGTTACTGAATGAAATTTTGACCATGGTCTATTTTTACTTTACACCTATACATGAGCCTCGGTCATTAATTATTCTTGGGCTGACAGCAAGGGAATAAAACTACCTGCATAAATCCAGATCTCTTCAATACCTTTTCATCCTGCAGCAGAGGCAGCATTAGCATATCCAATACAAATCAGTTCCTCAGTAGCCAGAGCCCTCTCAAATTTCAGTTAATTCGCACTTTCTTTTTCTTCTTCTTCTTCTTCTTCTTCTTCCCTGATTTAGAGAACTCCACAGAATTTTTGACGGTAGGTGAGGATACTCATGAATTTATTGCTGAACTGAAAGAACCGGGGAAATATAAGTTATCTGTGACAACCTTTAGTTCCTCTGGATCTTGTGAAATTCGGAGAAGTCAATCAGCCAAAACGCTTAGTTTTTACATCAGTAAGTATCTAAGTGATGATTTCACCCATACAGTGTATCTTTAACAGTGTATAAGGTGTGATAAATGAAACCAGATTGCCCTATTTATGCATCCCAGGGTCGCTTTAGCTCTTTTGGCCCGCAACATCACACTAGGAGCTCATCTTCAGCTGATTACCCACCATGAGCCCCAAATGTTTTTCAGAGTCATTGCTTCCCTATCCTGTAAGTATGACCTATATTCTTTGTTCCTGGAAATACACATTTACATTTAACTGTACTGTATTAAAACACATATAAATGTGTACATCTAGGAACAAATGCTGTTTTCAGTTTGCTTTGAAAGCCTTTAAGACGGCACAGAGATTTATTAGGTGCTCTTTGCTTGTCCTATCAAATCCCAAAAGACTCAAGACTCTCAGTATTCTAGGTGGATTTTGTAAACCTTTCTGGTGGCCTGCCAAGACTGAGGTATCCACAGGAAGCACGTGGGGAGAAATTACCCCTCCCTCTCCCTTTATCTGGCTAATTGGTCTTTGTGTTGTGAAATGTACAGAAGTCGGGGAGCGGAATACACGCTCAGACTGTTGCTATTGGCACTAATGGGCCATCTCAGCAGCAGAGACCAAGAGCTGATTGGGCTTGGAGACCAAACTACATTGTACTATAGCAGTGAGTCTTACGGGTGGGGCAGTGTGGGGAGCTCTTTCTGCTGTTGTCAGTTCTGTCCTGGGTCTGTCGGTGTAAAGGGCTGTCATTTCAGCACCTTTCACTAGCATGAAATTAACTATTAACAGCAGAATGTTTTAAAAGACGTAAATGCAGGCACTCTAAATGCACAGGGTAAAGCCAGGCATGTGGCCTGTCTTATGTGTTCTTCTCTGGAAATGTTTTTTAGGTCCAACAGGGGAATGGATTGAAGAACTGACAGAAAAGCCCCAGCATGTGAGTGTGACTGTGCTAAGTTCTACCACTGCCTTAATGTCCTGGACGTCTTCGCAAGACAGCAGCAGCAACAACACGATAGTGTCTGTTGTGTCACTGACCTGCCAGAAGCAAAAGCAGAGTCAAAGACTTGAAAAGCATTATTGCACCGAGGTAAAGGGCAGAAAATATAGACTCCTCAAATACAGTAAGAAAAAGAAACACATTCAGTAACCCTCATTATAATGTTGCTCACTGGGTTGTGTAAGAAGCGAAGTTTTATCCATCAGTCCACAAGCAATGTTATACACTTATGAACATTATTGCAATAATAATCCACACCACTGCAGTGACACAAGTCTAAGCAGAGATAAGACACCATCCATAAGGCCCTGATTCATTAAAACACTTTAAGCATGTGCTGAAGTCCATTCCTATTCATGAAAGCATTTCAGTGTATATTTAACTTTAAGCACGTGCATACTTTTTTTCTTAAACTGGGGCTAAAGTTTTCATGTAGAATAATATCTAGCTCTAAATGTCCCCAAAGTTGAGGATGATGGGCTCTGAGGTTTCAATTCAGGCCATTGTAGTGACAGGTCTGAGTAAAGGGTGCAAGTACAAATAATCCAAACTGCCCATGTTCTAGCTGCATCCCAGCCAGTACAAATTCAGACTTCTGTGGGTTCAGGTTAACCAGAAGTGGTTTATGATGTGATGACAAAAAACCTTGAGGTAGAATAGAGGAAGATGTTCTGGTTTGGGTTAATTGAACTTTGTGGTTAGAATGTGGGCCTGAATGACAGCTTCATGAGCACTGCAAAAAATGTATTCATGACCATTTATTTGAATAAAAACTGAGAATTTGCTTGAAAAGTATTTGTATTGCTTTTTAAATTATTTTCATTGAACGTTTGCCAACCTCTAACCAGAACTCAGCCAGGTTCTCCTGCCTCTATTATTGATGGCCGTTTGTTTGGATACTCCCTGGCAAGCAGAAAGAAGTAAGACTTGGTACAGAGTTCATCCATTCCTTCTCCCTTTGTCTATAAATAAAATGTATCATACCTTCCTAAAGGAGCTCCCTAGATTGACAGTTGCACTAGCATCTCCACATGCATAGTAATAAAACATTCTTCATGCTGACAGCTGCTTATGCAATTTCATGCTGGTAATACAAATTGTTAGCAATTGCACTAAGATTGTTGCTGAAAAAACATCTTTCTCCAATTCACTGAAAAGATGTAGTAAAAGATACTTTTCCCAAGGCTGCTCTGTACATTTACTGACTCTTCAGAATATAAGATTTGTCATACTGGATTGGACTGACTCCACCATCTAGACAGCATCCTGCCTCTGGCACTGGCCAGTACCTGATGCTTCAGAGCTGAGGCTTTTATGGCGATTCTTCAGTACCAGATGCTTCAAAATGCAGGGGGGGAATCCATAAGGCCCCTAGCTAATTTGCTATACTTGAGGGGCAGGAGAGGGTAATTCCCTTCTGACCCAAGCAATCAACTGACACCCTGACTCTCATGAGGTTAGAATACTATTCTAATATTGCCTTTAGCTCACATAGCTGCAGATGAATTAGATGGCCACAAAGTAATCCCAGATGTTTATTGAAACCACAGTATGTAAACACAGAGTTACACCCGAGAGGAATCTGGTGCTCTAGTCTCATTACCATACAATATACACAATGTAAATGGCTTCTTGTTGTCATGACTGACCTTATACTCAGGTAATTCTCTGTGACAAATCAGGAGTTAGCTCAATGGGCTGAGCAGTCACAATTCCCATCTCAGCATTTGGCCATCCTGTTTTCACTGAATTAATCAACATTTCGCCATTGACTGCAGTAGGTTCAGAATCATGTCCTTTGCTGCTGAAATGCAACGAGGTGAGTACTATTGCAGCCCTCCTTTTTTCTTTCTTACTCACCAAATGAATACTTTGTGTCTTATTTGTTCCCCTTCTGATAGGTGAATTCAAGCAACAGCATCATTGAAAATCTTGTTCCCGGTGCCCAGTACCAGGTTGTGATTTATTTACGTAAAGGCCCATTGGTTGGACCTCCTTCTGATCCTGTTACATTTGCCATTGGTAACCCATGCGTCTACTATTCAAACTGACTTTTTGTTTTGAACAGCTTATCTATTAGATCTCTTGGGGTGTTCCTCCACTGGAGCCGGACGTGTAATTTCCCGTTCGGGTAGACATACCCACGCTAGTTCTTGTCAGGCTAGCATGCTGACAATACCAGTCGGCACAGGCGATGGGACAGACTAGTCACTCCAGATGGGACTGTACTTGGGACAGTTAGCCCATCCCACCACCTGTGCATGGTGGCTGCACTGCTATTTTTAGCATACTAGCTTGATCCAAGTTAGCACAGGTACATCTACCCCAGCTTGAAGTTATACCTTCAGCCTCAGTGTAGATGCATTCAGAGCCTGTTCAGAAGTGTAGCATATTTTGCTGGGTATGCTTGCCATGTTGGTGGTTAAAAGAGATTATTTTTCATGTGTTGTTTAACTCCATTACTGAGGATGGGAAGAAGTGCATGAGGTATCTGAAGGTGTCTTCAGTGAAAGGAGTGACACCGCCTGTTATAGGATTAGGCTTTCACTCCAACATACAAGGAGTTATGTCTAAGATTGAGAAATGAAGGGCCCTGAAGTTAGAGACCTATATTTATGCTTAGGCACCTAAATAAATAGTGTAACTTTTAGAAGTGCGGAGCACCCATGAGAGTCAATGTCTTCAGCGGGAGCTGAGAGTAGTTCAGCACTTTTGAAATTAAGCCATTAATTTGTACATAGATTTAGGAACCCAACTTTAAGCTAACAGGTTTTCTGAGAAAATGCCCCTCGTGGGATGCAGTGTGCCACCGTGGCTAAGACACTGGACTGAGATTCAGGAGACCTGCTTTTTTTTCCTGGTTCTGTCACTGGCTTGTCATGTGCCTTGAAAGAAAGCAGGTGACTAGCAATTAGCACTTCTTGTTTCTTCTCCACACTACTACGCACTGTCCATGATGGAAGGAAAAAGAGAAAATGACAAAATTAACTAAATAAGACCTGCCCAGAGCCCCACAAAGTCCAAGCAGTCTGCTTACACACTGCCAATTGCAGGATCTGGGTCTAAGGCAATATGTCCAGATAAGTAGTCTATAAATTGGTGAGGAAGGTATTTTTAATAGAACGGCGGGGTGGGGGGGGGGAGTTTGGGGAGGTCATTAGAGACAGCTTGTGTCCAACTTCTGTGAAATATCAAATATTGGGCAAATTTTACAGATTTCCCATGTTTTTCACAAATATTTGGGCTGCCAGAGTTTTTTTCACTAGCTGTAAAGACTTGAAACATTTTCAAATTTCTGCTTTTACTTGAAAAGCTAAACCAAAAAAAAAAAAAGAAGAAGAGGAGGTAACCCTCTCTAAGTCCTGAACCCATGCATAGCTCCCACACATGTAAAGTTCTTGCCCAAAGGCCATTTCTAGGTATATCATCTTATCTGGATTTTGTAACAAAATTAGACATGTCATGGACTCAAACAACAACGTGTGACTGTGAATTTTCCCTTGGTTACAACACAGGCAAACAAGGGCAAATTCATCATTCAAATTCCTATTTAAAAGGTTTGGTTTGATGAAATTATTGGTGGTGGTTAAGGCTGAAGCAAAAATAAGAGAAATAACACTTACTAAAAGTAGTTCTCCTCTTCCTCCTCAGTGTCATAGTTTCATTAGAAAGATATCAACAGATTCTGAGAAGGTGCTGAAAGGATAGATTTATGAGGGAATGGATGATTTTGTGTGCTCTATTGCATTCGGGCATTCTGGGTTTTATTCTTTGCTCTGGCACCTACACAGAGTGGATTAGACTCTGCAACCTTTACTCATGTTGAGGAATACCTACTTAAGCAGATAGTCCCATTGAAGTACACATCTAAGTGCTTTCCAGAATGAATAAAGGTTGCAGAGTCTGGCTGTGTGAGAGATTTGTTCAAATCACTTGACCTCTCTCTATTTCAATTTCACCGTCTATGAAACAGAGATAATAACACTTGCGTTCTGAGTCTTAACTAATGCTTGTAAAGCACTTTCGGATATTTTCCATGGACGGTTGAATAGACATGAAAGTATTCATTCTTATTGTCAACGCTTTCACAAGTATCGTGATTTTTAATGCCTCAGTTTTTGACTACCTACACTGGGACACCTTAAAGGATCCTGATTTTCAAAAAAGTTCTGAGCACCCTCCTTTGAAAATCAGACCTCTTCAAGTCATCTCAGTTGAGCACCCCAAAATGGAAGAACCCAAAATCTGTAGTCATTTTTGAAAGTTTAGACCTATAAGAATTGAGGGACTAATGCTACAACTTGTTACTTCTGTGTGGAGTCCCAAGCAAGCTGTTAGGCATATGCACAGGAGTAATTATTGCCAGAATGGACCAAAAATATGAATAACTGGTTAAAGGGGAGAGAAAACTAACCCTGAAAATGTGTGTAGTTGCTAATGATAATGTGAATAACCCCACTTTCTTGTTTTATAGTACCCACTGGAATAAAGGATTTGATGCTTTATCCTTTGGGACCTACAGCTGTGATTCTCAGTTGGAACAGGCCTTACCTTGGGGTGTTCAGGAAATATGTTGTAGAAATGTTTTACTTCAACCCATCAATGATGACCTCTGAGTGGACGACCTACTATGAAATTGCAGCTACCGTCTCCTTAACTGCATCAGTGGTAAAGTAACCATTACGGATTATCTCCCACACCTGCACATATGGTGCTTGCTCCTGGTAATGTTTCTTTCAGCTTTTGCCCACTGACCAGCAGACACATCAGATTCTATTAAACCCTGGATGTTTTTGCATGCGATAGAGGTTTACCATGATATTAGAGAGAGATTTTCCCCAGGGAATGCCAGAAAACCATGGTAAAGTTAATGCATGTGCAAATTATTAATTGTATGTTTAGGAAGGGGATAGTAGATGGACCTTCCCTCCACTGGAGCGTGGGTGGGTTCAGTGGTTATACATGGCACTCTCGCCCATGGGTGTTTGGTATTCCAAGATTTCAGGGAGGATTCCTTCCCAGCCTCAGTCCTTGCAGGACTTCCCTGTGCAAAGTTCATTTGCTAGGGCTGAGTTCAAGGTGAGAGGATTTGACCCAACAGAATTAAAACATTAACCACTCCCCACTAAATTTACTGTGCACTTCCACACTTGTGTGGTCAAAAACTTTTGCAACTGTAGCATCTCCATGAGGAAATAGCATAAAGCCCCATCTACATAACTGACATTGATAATGTCAGTGAGCCATCTGGAATATTTAGTTTTTGAGTTATGTGCATGCCAAAAGAGACTTAAAGGCCCTGAACCTGTAAATGTGCTTAAGCATATGCATAAGACTTTGCAAGATTGAGGACTTTCAGCAGAAGTGTACACTTCATCCCCTCAGCCCCCTCCCTGCCACACACACACACACACACACACACGCTTTTCGAGCTGTCAAGAGGGGATGGATAGATTTTGTTAAAACTTGACCTTTGGACTGAGAAAAACCATAGACAATTTCTGCTGAAAAGGAGAATTGTTCAGGAAGTTGAGTATGCAAAAAACAGGGATAGCAATAGGTGTTGCACCTACTAAAAACTATAATGATTTGTGACTCATGCATAGCACCAGTCATGTAGTCATTATAATAACACTGGTTTAATTGGAATTGAGCATGCAACTGTAAATTTAAAATATAAAACTCTAAGGAAATGAGAACGCAAAATAAACTATTCAATGAGTAATTAATTTGTCATTATCATGATGCAGCAGAATTAGAGTAAAATCCAAGAGATCTTAGAAATAATGACATTTAATAGGAAGCTTCAGAAGTCAAGATGGTTGATGACAAGTAATATTGTTCACTGTTGTGTGCAATTCTAGTTTATATTGATGGGAAGTACATGCAGAGACGAGGAGTTAGAAGTCCTTTATCTTGATTTAAATCTTTGCTTGGAAGGATTAGATTTGTATTGGTAAATGTCAGTTTCACCAAACACACACAAAACAATGAAAAAATATTTCCATGAACAATAATTTAAATTTACAGATAAGCAAAGTAAGAAGAATGCTACTTAAGAACTTATTGCTTTGATGTAAGTATAACCCATCTGCCCATCAGAGTTGGCAGCAACAAGGGCCGGATTCAATATCTAGGGGATCCATTCCAATAACACAATGCAAACCAGCTCGAGCCCCCACCCGGTGACCTGGGACAAATATATACCACCCCCTCTGGGCGCCTCCAAGAGGCAGTACTTCCCCTCTCGTAAGCACCTAGTCTGAGTGTAGCAAAAAGCCTTTTAATAACAGAGAGAAACAATGTGGCATTATGTTGGGGAAACACCACCAACAGGATTCATAACACAACCCATGAGCAAAAAACCCACCCCAAGCAAATTGGGGCATGCCCTTTCCCTTTGGTTCTTGAGTCCAGCAACCCCAAATCACCCAAAGTCCCAAAAGTCCAGTGACCCAAAAGTCTCTGTCCCTGGTCAGGGCAGCCCCAGAGTTCAAAAATTTATCTGCAGAGCTTTACCTCCCAACCTGGGTGGAGATGGGGGTGGGGGTAAAAGGCACCTTACATGATCTGAAGCTGACCGCCCCACAGCTCCATAGGACTTTGCGCTGCTCCACTACACTCCACTCCACCAGCCGCCCCACAAACCGCTCTGCTCTGCGGCCCACAAGCAGCTCCTGCCGTCCCACGAACTGCTCCGCGTCCCACTAGCAGCTCCCGCCGTCCTATGAACTGCTCCACCAGCCTGTCCACAAGGCACTCCAGCCGTCCCACAAACTTCTCCACAATATATCTTCAGGCTCCCCCACTACTTAACACAATGCTCAGTGACTTCAGCTCTTAGTCAGTTCAGCTCTTTGGTGAATTCAGCTTGTAGTAGGGGAGCCGCAGTGCTGGTGCACCATTAGCCCAAAGTGAGCTCAGCAGCCTGTAACTAGACGCCTAATGAAATCAAAATTAGCTCTGATATTCCACAGTGGAGAGAGGAGGAAGTGCAATTAGCATGTAAGGCCCTCACCAAGGGGCCCATGCCACCAAGTATTAATACTTGTCCCCAACCTCTCTCAATTCACAGAGTTTTGGAACCCATGACCCTTGCCTAGCGAGTGCTACTCAGTTGATGGTGAGTCCCTCCATCATAACAAAAGGCCAAGTACAGTTCCCAGCACAGTTCCCATAATCAGGGTAATAACAATTTATTCTTCCTGCCCCAATAACAGAGACACTGGGGATCCCACAGCAGCCAAAGTGACCATTTGGGCAGCTATGGCCTCATTCTAGGCGGGGTGGGTGTGCCTATGCAAATGAGATCGGCCCCTGAAATTGTTTTCCACAACTTGCCACACCTCACCACCAGATGTCAGGGTGGAGCTCATCCTGACACTGCTTACATAAGGATGTATATTTTGACGTGAGATGTTGACAATTTGTGTGTTTTAAAGCTTTAACTTTTTAAATCGTCACGTCTGCTGTCATTCAATAACTGTCTGACTCCCTGTGTCATTTCCCACAACTGTGAAAATTTAAATAGTTAAAATTCTAAAAAATGCGTAGAAATAAACATTGATATTGTCTGTCAACATTATAAGAAAATAAAAATTGAATTCTGCCAAGCCTAGCTGTCACTGTACTGTGGAAATGAAAGTGAAAGTTTCTTAAAGATGAACTTCAAAGTTAAATAGTAAATTAGTGATTGCTGACTCCCATCTCTGACTGGGCTGCATGGCACTATGGCTTAACTAACTTTATTACATTATTTTCAGACTTTTAAGTCTTTGGATTTTGTGGGTTCACTAGAAATGCCCCACAATGCACCATTCTAAGACTGCCCCTGAAGTTTCCCTATAACCATTACCATTCTGGCCTCTATGATATTGCAGAATCATGTGCTCTGGGGCAACACTAACAACCCCTGAAAAAAACATATTGACTTGGCTTTGATAAAAAATGATTTTTTGAAAATGTAGTTAAAAATGTTCTGGGTTGAATTCCCCCTTTGTCTAGAGTATAACAGAAAAACAGAGAATATTTATATTATGAAATTTGAAACAACAAATCAAAACAAGAAGTTCTGCTTTTTTAAAATGAAATTTCATTGAAATCCACATGTTCCCGTGGAACACCTTGATTTTGCCTAATCAGCATTTTCTGACAGGAAACTTCCATCACAAAACTTTGGACCAGCTCTAGAAATCAATGAGATTGTTGGGACATGAGCAAATCCCTGCTCCCACATGTTTGTTTGTACACAATATGGTTTCCATGGCTAGGAAATGGTCTCTGTGCGTTGCCCATTGCACAAATTAAAGCCTTGATCCTGCAAACACTTACATATATGAATATCTTTACTCAGGCAAATAGCTTCCTTGTGCTCAATGGTGTACTCGCTGGAGTAAAGCCACACATCCTTAGGGCGAATACAAGATCAGGGTGCAAATGATCCCTGGGAATGGTATGTACGAATGGCAGCTGTCTTGCAACAGGATATGGGTCTGTGCTATTGTAGCTTTTTAAATGTATCATTGCACTCCTTTCTGGGAGAAAAAAGAGGTGAAGAGTTAAACTGCTTTCCAAGTATCTACCAGAATTTAGCCCTACTTTTTTCTCTCTCTTTGAAAATAGTTTACAAATCTAAAAGTTCAAAATGGGATCAATTAACCACAGATTTACGTGGGCACTGTTCCACTCAAGTCAGCAACATTGTACCCATTGTGGCAGTAGTAAATCTATTCTATAGCAAGTGGCAGTCATGTTTTACATTGACAAAATCTCTACTGAAGAGTGACTTGCCATTTGCTGTCTCTTGTCAGAAAATAGCCAATCTACTGCCCGCTTGGTATTACAACTTTCGGGTTACCATGGTGACTTGGGGAGATCCAGAATTGAGCTGCTGTGACAGTTCTACCATCAGCTTCATAACAGGTAAGCAGCAGCATGGCAAGTGGTTGATGGAGGGAGTGCAAGGGGAAATGTGAGTGCTGAGGAAACATATCTAGAAAGATTATGATGGTGTTCACCTGTAAATATTTGTGCAGGGGCTTTTTAGAATTTAATTGTAAAGCCCGGTAGGGAAAAATGTGAAGGTAGTTTTGATTCATTACAGACATCATTTCATTGCTGACCTGCCCAAGGAGTTGCACCTTCATGCACCATTAGTTTTGCCCACTTTATTACTGAATTTGTGTAGCTCTCTTGTGATGAGTGATTGCTGATTGGCTGGAGTTAAGAGAGGGCAGGGGTCAGGAGTTATAAAGACTCAGCTTTGAAAGATTCCGTCTATTCTAGGAGCTTGGGTTGACAGGGGCCTGCTCTGGCTTTGGAAGATTTAGCCTTTGACTGACATTAGCTTGGAAGCCTTGCTTAGACATAAGCCTGCCCAACCTTGAAAGATGTGCTCCACCCTTGAAAGGCTTTGTTCAGCCTATGGGTTTCCAGGCTAGAGCAGGCCTCTGCCTAAGTTTAGTTTAGTCAGGAAACATGTCAGAGGCCCACACAACTTGCCTATTCAGCCAAGACAAAGGATTGTTCTAATTCTGGATTATACTTCGGCTGGGAGCTATATTATTATAGAGCAGCTAAGGGAGCTTTTGTAAATTTTATGTATTTCAGTTACTATGGGACCTAAAACTAAACAAAGTATATTTTTCCCTATATTTTTACCGTTCCAAGTCCTTCTTTTTCTCCCCATCTCTTTCCCCTTCACGGTATCTAAGTCTACACCCCACAGTTCACACACATTAAATTGTTCTGACATTTATTGCAGCATAAATAGTTAACATGCTGTAGGGCTGTTTATTTTAGTGCAAAATGAGGCTGGCCATGTTTTGTGCTACAATTTTTTCACACTCCCCGTTGGTCTTTGCTGGTAAGTGTTACCTCTGTTCATTGCAAGGGGATGGGTCGGGGGGAGGATAGTATTGGGGTCAAGGCACCGGACTGACACTTGAGGGGCTACCTCTGTGACCTTGGGCAAATCACATACAGCCAGGTCTTCAGCTGGCTTCATTATCTCCCAGTGGGTCATTGAGTGAGGTTGATGCCCCTTCACTCCCCACTCAGATTCTTGGGGTTCAATTTTGTAAGATGGTGAGCAACTCCTGGAGAGGCTGAGCACCATAAACTCCTATTGACAAGGCGATCCCCATATCGGTAACACTTTCAGGGTTGAAGATGGAAGTAAACATATATTGCCTTTGGGAACACTATGTACCTCCCCCCCCCAGAAATAGGTTTAAAAAGTTGTTCCAGATTAAAAAAAGCCAATAAAATACTGTGGATGGATTTCAAAAAAGGGTTGTGTAATTTTAGGATGCTTAATAATAATTATACAAGCTCAGACAGTGTTTGCAGACCACCTGTGCAGCAATACATAACTGGCCAGGTGGATCAAAGATGCATTAAAGGAGAAGGAGGCTGCCGTCCCCAGAGCTTCAGTTAATGACTACTTTTGGAAGCAGGATATGGGAGTGGATGGTCCATTGGTCCATCTGTTCCAATATCTTGCTTCCAAAATATTGAAATGGATGGACCAGTGCTCTGACAAATCTTTAGCCTAATAACTAAGGAGTCAATTGACCTGGGTTCTGTTCATGCCCCTGCCACTGACCTGTAGTGTGACAAATCACGGGACCCCTCAGTGCCTCTCTTTTCTGCTGCCACCCTTATTCTGTCTTGTCTATTTAGATTGTGAGCCTTTCAGTGCAAGGAACATATTTTACTATTTGTGTGTACATGGTAAAGCATGATGGGGCCCTGATATGTGTTGGGGCCTCAGCACGCTACCACAATACAAATAATAATTAATAAGATAATGTTCCTCTGCATTAAAAATTATATTATGGCAGAAGCAAAACTGAATTTCTTTCGGGGACTTGCAATACCCTGAGCCAGTACCTGCTACTGTCTCCAACAACAACAAGCACGTTAGATTGATGTTTCTACTAAAAGGATCAGAAGTGAAATAATATGGTTTGATACTCCACTGTTAACACCTTTCAGTTCAATTTAGCAGAAAAATCAAGCTAATGTGTTCATTTGTCATTTTTGGATGCAATGGCAGATATTGAAGGTGGGGAGCAGCGGGCCATCCATAGGGCCAATTGAAAACTGGGGAAATTGGATTTTTGACACACCAAAAATTTTCATGGAAAATGTCTGCTTTCCTTTTGGGTGTTTGTCAGAAACCAACAAAATATTTCCTTTAGAAAATGTTGAAGGGGGAGGAAAAATCGGCAACATTTTTTTCAGAAAGAGAAAATAAATTTCTGACCAGCTCTAATTATCTAGCTACTGTCAAGTGATGTGGTGATGGGAAATGAGGAAATGCCCTTTTTCCCCCTCCAAAATTTAAAACCACATCAAAATCAACTTTTCACACAATGAGAAGGGAAGGAAAATATGCATTTTCTCCCCATGATAAAAAAATCTCCACTGCCTACTGGATACTGAAAACAAATCCCATTTCCCGCAGCTTCCTGGATGCCAAAAGCCCCAAATGATCCCTACCTCAACACCCAAACCTCTGGCTTTCCCAAACAACTTCTGCAGTGTGCAGTCGTGTGACATTTTGAAATCCGCAATGCATTCTTCAGTGAGAATTTAACATTTGGAGAGTAGTGTAAAATACTCTGAAAGCAATGTAACAATAAATAAATAGCACCAGGAACACAGTACTGATTGGATCAGTCTGAGAGAGGACATTGAAGGGACAAGCACTTTGGGATTCCTGTGCAGTGGTGTAGTGGAGCTAGAATGCACCAGAACTCTGTGTTCTGGAGCTTTTGCAAGGTCATGCCACATGGAAGACCCCATTTTGCTCTACAAAATGGCATTCTCCATCTGGGTTGACCTCACACATACAGTGCACATGAGGTCACCCCACATGGAGGATGCCATTTTGTAGAGCAAAATGACGTCCTCTGCACATACTGGAGAGTGCCATTGTGTAGAGCAAGTGCACATGTGTAACTGATGGGAAAGCAGTGAATAATTCTGATCCTGCACAAGATAGAATAGAACCCATTTTCTCCTAGGTGGGCTAAGAGCAGTAACAATTTGTCATTAAAATCAGCCCACCTATTTTCCATTCACTCCCTCCAGTGGAGACACTGGACTGTTCAGGCACTTCTGCTTGGTCTGGAGATTAGGTGGGAGAGTTGTGGAGATGGTGCTGCAGCAGCAGCTCAGTGAGCACCGCTTGTAGGGGATTTAATATAGATAGGCCTGATTTAGCTGTCGGAGAAAAATAATCACTGAATCCTGGCTGCACTGAAGTCAATGGCAAAATCCCATCCTGCAACATCTGCTCTTACTTCTATGAGCTCTATTGTCAAGGATTTTTTTGGCATATGACTTGTAAAATTAATAGTGACTGCCAGAGTCCTGTGAATACTCTTTGGTAACGTTTCTCATCCATTTTCTGAGTCAGTGTAATGAAGTCACTTTTTAACCAGTTGGTTGCTACATAATATACTCAGCCAAGCACGAGAGAAGAAATATGTCTCTCCGCACCTTTATTCTGTGCTTCAAGGACAGCATTTTAAAGTGCAAGTGCCCCAGTGGGGCCCGGACTCTTCAATATGGTGTTTTCAGAAGATGCAACAAAACTGAGCCATGGAAGGGTTACTACAAATTTTCATCTGCCATAGGGCCATGTCCAGCTGTCACTGATGACAAGGAAAACCTGCCAGTGCCTTCAGTGGAGAAATGGATCAAGTTTTTATCTAGTAGACATGGACACAATCTGAAACAAATGAATAGACCTCTTGCATACTCTCTCCCTTGAGTTAGATGCTTTTCAAAATCAAGAATTTTCATAGAGTTCATAGATTCAGAGCATTTAAGGCCAGAAGGAGTCATTAGATCATCTTGTCTGATCTTCTGTATAACCACAGGCCATTACGTTTCACCAAGTTACCCCTGTATTGAGCCCAATAACTTGTGTTAGGCTAAAGCATATCCTCCAGAAAGGCACCCAGTCTTGATCTGAAGACTTCAAGAAATGGAGAATCCACCACTTCCCTTGATAGTTTGTTCCAGTTTGTTTAACCCTCACTGTTAAAAATGCGTGCCTTATCTCTCATTTCAATTTGTCTGCATTTAGCTTCCAGCCATTGGTTCTTGTTATGTCTTTCTCCACTAGATTAAAGAGCTCTTTAGTACCTGCTATTTTCTCCCTTGTACAATGTAACCAAATCACCACTCGGTCTTCTTTTTGATAAGCTAAACAGCTCAAGCTCTTTAAGTCTCTTACTTAAGGCATTTTCTCCAGTCCTCACATTGTTTTTGTGGCTCTTTTCTGTACACTCCCTCTTCAATTTTTCAACGTCCTTTTTAAATGTATTCCAGAATCAATATTCCAACATCAGTCTCACCAATGCCATATGCAGAGGTAAAATCATTCCCTACCTTCTACTCCCCTATGTATACATTCAAGAATTGCATGAGTCCTTTTTGTCACAGCATGACACTGGGAACACATCTTGAGTTGTTTGTCCACCACGGACCCCCTAGATCCATTTCAGAGCTATAGCTTTCCAGGATGCCCTGTTCCGTAGGTATGTACAAGGGTAGGTATGGCCTACATCCATGCTCCTAGATGTATAACTTTGCATTTGGCTATATTAAACTTCATTTTGTTTGAGTGGGCCCAGTTTACCAAGCAATCCAGAACACTCTGTTTGACTGCCCTTTTTCGTCATTATTTAATGCTCTGTCAGTATTTGTGTCATCTGCAAATTTTGTCAGCAGTGATTGTATATTTACTTCCAAACCATCGATGAAAATGTTGAATGGGGTTGGGCCTAGTACTTATCTCTGCAGAACCCCACTAGAAACTCCCCCATTCAATGACGATTCTCCATTGATAGCTACATTTTGAGATGTCAGTCAATCCATTTAATGTGTGATTTATTGATACTGTATATTGCTAATTTTTAATCAGAATGTCACGTGGTACAAAAGTTAAATGTTTTACAAAAGTCTGTCTGTTATAGCTATGCGGTTACCTTTATCAACTAAACCTGAAATCTCATACAAAAATCGAAATCAGGTTTGTTCGACAAGACCTATTTTCCATAAAACCATGTTGACTGACATTAATTATATTCCTATCCTTTAATTCTTAATTAATTTGAATCCTGTGTTATCTTTTCCATTATTTTGCCCAGGATTGATGTCAGGCTAACAGGTCTGTAATTACCCAGTCATCCTGCGTGCCCTTTTTGAATATCGGCACAACATTAGCACTCTTCTGGAATTTCCTTGGTATTCCAAGATTTATTAAAAATTCACATCAGTGGGCCATAGATCTTCTCAGCCAACTCTTTTTAGTACTCTTGGGTGCAAGGACTCTTGGGTCTGCTGCTAGTCAATGCAGTTTAACATCCTCATTAGTTACAAATGAACTAGAAAGCACTTCATCCCCCTCATGTGATATGAATACATTATCCTGCTTCTTTCCAAACAAAGAACAGAAATATTTATTGAACACTTTTGCCTTTCCTGTATCCATATTAATAATATTACTTGCTCTGTACAGTTTGAGCCTGATGTTCTACAGAAAAAGCCTCACCTTTTCTGCTCTTCCTGCTATTACAACCAAACTTGTGTGCTTCTCTTATTGCTGAGAGGCTCAACCTTGTAGTCTGGAAATGTCAACATACCATTTACACCAAAACACAAAGATAATCACAGGTGTTGGGCCCAGATCCTGCAACAGGCTCCATGCAGGCAGTGCTGCATTTATGTGGACCCCAGTTGAAATTAATGCCTGTGTGGAGCTCATTGCAGGATTGGCATTTAAGTGATCTACAGCAGCTGGAATGTAAAAAAAAAAAAAAAACGTGAATAGGTGACATAGATCTTTCCAGCCACTTCTGGATTGAAGTCCTCTGTTGGGGAGGGCGAGTTGGAAGGCTTCAAGACTGTATATAAGTAAATGCACCACTTATAACCCCCCTCATTCAGGACCCCAGGCACCTTCACCAACTGTGATATCCTGCTGTATTTACTGTGTGCGACATTGTGACACCACAAACACGGCCAAGTAGGGAACTAATGAGGTTTTAATGGCACCTTTTGTAAACAGCTGGATTTAAAAATACAACCAAAACCAGTCATATTAAAATATAAAGCTGTTTATCTAGATGGAGGACAGAACGCACTTTGAAGTTACAGAGTAGCAGCCGTGTTAGTCTGTATCCGCAAAAAGAAAAGGAGTATTTGTGGCACCTTAGAGACTAAGCAATTTATTTGAGCATAAGCTTTCGTGGGCTACAGCTCACTTCATCGGATGCAAGTTAGTTAGTTAGTAATAAATATCATGATAAAGGGTAGCATGTATAGGTCTAAGTTGGTTGGACCACCATGTGTTTGAGTATAGTCATGTCTGTTCTCATGTGGAAGTTGTTTTTTGTTCCTTCATATGGATGCTTGTAGTTTTCATTTCCTCTCTTTCTTGTGTGTTTCTTTTTTACACATCTTTCTTCTTGATCATTCTAAATCTGTAAACATTTTGAGTGCACACAAAAAAGGAAACAAAGGATTTTGTCCGCGTTGAGAGAGAAATAAGAGAGAATTATTACCATTATTATTCCTTTATTTCATTTCAATAATGCACTCAGATTGCTCATTACACAAGTAGAGACAGTTCCTCCCTAGGAAAGCTTGCACTCAGACAGAGAGACATAAAAATAGGGTGCACTGGGCAATCCAGAGTAGGGGGGACATCATAATTTTTTTTTTAAATGTGCTGTAAATTAATTTGTTGTGGGCATCATGGAAGAAGGGGGTTTTGAGAGGGACTTGATAGAAGCAGTGCTATAATAAATACTATTAAAATTGCTTAAAATTGTATTTGCTTCCATCCTAAATTTCCACTTCATAAACCTTTGTCCTGCTCTTAGAGTCAAAAGTTCAAATGCAAGATAAAATTTATGCTCTCAGCTATGTTTGTGACAGCAACAGTGACATCCTGTGGCCACTTAAAAAATAGTCTAGGTTCTGATTGTCCACAGCCTTACGAAATGAGTGTAAAATGCACTGTAGCAGAATGGTAGTGTGTTAAACTCACTCTGAACTCCCTTTCCACAAGTGTAGATGGCTTTACAAAGTGAAAGAAACTCAGTTTTTTCATCATGTAGTTCCGAAAAAATATACTATATATGCTGAATAATATGCTACTCTGTTGTACCCACACAATGCCATTTAAGTCACTCTGAGCTCAATTGTGGTTTTAGGGCATCATTGGAGTTTACCTCGCTACCTCTGCTCCACTTCATTTTTACTTAAAGTTTATTTTGAGGACTTAAGTGATGCACAGGCTTTGCGCTGGCCTTTTGCATGGGGGTGAATTTCACTCTGGGGATAGAGTTGGTCAACATTTTTGTGCAGAAAGTTGTCCTGCTGAAAATGTTTTTTTCAAAACTACAGTAGTGCATGTTTCGCAGGCAGATGGCAATTTTGATTAAATAAAAAAATCAGTTTTCCCACCGGAAATTTCAAAGCAAAAATTTCTGGGTTTAATCCACGTTTCTTAACAAACCAAACTGTTTTGTTCTGACTTAAAAGGTTGTTTTTGTTTACAGAAACTGAAATGAAATGACTTGAAGTATAAAACTAGATTCTCAAAGAAAAATTTCATTTATTTTTCGCTTAAAAAGCTGTTTCATTTCAGTTTTCTTGAAGAAGTGGAAACGTTTTAAGTTTAAACTTAATTTTAGGTTCATTTAAAAATGTGGAGTTGAAATGAAGTTTGTGTTTCAAATTGGTTTGCAACTTCCAACGTTTTTCAATGGAGAGATTTTGAATTAAGACTTCTTATTTGGAAACTTTTCAGTTTTCCAACCAACTGTACCTGCAAGCAATTACGGGTGCTAGTCTCATTCATATATGTCTATTTTTTTTGTTAGGCTCTTTCTCCCAATAAAGTCCCTTTGGCAGTGAATAGTCAAGATTAATTTTTTGACTTAATTATATATTAAGTTAAATCTTGTTTCTAACATCTTTGTTTTGTTCTCCCCAGCCCCAGTATCACCAGAGATCACCTCAGTAGAATATTTCAACAATCTGCTGTATGTCAGTTGGACGTATGGAGATGATGGGACTGACCTGTCTCATTCCAGGATGCTGCACTGGATGGTCATTGCTGAAGGCAAGAAAAAAATCAAAAAGAGCGTAAGTCAATAGGATTTTTAAAGCTTTGTGACTGCACATTCGGTCTTTCGAATGTTTCAAAAAAAAAAAGTTGTCCTGCTCAATACATAAACTTCATATTACAAACTAAGGTCAGGTCGATTGAGCTTCTGCAAACCCTAGTGGGTTAAGTGTACCCCTTTGCAGAGGGTCAGTATAAGGGCTTACAACCCATTTAAGACTTTTTAAAATATAGTCCTTCTTGGTTTTTTAAAGAAAGAATGGGTTTCCCGTCAGTTGTATCAATTTCAGGAGAACTTGTCTGTTCTTCTAGGGGAATTGTGGGAAGGGCATTGGACGACTATCCACACATGACTGATTTTAGCCTGCATCCTTACTGCAAAGTGGGCAGGTTCCAGCCTGAGTTAAACCAGCTCTGAGGCATACCCCAGCTGGATCAGCTAGCCTAGGCTTACAGCACTTCCAAACCCAAGTCAGAGGTGTTTGTGTGTGGAGGGTGGTGGTGGTGGTGGAGACTGGGTTTGAACTTGGGTAGGACCCTGGGTTAAGTTCTTGCTACCCCAGACCAGAAGCATTGAGGTCGATCATGAGAATTAGTAAGTGAAACTACCATTAGGTGTCTGAAATGTTGAGGTGCTGAGCACCCACTATATCCATAAAATGAATTGGGAATTGTGGCTGGCTAGCACCTTGTATGATCCACACTTGCAAATAGAGAGCTAAACCAAGCAGGCTCATTTTAATGTGTACAAAGGAAACAAATAGCACAAATGTGGTAAAATTAAGTGAGAATTTAAAAATGCAACCATAGTTTTACTAATATAAAGTACTATCAGTAAAACAAATAATATTTCTTTAAAAAATAAACGAATTATATGATTTTTGACCCTACGTTCCTTCAATTTTTAGTTACTAGTGACTTAACCCAAAAACATGCCTGTGTTTCCTTTTTAGTTGCAGGCAATATAATTTGCACATTATTTTTTCAGGTGGTTATAATTACACAATTGGTTGAGGATGGGTACTATCATGAGGTTTCTGATGTGCATTGCTTGTAGCTGGGGTAGAAATGTGATGGGAACAACCTTTCTTATGGCATTTCACCAACTCTGATTCCTGTTTCAGTGGCAACTGGGAAATGGGAGAGGTGCATGGACATTAAAAATAATGGAGCAAAAGTTATTCAAACTCTTTTTGAACCTCAAAGCACATTCAGTTCCAGGTTCAATTTGAATTCTGGGCATGGTTCAAGTCAGTTCTTCCTATGGCCTGAGCCTGCAATCCACTCTGTGCAGGTAGACCTATGCGGAGTCTCTGTGAAGTCAGCAAGGTTCCATATGGGTGCAAGGATCCTCCCTTGCAAATCTAGAGGCAGGATCTTGGGTTATATCTGTACAGGCTCACCCATCCCTAACTTTTATATTATTCCTAGAGATTCCAAACTGATTTTCAAATACCGAAAGTTCCAGGGTGCTCTGATCTGTGGTTTGGTCAGAGTTATTCAAAAGTTTGATGTAACTTGCAAAATCCAGATTTAAAAAGTCCCCTCAGAGTTGTTTTTTAAAAAATCTTTCACTAGCTATGTTTGTTTCAACCAATCGGAAATATACTGTAAAATTTACTTCTCTCTGCACTGTGACATTCTATTGAACTTGTGTCTTGCATCCATCAATGTCATTGGGAATTAGAACATATAACGAGTGCAGAGTATGCAGAAGTGATTTACGCTGATGATTCGAATTTTGTCCAGAGTGCATTAAGTGCTTGATTTATTTCTTCAAACAGGCTCTCTTGTTTGGATAATATTTAATACTTGGTACCAATGATCATTGTAGGTGACACGGAATGTGATGACTGCAGTTCTGAGCCTGCCTCCGGGAGACATCTACAACCTTTCAGTAACTGCTTGTACTGAGAGAGGCAGCAACACCTCCACACCACAGATTGTGAAACTGGGTGAGAATGTGTTTGTTTGCCTGGTTAATTGTATGTAGTTTCCCTCTTTTGGCTATTAGGGCAGATTCAGTACCTTCCTCAGCTCAAAAATATAGGCACTCGCTCTTTTTATTTAATAAGGGTTATAATATACTCACTTTGACTGGTACCTTATGCTGAGAGTAGTCCCATTCGCTTCAGTGGGTCTACTCTCCAAACAAGGTTCTACTCAAGGTATGTAGGGGAGACAGTATCTCGCCCTAAGAGGCAGTAAGTAGAGCCTATCCAGAATAACATGAGAGCACTATTGTCCCATAATTGTTTCCCTACGATTGGTCCAAACACACCCAGACTTTAGAATAAGAACCCAAGCTTTGCAGCTGACCTCTGTTGGTCCAAACCAGAACCCTTCAAACATTTGAAAAGTTCCCTTCTGGATCTGAACTCTGGCTTGGACTGATTCCAAGTCCCCCTCCCACCCACCCTCCAAAAAAAAAATTACAAATATTTTCTCAATTGAAGAGCCACACTGTAATTTTTACAACAGCAATAAATCCACTGAAGTGAAATCTTCCCTCATTTACCTGTGTGTCTGTAACACACACGTCAAGTAGAATGTGTCTTGGCTGGAGGGACTTACCAGGACATTTCATCCTCTGATGTCTTGAGGAGTAGGGCAAGGATAAGGTAATGGAGGCTATCTCTACATCTTCTAATATTGCTACTCTGCTGTTGCTCTGGAAACTTTGAGTCACAGAAGTGCCTTGAACTGTAGCTTGTGAAATCTTGGGGTTTGTCTAATTACTGGTGTTGGCACAAAGTCCACTGTGAAGGTGAGGGAGATACTTTTGGTAACTTGAGACTGGATTATCTCCCAGGGATCTGTGCAAAATGGAGCTCTCTATGACATAAAGTATGAGGAGCAGCCAGAGACGGACCTCGTCAATGGCAATAACAATCCTGTTTGGTTGGATGGGAGGCATGAGAACAACTGTTTTTGCAGAAGGAAGCTCCCTTCCACATAAATCCCTGAAATGCATTGATGTTGGGAGGCAGTGCAGCCTCCACAATCTGTGATTCCCCCAGGCCTCTACCACTAGATGGAATATTTCATTCTGTGGAGTTTTCCTTCCCCACACCAGTCCTATCCCACAGGCATTTCCACAAAAATGTGTGTTTGGGTGTTAATCTGGCTCCTGAATATCAATAGCCAGGTGTTTTCTGAATGCTATTTGGAAATGTTTGAGTCCTTCAAGTAGCATCATCATTCACATGATTCAGAAAATGGAATGTATTATTCATATTGCATGTCCCTGTAACCATTCTTTGACAAAAAGGGCTGTTATTTCTGGCTTGCTTATGGAGCGGGAAATATTCTATATGGGCTGGTTAATATGGAAGAATTTGGGTGTTCTGCCCTAGTTCTTCTGTTTGATATTTAAGAGAAAACACAACAAATACAGTTTAGATAAATCACTTCTAGACTCCACCACTCTTTATTTCATGCCTTTAACATTTTAATTTTGCCCAAAGAATAGTAAAGGTGGTTTACCTTGGCAAAAGTCAGCCCTACAGTCTCTCCTTGGTGTTTTTGAGGGAGCAGAGAGATCTGGGATTAGAAATCCTGTGAATCTGTTCTAAGTGGTAGATGCAGAGGTGAAAATAAGCCAGTTCACCCCGGTATGGCATACTGGCAAAAGCCAGTGCGCCATACCGGGGTGGATCGGCTTCCTCAGGCGCAATTTAAGGGGCCTGTGGCTCCCAGCAGCGGCTGGAGCCCCCGGCCTTTTAAATTGCTGCCAGAGCCCCGCTGCCGGAGCCCTGGGGTAGTGGCGGTGGGGCTCGGGTGGCAATGTAAAGGGCCCAGGGCGGTAGCGGCGGTCGAGCCCTGGGCGCTTTAAATCCTCCCCAGAGCCCCGCCACCACTTCCCCAGGTCTCCGGCAGGCTCCGGGGTTGATTTAAAGGGCCCGGGGCAGTAGTGGCGGCGGGAGCCCTGTCCCCGGAGCCCTGCTGCCGGAGCCCTGGGGAAGTGGTGGCGGGGCTCTGGGGACGATTTAAAGGGCTCAGGGCTCGGCCGTCGCTACTGCCCTGGGCCCTTTAAACCGCTGCCAGAGGCCCCGGCTGCCGCTGTTTCCCTGGGGAGGGGGAAGGAGGCACTTGTTGGTACAGGGTGGGCAGGGGCTGGCTCTGACCTCCCCCAGCCCTGCCCTGTCCGCCTGAGGCCCCGCCCCTTCCGGGGGCCAGAGCCGGCCCCAGCCCAGCCCCATACCAGTAAGTCCCTAGACTTACTTTCACCCCGGGTAGATGACTCAGCATTGGGCAGCTGTGATGAACTACTGCCAAATGTGGTATCATATTCTTCCATGCTTCATCCTGGGAACTTTTCATTTGCAGAAAAATTAATCCATTTGCTTGGGGATAGGAAGGATTTATTTCAGATGATGTCCAGGTGTGAAGTTGTCTCAATTTAATATAGGCTATTCTTTATCTGTGCTAGGGGATGAAGAGGTAATTTTGTGCCTAAAGCACGGGACTGCTTCTCAGAAGATCAGACTCATCTCCAAAATGTCTGAGACACCTTGAGTGGGTCATTTTTAAAAAATAGCCTTTAATTTTGGGTGCCTCACCTTTGGGGTGCCAAATTTTAGACAGCTAGGGTGAAATCCTTGCGCCATCAAACTCAATGGTAAAGTTCCTACAGACTTCAGTGGAACGAGGTTTTCAGCCCTAGATCTTGATCGTCAGAGGAGCTGAGCCCCCATAACTCCAAATGAAGTCTATGGGACCTGCTCAGCATCCCTGAAAATTGGCCCAAAGGTTATGTCTATAGTGCTATAAAAAAAAACCATGGCACCGGGTCGCAGAACCCAGGTCAGCGACTTGGACTTGCACAGCTAAAACTGCAGTGTGTAGACATTTGGGTTCAGACTGGAGCCTGGGCTCAGAGATCCATCCCCCTCACAGGTGCTCAGAGGCCAGGCTCCAGCCTGAGCCTGAACATCTTCACCGCTGTTTTATAGTCCCACAGTCAGCTGCAGGCCAGCTGTGGCCATGCTGCGAGTCTTTTATTGTAGTGTGGACATACCCTAAGAGTTTAAAAGTAGACACTCAACACATAGGAGGTGCTCAAAATTAAAAGCTTCTTTTGGTAATTTGTATCTGAAACACAGAGATTTAGGTTCTTTATGTGTACCTGGGAATATTACATACTTTACTTCACAGGGGTGTAGTGAGGCCTAATTCATTAATGTCTGTACTGCACTTTGGTACCCAGGAGTGCATTAAAGTCCAAAATATTATTATGCCCTGGCTCCCAGGGGCACTAAAACTGAAAGTGTGCGCATGCACACGGACACACGCACGCATTCACTCCCAGCACAAAACAACTTCCATGTTTATATCACCTCCTTATCCCGAATGACCCCAAATCACGTTGCACCTCAACATGCAGTCTGGGCAAGAGTCACTGATACCACTTTGTCTGCTCTTGCCCTGTCAAAGCAACACAAAGCAAACCATAGACTTGGAGCATCTGTCTGGCGGCATTGGGTTTATAGATATTTACGGCCAGATTTTTAAAGGTATTTGGGTGCCTAATTCCCATTGAAATCAATAAGCTTTGAGTGCCAAAAATACCTTTAAAAATCTGGACCCTAGTATTTTGGGAGCAGTGCAAAGCAGCTGAGCCATACCAGTGAATACAGCCCACTGTAGATAGGGGCTCACTTCCCTCCAACACCGAAACAGTACAGATGGATAGACACATGAATTTCCCCATCTTTGAAGGGTGATTAGATTTTGGTTTGGTTTGACCCTGCAAGCTGGAACAAATAAAAAGGAAAAGAAAAAAAAACTTCATTCAGCCAGGTCTTTTTCTCAAGGGTTCTTGCCTATAATTAAAAAGTAAAACAGCATAATCAGAAAGTAAACAGAACCACTCCCCAGTCCTTTCTAACAACTGACTGTGAATCCTCTCCATCCTAAAGACCTTCTCCCCATCTTGCTTCGCAAACAGCCACTTTTAAAACCCTTCCTCTCAGCAAAGAGACGGGGAGCTGAGCTGGAGCAAACCCAGCATTCACTACGGACCATGCGGTTCTCCTGAACTCTGCACATGAGCTGCTTATCACAGAGATAGGGACCAGCTGTACAATGTGGATTTGGTTTTGGTCCATCTCTAATTAATGTACCCAGATTCCCTTTAGTGTTTCTAACCAAACCAACCTGAACCTCAGCGAGTGTATGGGCACTGATTTATATGTTGAAGCCCTAATTCTCTACTGTGTTGCACTGTATGTGACAGGTTTCGGAGTGGTAGCCATGTTAGTCTGTATCAGCAAAAACAACAAAGAGCCCTTGTGGTACCTTAGAGACTAACAAAAGGACTCCTCATTGGTTTTGCACTATATGAGGTCATATACACTTGTGTAAAGTGAACATAAGGCACTGCTAGCTCAAAATGGTAATGTTTTGACTCTCACTTTGCTAGAAGGGATTATACAAGGCAGGGGAGAATTAGGCCCCCAGTTTAAAGATCTTAGGCAGGTCACATGCAGAGGATTTTTCAGAGGGTCTCCTGTGGGTGCTCTGCAGATCACTAACTCTCTGGTTTTGAGCACTCATTGTTAGATGGTTGTTTTTCCAAAGCAGAATGTGGGACATTTCTGTGCTTTGAAAATCTACTCTGTGTGTTGGACGCTCACACTGCCCGGGTGCCCAGGCCTCCACTGGAGGGCCACCCACTGAAACTTTCAGAACGTTGCTGCTGTGTGTGCCTCCCCACGCTCTGGAAAACATGAAGCCAGATTCTCAGCTGGTGTGTAAATGGGTAAATGTCCATTGAAATAAATGGAGCTGCACCCATTTAAAATCAGTGGAGGATCTAACCTTTAACTCTGTACCTTTAATTGTCAGTTCCCCATCTATTAAATGAAGATAATACTCCCTGACCTCACAGAAGAGTTGTAAGAAATTATCTGTGAGCCCTCTGAGATCCCCTGGTGGAAGGTGTGTAATTCTATTATACTTATCTCTCCAGACTGCCAGGTAAAGAAGACTTAATAGGCATAAAAACTAGGGACCTGACTCTAAGCTCACTTACACTGGGGCAAATGGAGAGTAACTCTTCTGAGGTTAATGGAGTTCCACCAGTGGCAGTCTTGCCAACCCTCACAATGGTTAGTGTGTTTCTTAAAGCCTCAAGCGCCTGCAATCAGGCTATTGCCTGACAATCCCAGCTTCAGTTTTTAAAAAAAGTAAGTTTCTAGCCCTTATGGCTGCAGAGAAAAGTTTGAAAATGTGAACGCTAAACTTGGCAACATCAGAGAGCAAATAAAAGGAATGCCAAATATATGTTTTTCATTATTTTTGAAAACTTGGGGTTGGTAATACTGCTTATGTAAAACTAGTATGACTGAGAACAGGATTATGCCCTGGGTTTTAAATACTCTTTGGGAAAAGTGTATCAACATTTGGACAACTATGCTAAGAAAGGTTTCAGAGTAACAGCCGTGTTAGTCTGTATTTGCAAAAAGAAAAGGAGTACTTGTGGCACCTTAGAGACTAACCAATTTATTTGAGCATAAGCTTTCGTGAGCTACATCCGATGAAGTGAGCTGTAGCTCACGAAAGCTCATGCTCAAATAAATTGGTTAGTCTCTAAGGTGCCACAAGTACTCCTTTTCTTTATGCTAAGAAAGGCTTCTAAACTGCTACACTCTTTTTCTTTCAATATTCCACCTTAAAGCTGACATTGTATCTGTATCCACTAGAGGTCAGGTTTTTATCATTTATTGATGACAATTGCCAAGACCATCTCTGAAATAAAGATAGAAGAAGGGCCTGACTGGAAACATTCAAACCACCCTGTGCCTCCTGAACTTTGGAGAAGTTTGAACGTGGATCCAGATCTATGTTTCTATGCTCTATCTCTGCCGTGAAATTGACCCAAAACCTGAGACTAGATTCTTTGTTGCCCTGCACTTTTCTGTTTCGTCATTTATACCAGTGCAAAGTGTGTGCAAATCTCATGGCCATTCTGATTTTGATAGCATTTTGCACTGGTAAAAATGATGACACAGGCTGGAGAGCAACAGAGAAACTAGTCCCGAGAATCCAAACTTCCCCAAACTGGGTCAAGTTCCAAAATTTAAGGGCTCAGGCCCAGCTCTGTTTTAAGATAATCAGTTTAAGGGCCATGACTAATATTTAGAGAGAGGCTTGAACAAGAAAATTCAGATCCAGATTTCTAACTCCCAAAATGTAAGGGTGTCATGGATTCAAGTTTTTGATTTAACTTGTTATAGAAAACAGGCTCAGGAATCAGACTTTGAACTCCATCCTCTCCAGCCTCCCACAGTGTTCAGGGTGCTTCAGATCTAGGTTCAGATCTATCCCTACTTATTTTCTCATTTTCACTGCAGAGGTTTGGCCCCCCCAATACCGATTACAGTTATAAAATGCACGCACATGCGCCTGAGACACAGAGTTTGTGGTACTCCTCTTTATTGTCTCATTGTGGGGGAGAGAAGTGCAAGACTCATCGTGTGTCACAAAGTCAGTGCTTCTGTTCTTAACATACCTGCAATGACACTCCTTTTTCGGCAGAATTCCATAGCCACCTGGAAGTGGGGTGATAAAGAACACCCATTGGGTTGTGCCTCCCCAATCAGAGGAGGGAAAAAACATTAAGAAAAATCCCAGAGCCCTTAAGCCCAGGAGGAGTCTAGGCAGGAGAGAGAAGGAACAGCTTATTCCTTCTACTCCTTCCATTTACTGATACTGCATCTTTCCCACCCTGCTTTGTCCCTTTCCACCCCGCCCATTCCCAGGGCAGCTCTCATTTCCCCCTCTCCTCCTTGCTGCCTGTGCAGCACTGAGCTGCAGGGCAGGGAAAGCAGTCCATCAGGTTACCTAGAGAGACAGTTGTACAGACGTCTGAAAGCTATGCCAAGAACTAAGATCCAAGGATGGTAGGTTTGGGGGGGAAGAAATACCAAAATTCAGTAGCCAGTCTCTGCACTTGAGCTCCTCACCAGAACCAACACCCCTATATCACACCAGGAGCCCCCCAACCCTGCAGTTAGCTTTCCACCCCATTAGACCATCAACCCTCCTACCACTATTTCTACCCAGGACCCATCATCCCCTCAGCAAGCACACCTTACAACCAGGCGGCGGCAGCAACAACAACAAGGCCCTGGTTTCTCATCATGAAGCCAACTCACAGTTCTTTGCAGCTGCAAGGGAGTGTGGGATGTAGTGGATTATAGGACAGGTTTTGGGGGATGGTGAGCCAGGCCAAAGAAGTTTGAGGAGAACGGCTGCTTTCTGGAATCAAGTAGAGAAAGAGAGCATTTTCTGCACCCATCTAAAACACACCCAAATCCAGTGTCTCTGAATGTTCTACACAGAATGACAGCAGTCAAGATTTGTAGTTCTAACTGACCCGCACAATATTTTTTTTCCTAACAGTTGGGCAACCTTTTTTTTCCTCCAAGAACTTATGCAAATGTGTCTATTAATAGAACATTTCCCCAGACACTGTCTGAATGGGGAAGAGAAGTGATTATCCAGCAAGCCAATCCGAGAACTGTTAAATAGAGAAGAAAAACCAAGTTGCTTAGCCATCTTCCTGTTTTACATCAGTTGCTTAATCGCTGTGTTAATGTCACAGATCGTCTCTGAAGGAAAAGAAAAAATTCAAGAAGGGCAGTATTCATTACACTGATTCTGTGTGTTGGTTTCCCCCTATTGATTTTCCAAAGACCAGAAGATAAGCTTAGTGAAAGGAGATTCTCTCTCTCTCTCATCCAGAACCCGCTCCTCCAAAATCATTGTTTGCTGTGAACAAGACCCAGACTTCAGTGACTCTGCTATGGGTGGAGGAAGGAGTGGCTGATTTCTTTGAAGTCTTCTGCCAGCAGGCTGGCTCTGGTCAAGAAACAAAGTTGCAGGTATGTGGCTGCCTCTTTCTCTACCTCACCTCGTCCATTTTGGACCCTGATATTGACAACATGTCCTTAGGGCCTGGCACTCTGCTGCTTTTCATGGTGTGTAGTCATGTACTCCTGTGCAGAATGGCTGTAAAACAATATAAATTGGAACATGGTAGCATCTTACATCCACTTCACACTCATTCACAGAAGGTGCAAGGCAGTGGAGAATAAAGCCCTTGAAATACTAACATATTTAAATCCTCCTTCTGTCTTGCTAACTACACACATGAAACTAGGGATTTTAACTGGCTGAGCAGGTTTCCTGTGTGTTGGAGAACAAGCTGGAGACCGTATTCATTGGCCAAAGGGCGAAGCAGCTCCAATGAGCTCCACAAAGCCATCTGCACCTAGGGGGTGGGAGGTAGGAGGGATAAAGATGAAGAGTGAGGAATACACAGCAACATAGCTAGCTGAGAGGGATATATAGCCCTGAATGTGGTGTCCCATGTTTCTGTTGTGGTCTTCATCCATTCTTCAGGCCTGTTTCCTGCAGTACTATGAGCTGCGTAGGGTCCTTCCTCGTACAGTAAGAATTTCTTGGAAAAGATGGCTGCTCCTCATCTATTTTGTTCCTCACAGGGCCGTTTCCTCCAAGGCCCACCCGCTCAGCTCCATCAACATGCCCCCTTTTCTCTCTACCTAAATAGATACTGATGTGGCCCCCATCATCATGATGTTTGAGCACCTAGTCTCATATTAACTCAGAGGGAAACAGAGATCAAGGCAACGTGAATGCATGGTGATAGAGCCTGTGCAGCGCGTGAAACTTACTTTCTACTCCTCCTGAGACAGCTGGAGCACCTGTTTTGGATCACAGTTATCCTACTTGAGCACCATAGGATGTCATTTAAAAACCCCCACACCTTTTATGCTATTCTAGACACACACTATAGCACTGTGTAGGGTAAGTCCCATGATTTTATGTAGGGTTTTCCATTGGAACGGTATCCTGATATTGGAGGTGGGCTGGAACTGAAAAGCCATGTACAAACATCCTAACTTTGGGATAGTTCACACCCAGATTTGGATCCAAAAATTTCCATGGTGAGTAACTTAAAAACATCGACTCGTAATTCCAGTAACAGAGGCAGAGTAATTCTGAGATCGATGTAAAGGAGAAAAGATAGGCTGAGATGTAGATAAAAGAGAGCTGATGACTTTGAGACAAGGAAAGACTGTTCCAGCTGGCAGGAGGTGCAATGGTTCTCATATCAATGGGCGCAAGGAGAAATAGTCAGTGTTAGATAAATGGAGAGAACAAAGAAGGCAGAGTAAAGACCATGGCCATTATTTTTTAAAAAAAAGTTAGGCTCCTAAATCCCTGGCCCTGCCTCCTCCCCCGGGCATGCTGCATTTCCCCCCCCCCTTACTTCCTGCGGCTACCCCCCACACACAACAGCCCACCCTAGCTCACCTCCGCTCCACCTGCTCCCCTGAACACGCCACCGCTCTGCTTCTCCCCCCTTCCTCTCAGGCGAGGGAGAGGCAGTGCGTTCAGGGGAGCAGGCGGAGTGGAGGTGAGCGAGGGTGGGGGGGAGCGCAGGAAGTAACGGGGGGGGAGTAGAGGAACCTCTCCCTGCCCCAGCTCACCTCCGCTCCACCACCGCTGCCTCCCCCGAGCGCGCCGCCGCTCAGCTTCTCCTCCCTCCCGCCCAGGCTTGCTGCGCAAAACAGCTGTTTCGCGCGCGGCAAGTCTGGGAGGGAGGGGGGAGAAGCAGAACGGAGGCGGCGCGCTCAGGGGAGCAGGCGGAGGCAGAGTGGATGTGAGCTGGGGTGGCGGGGGCACATTTCCAGAATGCCACCCCTAGAAATGTGCCGCCCCAAGCACCTGCTTGTTTTGCTGGTGCCTAGAGCCGGCCCTGGCTGGAAGGGATTTTGAGAAGTCATCAAGTCCAGCCCCCTGTACTGAGGCATGTCCAAGTAAACCTAGACCATCCCTGACTAGTGTTTGAATGATATTAGCCTTTTTTACAGCTTCATCACATTGTTGACTCATATTCAATTTGTGATCCACAATAACCCCCAGATCCTTTTCAGCAGTACTTCTACTTAGTCAGTTGTTCCCCATTTTGTAGCTGTGCATTTGATTTTTCCTTCTTAAGTAAAGTACTTTACATTTGTCTTTATTGAATTTCATCTTGTAGAATTCAGACCAATTCTCCAATTTGTCAAGGTCTTTTAAATTCTAATCCTGGCCTCCAAATTGTGTGCAACCCTTCCCAGATTTATGTCACCCACAAATTGTATTAACATATTTTCTACTCCATTATCCAAGTCATCAATAAAAATATTGAATAGAACCAGACCCAGGACTGACCTGCAGAAACCGACTATATAAGCCCTCCCTGGTTGATCATGAACGATTAACTACTCTTTCAACTAGTTGTGCACCCACCTTATAGTAATTTCATCTATATTCATAGAATCATAGAATATCAGGGTTGGAAAGGACCTCAGAAGGTCATCTAGTCCAACCCCCTGCACCTCCTGCTCAAATCAGGACCAATCCCCAATTTTTGCCCCAGATCCCTAAACGGCCCCATCAAGGATTGAACTCACAACCCTGGGTTTAGCAGGCCAATGTTCAAACCACTGAGCTATCCCTCCCCTCAATTTCCTTAGCTCTCCCTCCCTCCATTTCCTTAGCTCACTTATGAGAATGTGATGTGGGACTGTCAAAATTCTTGCTAATATCAAGATTTATCACATCTACTACTTCTCCCCTATCCACTAGACCAGTAATCCTGTCGACATACTGAGTGTCCAGCAGCTCCGTTGACTTCATCAGGAGCCACACGGTGCCTAAATATGGATGTGAAGCCTAACTTTAGGCACTCATTTAAAAAAAAACTTTTTGGTCTATGTCAATTGTTAGGATTGAGTCAGTCCAGGTTCATCATGGGGTTATTAAAGTAGTGAGGGTAGTTCCATGTCCAGGGCCTACCTCTGGTGAGACTCTCACAAGGGTGCCAGTTGACACGGTTTGTTGACAAGGTTATCTAGCCCTGGGAGGTGTACTGAAAAGATCAACTCGTTTTTCATTAAATTCACCAGTTTTTAATGTTTATCCAGCAAAGTCCCTTTCCCAACCCATCTTCAAATCCCAGGCTAAAAGGCGGGAGGCTCGATTATATTTCTGGTGCCCAGGAGAGGCCTTTTTTGAGAAACTGGTGAAACCATTGCTGTTAGAGCTGGTTGAAAATTTTCTTACCTCTTTTTTAATTTCAGTGAGAAATTGGTTTTGAATTAAATGAATATTTTCATGAGAAATGTTTCCAGCATTATTTTTTTTTTCCATCAGAAAACCAAAAATTGTTCAGGTTTGGGGGTTTCAGTTTTTCAACAGTTGATTTTTTTTCACAGAAAATGTTGATGAAAATATATACTTTTTTCATTTTACTCAAAATTCTCCATGAGGGGACACCTCTCCCCCCCCCCCCCCCAAAAAAACACATCTTCCAACTGGCTTCTGTTGCCGTACCAGAGCTGCTCTATGGTCCTTCAGCTAGAAGAGGCAAATTCAGCTCCGTTATTCCAGTGCTATCGCATGTGCAGCAGCATAACTGATCTCAGAATTGTAGTTCAACAGAGACCCTTGCAAAGATAAAAGGAGCTTATAAAGGATCGCAAACCTGTCCAGAACTCCCACTCTCTGTTTTTGTGGCCATCAGAGTTTGCTGCCTAATGTTTCACCAGCAGTGTTCATTAGCCCAGGGCTGTGGATCACAAATACACTCTTAGTTCCCTTTCTAAATTACCAGCTGAAACACCCAATTTATTTTGCCCTATTTTCATATCAATAAACCTCTTTTGATTTTAGCTGATTTGGTAAAAAAAGGGTTATCAATGAGAACATTCTCTGCAGCTCCACACATTTCTTTTATTGGCTTTCTTTCATCATATCAGCATTTATGAAACACCTTTTACACTATCCATCAAACACAGAAATAGCCATTAAAACTCTGTACAAAGATTTATAGGGTTTGCAGAGAAGTGTAAATTTCTTGACTAGAAAATCAAGGCTCAGGGGTCTGATTGCTGTATTAATAAATGTTTATTATCCCTGGGGCTTTACTATGCTCTTCCACTTCAAAAAAGTCACCAGCGGGCAAAGTGCAAAGATACTTGAACTACTCTCCACTGGTGAAGGAGGTACCTCCAAGGAAAGGATGAGGCACATTTGCAAGATGGCATATGGGGAGTTTGCTGCTACTGTAGCTGCTCTGTGGATAAATATGACTTTAGCCTTCAGAGTTGTAGGTCTGGATTAGGCACAAGACCTCCTCATCAATCTCCCCCTGGTACTAGCTAAGATTGCCATCCATTGGTCCAGGAGGAAGAAGCTTGACAGGGAAGTTTTCTATGGCTGTGGGTCCATTTTCCAGTTCCTTGTGGATGCATCTAGGCACAGTTCCTGTGTGTTGCCCCTGCTGACTCCCTGGACAAATTGGAAGAGTGGGTACTGTCCAAGGTTCTCTGCTTGGTTTTCCCCCTCTGGGTCCTTCATTTGGCCTTGAGACCTGCACCTCCATCTCCATTTTTAATTTTTTGCCACCCATAATCAGTTAAGTTTTGGATTCTGTGGCCCTTCCTGCATCTCAGGAGCAGATCTTTCTTTTCATTGCTTTGGTGGGCCCTGCCCACCATCCCAGCACTTAAATAGGCTGGCTTCTTTTGCCAGATCTCAATTCACTTAGAAAACAAGAGTTGAATGAGAGAGACAAACTACAGTGTACTTTTTTCGTATCTTTAGGAACCTGTTACTGTTTCTTCACATGTAGTGACTATCTCCAGCCTACTGCCTGCCACGTCCTACAATTGCAGCGTGACTACCTTCAGCCACAACAGCCCTAGTGTTCCCACCTTCATAGCTGTCTCTACCATGGGTAAGCCGGACTTTGCCAGTTCCACTCTCTATACAGCTGTAATGTTTGCCTCTTTGTTCCTTCTGAAGCTGCTTTTCAGGTGTTACCGATACCTAAATTATTTCACTGAAACGTAGCCAGCTCCAGGGTGGAATGGGGCAGCAGCTTTTAAGTGTTAAGTATTAAGTATTGCTGTTACGTATGTTCACCACTAGAGAGTGTGTTTTTTAATCAGTAGTGAAACCCCAATTACTGTGTGTGTTTTAAAATAATTCTATTTTGATTTTAGATTGGGCTTTTTAATTCATAGTCCCTTGCTTCCAGTTCGAAGGAAGACTCTGGGATTACTGCCCGGATGACATCCGTAGAGGAAATCATCCTCACCGTGTCCAGGCAAAATATGGGCAAAGACTCAGTTACTAGGCCGGGGCTCTTCCTCTGTGGTAATGAGGAATGTCTCTTTCTGCCTAAGGTGATCTGGGAAGAGGTGAAAAGGAAAGGGCAGCTGAATGACCTGGAGAGGTCAGAAACTAAAAAGATGGAGCCAAGCCCCTCTAGCATTCTTATGGGTTCTGGGCTCAAATTTACTCGGAGGAAAGAATGCCATTATTGAATCACCATTACCACTTCCTTACAGCTGTGGGTCTCCCATCCAGAATAATCAGTTTCAGTTCTGCTTAGTTAATGAGATCAGACCATAGGATCAGTGACTAAAGCATATCTGACAAGTAATGTTATGATGTAAATGTCAAAGTTCAGCGTGTAGTACTTAGCTTAAACCCCTGTTCTGTTCTAAGGACTGCTTCTGTAGGCACTCTTATAATAGATGGTAAGCTTTACTGAGCAAGGTTACTCCCTTCTTTGGTGCCATCACAATACAAATAATAAATAATAATAATAATGTCCTGTAGAACTAGAAATAAATCTGAAAAAGCAGATGCAAACATACCTGTTAAGAATGTTACTGAGCTTTGACTCTGTCTCTAATTGCAACAAAATATTTTAGGCCAAATTATCTGCTGAAGTAATTCAGTTGTCTTCAACTGAGTTACCCAAACAGAGAACTGGGCCTTTATGTCAGACTCAGGTTAGAGACTGTGTTGATTATTGCTGGCATACAATGCCACAGATGTTGGAGTGCATTGTAAGAGACTCAGATAAATAAGATACCAATTTTATATACACTTATTCTTTCCTCCTTCCCTACCTTTTTCCTCCTTTTCACTAACATTCATAAAACCTTCCTGTGCAGAGGTTTGCAACTCTGCCACAACCATGTCATTTCCCCTATTGAATTGTATGGGGTCCGTGACCCTAAACCTGCCCTAACATCCACTGATAAGATTTCTCACTCCGAAGATCAACTGAGAAGAATATAAAATTATCATGAAAAAAATACAGGCCATATGTTCTGAAATGAATAACCCAGAGTCATGGTTTGTGTGCAGTTACTGAGATGAATCCCAACATAGTGGTGATCTCTGTGTTAGCCATCCTGAGCATTCTCCTGATTGGACTGCTGCTTGTGACTCTTGTTGTACTCAGGCGGAAACATCTGCAAATGGCCAGGTAGGTCCAGTCTTATTCTAAGTCCAGGAAGCTTTAAAAGAATGGGTAAAATATAATATTGGGTTTTGCTTGTATGGCACATGGTACCCACTGTGCTCACTTGGTGTTTGAGATGTCTGTAAACATAGTACCTCTGAAGATTCCCTGTTCTCCGCTGTTTTTTAGGAGTACAACTACTACTTGCTTTATCCCTTAGCTATTCTTACTGTTGGATGGAGTTATTAGCCTCAACCTCTGTCTTAATTTGGAGCTGTGTAGGGTTTGGTAAATTGCAAATTCAAGCCATTTTTAAGGGCTGATTGTCTAAGCAGTCATATTCTCTCGAGTCATTTGATTGTTCAGATTTACTGAATATTAAATGAAATATGAGATGGTTTTAAGACAGGTAAAGATGAATGGTTAATAGAATCCTTAAGATCATCCAGGTTATTTTGCAAAATCATTTAAATTGCTGGGAACACAAAATTTGCTATGCCAGATCAGATAACTAATCCATCAAGACCAGTCTCTCAGTGCCCAGTATTTGTTCCTTCAGACAGAAGAAAGGCACCTTTTCCCCTCCCTCCAAGTACTGCTCTTTACATATGATGCAGTTCCTTCATACACCTGCAGCAGCCATCCTATGCCCTGAAGAATGAGATTTGATTTCCTTTATCTAGTGTTGTAGCTCACAGTTCACCTCTTGTCTGAGTTATATCCTTGACTGGCTAGCTAAACTGGGTGGCTAATCACCCAGATCCTCTGTATGTAGTTCTGTGACCGGAAGGTTTGCAGGTCTGAGCCTTGGGAGTCTCCGTTCTCTTATAATCCAGAACCATAATGTGTGTGTGAAATAATACATTTAAATTGAATTTTTCCTTCGAAGTCAGAAAATCAAGTAATGTCACTTCAGAGGGTCACTTTAAAGAACTTGCTCGCTGATTACACAACAGATTGTTGCATTTCATGCATCACGTCTTTGCTATATACTCCATGCAAATGAATTTACCCCATCACCTAGATTTTCATAGGACCCCTTTCAATGCATTGTTTGTTACTTTTGCATATAGCTGGTTCTGTGAAAACCCAGATTCTTTTCCCTAGTTAACTATCATGCACGCAGCCCATGGCTATTTCTTTCTCATTTTCTCTACCACAAGAGGAATTTAAAAAAAAACAGAACTATACACTTGCATGTAATCATTTTTAAAGCAAACAAGCAAAAATACTGAACATTCGGTTTTTCATTTGATGTTGAGAAGGTCAAAGGTTGGTTTTGTGGTTAAAGCACTGGAATAAAGACTCCAGTCCTGGCCTTGCCACACATTGCCTATGTGGTATTAGGCAAGTCATTTAAACACTATGCCTCAATTTCTCCATTGGTGAAATGGGGATAATGCTTCCTTACCTCCTAGGGGTGATGTAAGGACAAATACAGTATACTCCTGATTATTTAAAGAGCATGGGGGACACAGATTTTATTCAGATAATTGAGAGGACAGGAGCCATTCAGCGGTGGGATGGCCTCCCCCACAGCCAGGGTCTCGTCATCCTCCTTGAGCTCCTGGCTCAGGGGCTCTGCTCTGCCCTGATCACTCACTTCAGTGACCGCGGGGCTGCAGAGGGCTCCCTCCACTGCCGCAGGAGCAAATCAGCAGTAGGGTGATTCATTATCCTCCGCCTCACAGTCCTTGCTGGGGGTCTCTGCTCTATTATCCAAACCTCCACATTATCCAGATCCCTTCCTTGTCCCCCTGCATGAGATACATGCTTCAGGGGGCATGTGTGTCATACTGGGGGGACAAGGAAGGAATTCGGATAATGCAGAGGCTCCGACAATAGGATTTCATATGAACAGGAGAATACTGCACTTGGCAGGTGCTCTGAAACTATGGAGATTGGTGCCATGTACATCCCTAGACAGAAATCAATTTTGACAACTTTTTTCTCATCTTATTCTTGAGGCAGAATATTAGGAAGCTTGATCTCAGGAGATGGTGAGCACCCACTACTTCTAAAGGGTCGCATCCAGACATGGCTTACGATGGTGCAGATCCACTGACTTCAGTTGAGCTTCACCCAGCAAGTTCAGCCCTTGCTTCAGTGGGAGGCCTGGATACACACCACCTTTTAGAATCAGGCTCTTAATGATCTGTATTAGGGCAACACCGCTGACAAAATCAACAAGCATTATGTTTGTCCAGCAATAATAACCTTGAACTCAATGGTCTTCCTGAAACAGGGAGTGTGGGGCTGGAACCTTTGTCAATTTTGCTTCATTGGAGAGAGATGGAAAACTTCCATATAACTGGTGAGTTAAATACTGCTACCTCCATGCTTCCCCTCCCCGCATTCCTTTTCTCACGAGCTACCTTCGTTGGCAAGTCTGACTTTTATGTTCTTATGTTTTTGTTATATGATCACTAGTGCATTTAACATGAAGTAAAGCTAGCTTATTTTTGGTTTTGTTTTGTCTTTTATTTGACTGAATGGTGGCCCAGGACCATGTCTTTTGTCATAAACTATTTTTTAGTAGGAAATGAGGATGCACAACATATTCCAACTGGGCTAGATGCATTTTTTTTTCTTTCCCTTACACACATTCTGTATATTTCCTAAAATAACAAAGCGGTAGAGGGCTGATCTATAAATCCATTAGCAGCTCTATGGAGATGTATTAATGTCAAGCAGTGAGGCTGCTCTTAATAGATCATCAGCTAACAATTCTGTTCACAGAAATACAAGCCCCAGTGCCATTAGTTATTTTTCCTTTGTATTTGGAACAAGGCCAAGCTAGCTCAAATCGCCCTTGCAACTTTGTGCTCAGTGTTGCTGGGGTGTTTGGAAGCAAAACACACCCAGTCAGGTCTGGAAAACCATCTGCAGAAACAGCAGGCATTGATTAGTTACTCCATTCCATCAATAGTTCCATCACTCCCTGAGAGGTGTTAGAGCAAATAAATCCACCCTATTAGCTTCCATCGAGGCAAAATGGGCCCTAGTGATTTCCCTATTGTCTGCTGATGTTGTGATTCTTGTTCATGTTCCTGATAGTTCAGTGGTGCTGCTAACTGACTTGTTTACTGTTTTGGGAAGTTATTGTCAGCAACCCCAAAAAAGCCAAACATGAGTAGCTTCCAAAGCTGGCCAAAATACAGTGTTCAAAAAATGCCACCAAACTCCATAGGGAAAAGAAACTAAGTGCTTCAGTTTTTCCACTCGTGGTTCAGTTTTGTTGAATGTGAACGGGGTTGGAATGAGGAATTGGTGGACCTGGAACTGTTTCTATGATCTCACGGGGTGTAGGCTGCCAGCAAGGATGGGATTAAATGGATTGCTACTGCACCAAAACAAGCCTTTTGCTAATAAGCACACAAACTGAACTAACAATCCCAGCACAGCCTGTCAATACCTAACAGTGCTGCTAATTAACTACATATTGAACAAGCTTCACTTGCTTGGTGTAGCTTTAATAGCAGCCAGCCATACTGAGTACATGCTAATCTCCTTCTCAGCTTCTCTTATTTGGAATATGTTAATTGCAGCCCAGGCAGAAGCTCAAACACTCCTGTAAATTAAAAATTCACACTGGAATCAAATTACTAAAATAGCAACAGACATTAAAAACAGAAAGGGCTTTTGGGGGGAGAATTCATTGTTAGATTTGCATGAGTAAGTGTGACCATTCTTGTTGCTTGAGTTATCATCTGCATGAATTCTCAAAGATTATACCTGTTTAGTATTTGACCAGTTTAAGGCAATGGGGCCAAATCTTGAGGTCCTCACTTCAGTGCGAGTTTTGCCTGAAATGGTCACTATAAACAAAGATAGGAATTCCAATCATATTAGCTTGTGGTTTGATGGACACTTGTCCTGTTTGATATCAGAGGATGAAAGGAAACATCGACTAGACTGTTCCGTCTGCCTCTGTGGGCAGATGGGATGAAGACCTGCAAATCCCCGACCCTGGGGATGTGGAAGGGAAGAGGGTTGCCTTAGCAACAACATCTGCTCCTACTCCCAGGCCCTGTGGAAGGCCCTCTGTGAAAATAGAGGCTTGCTTGTGAAGAGACCCACTTTGTCCCCACACCAGTCCCACAGGGATTCCTCTCAACTATTAAGGATTAAGGACCTGATCTTATAAACACATAAGCACATGCTTAATTTTAAGCAAGTATGTAGTCTTCATGTCAGTGGTATTGCTCATGTGCTTAGAGTAAATTATGTGCTTAAGTGTTTGCAAGATTGGTGCCTAAACTAGTGTTAACTTTACTGCTCTCCCAGTCCATGCTTCATAGCTGCCTGGAGGATGGGTTGTATGGGCAGCATCACCAGGTGAGTTCTGGGCAGCATGTTTCCCTGGCCCCCAGGCAGACTTGTATCTGACAGACACACACACACCCCCATCTGTAAAAATCGCTCTAGATTTTGGGCCCAACAAACTCTCCAGCACCCTTTATTTGCTGCAGCAGCAACAACAAAAAGTAAGATATTTCCTGGAGTTTCCACTTCCCTATGTGGGGTTTTCCTGTGTAGTGTCTCATAGAATATCAGAGTTGGAAAGGACCTCAGGAGATCATCTAATCCAACCCCCTACTCAAAGCAGGACCAATCCCCAATTTTTTTTTGCCTCAAATCCCTAAATGGCCCCTTCAAGGATTAAACTCACAACCCAAGGTTTAGCAGGCCAATGCTCAAACCACTGAGCTATCCCTCCCCCCAGACTGGATGATTTGGGTTAGGGTCACTTACGGCAGACACAGCTTGATTTTCACTCTCTCTCTGGTGTGCACACATGCACACTCTTGCTCAAACACACACACATGCCCCAGCTCACGAAAGCTTATGCTCAAATAAATTTGTTAGTCTCTAAGGTGCCACAAGTCCTCCTTTTCTTCTTACCACAGACAAAGGCAGTGTCCATTCTTTGTTCCTGTTTTAGAGTAGTCAGGCATAGGTCAGCAGTATTACTTCTGGGAATTGCCAGACATTCATGATAAGCCAAATCACAAAATTCTTACTCAGTTCAAGCTCCCATTGATTGAATGAGTGCAGAATCTATCAGTTTCATTAAGAGTTAATGTTTGCAATGTACTTTGATTATACAAGACCAAATTCTACTAAGTGCTGTAAAGCCAGAGTAACTCCTGTATTAACTGAGTTTCTTTGGATTTACACCTGTGTAAGTCAGAGCAAAATTTGGTCCATAACACACAAATATAAATGTAAAGGGTTATTTTGTATCTAAAACTTATGTTTAATAGTAGTGAAATCTGCCATAAATAATTACCCACAGAAACAACAGAAATAAACTGAGTTTAGCAAAGGAACAAATAGAACTTTGCTGGAAACCATTGAGGAATAATGTATGGTGACTATTTAAGACTTGGTATTGCCTATTAGTGGTATTGCCTTTGCAGTTTCAAGGTCATTTGCAGAAATCTAACTCAACAGGACTGAGAAGGTATATGGACCTGATCCCTTGACACTCACACACATATTCCCACTGAAGCCAATGGGACTACTTGCCAGAACAAGTTTTGCAAATTCGGGCTATATAATAGCTATATTTAGCTGAAAATGAAATGTAACTCCCTTGAAATACCCTAAATACTGTAAACTAGAGCAATATAAATGATGACAAAGTTGCGGGTGAGATTTTAAAGGCACCTTAGTGACTTTAGGCACTGCTGAAAATCCCACCCTGAGTTCACATGGAGCATCTTTACCTGGCACCATTACATCCATTAACATTGCTTTAAAATATTGGGCTTAAATCTACACTGCCTTGCACTCTGTGTAGTTATTTGCACTACTGTAAAATGCTCCCATCCAGTTGTGTATAATTTTACACTCACTTTGAACAGGTATAAATTACTACACAAGCTGCAGGATCATGGAGTACCAGTGCCATGGAATCTAATAATTTTCACGTTTAACAGAGTAACAGGAATTTTTTATCCTATTAACTAACCTCTATTATGCAATTGACTGAGCTCCTGAGTTTAGTTTGTCTTACTAACTCTCCTCACTTTTTTTTCATCTTTATATATGTTATCTATTAATGCTCACAGGCGTAGAAGTGTATTTGCTTTCCTAACTCTGCTACCCTCATGCCTCTGGACTGATTATCTTTTGGCATTTTATATTAATCCTTGGTAAGTGATTTTACTTGTTTTTCCCTATGCAATAGCTAAACCATATTAATTTCCCACTACATGAAAAATGTGTTCTTTTGTTTTCAAATGGTTGGAAGTTCTTGAAGTTACAATAATTTTCATGTGCTGAAATATGGACTGGAGAGTGTGTGTGTGTCAAAATACATGCTATTTGCTTCACATTTTGCTTGTTTATGCTCCTACCCATTTTGTTACTTAAAAAGAAAAATTTTGTAGACGTCACTCTCACACACTTCATTATTGTCCCTATGCAACTTTTATGACTTTATTACAAACCCCCTTGTAACTTTTGCTTCATCCACTTGCTGATTGCCTGATGATGCTTTCTGCTGCTGTCTCCTCTTACTAATTGCTTGGTGTTAGCTCACCTGTCTAAATCCAAAACAAACCATTTGTTTTTAAAGGTGCAATCTTTCTCCACCAAAGTCAATAGGCATTTTGCTGTTGGGAGCAAAAACTGGCCCAGAATTTGTACAGCAAATGCTTTGAGCTAGCTCTCCCCAACCATAATAAATGGGTCACACTTGAAATTAAGGTTCCATTTATAAAGGATTAATAAATGATTGATGTTTTGATAAATAGCTAATCAATTGATTTAGATCCAAAGGCTTCTTACAACCCTGGCTTATAATCCTCTCCAACATCTTTAATTGCTGTGTTTATAAACAGCCATAACATGGACCACCCATGTCTGTAGCTTGCTTATACCATATAAAATCATAAATGAAATCTTAATATATGTATGACCAAGAAGTTTTTACTTAATGGGAGGGAGTTTGTGCCCCTCTAGATCTGAAATCAAAGTGATGCCTCTCCTGTTTGGTACTAAAATCAAGAGAATGGCTCTCTCTCGCTGTTGCCAAAATCTTTTACCAGGATGGTAGCAGTATTCGTGTGGAGCGGCAGTGCCCAGTTAAGTTAGTCAGAGGAATATACTATACAAGGATTGTGGAGACGAAGTATCATCTCTGGTTTTGTTGCATATTTAAAAACACTCATCTAAATTGGGATTGGATCCAGATAAAGTAAACTTTTTGATTACTAGAGAAAGGGGAAGCCGATGGGAGTTTTGCCATTGACTTCTATAAGAGCAGGAGCAAAGCCTCCAAAAAGCACTCAGGGCCTGGTACTCCTTTGACCTGCCCCTTGTGTCAGGGCGCTGGAACAAGTTGTATAGTGGGGGTGCTCAGAGTCATTGAACCAAACTGTAAGCCAGGGTGTGTGGCAGCACCCTCCGCACCCCTAGTCCCAGCACCTATGCTTTGTGTAGTCATTTATACAAGTCCAAAGTGGATATAACATGATATCGAATCAGGATAATAGTATTCTACACCCATGCTGCACTGTGTAAATTACCACACAAGGTGCGGCACTGTGGTGAATCTGGCCTTCAGAGTGTTAGATTGTTTTTTACTAAGCCTATGATAAGCCTATAATGTAAATGGAATATCAGCATGAAATGAAATCTGTTGTTTCAAGCGTCCTCGTTTTACATGCAATTTGGTTATGACATTTTGTGAATACTCAGCAGCCATTGCAATGTAAAGTAACAAAAGACTCTTGAGATTCTGAAAGCTTAATGAATGTTTTCTGTTTGTCTCATGGGGTATTGATGTCAATCATCTGTTTTATGTGCCTATTGAAGTGTTCCTTGGAGATTTCCTAGAAGCACTCCCATCATGGCAGCACTTAATATTTTTCTTTTTTAATTAATCCTATATGCCAATCTTTCAGATTTACCCTAGTCACAAGGGATAACAAAAGTTGTATTTCGATAGCCTGGATGAATTCATTTTTAAGACTTCTTTGGCAAAACTACCATTAAGGTGTAAAATAAATGTTTCAGGGGTATGGGTATGGGTATAGTCAAGGTGCACACATGTCAGTGTCTAAATAGCAAAAAGTTATTTCAAGTTAGATAGATAATGGTATATATTGTATTACATAGTAATTGTTCCACACCGGTGTAGAAATGTTATTGGCATAGCTATGTTAACTCTGCAGACGCATCATCTGTTATGAATGAAAATAGATTGTTACAATACAACAAGAAGGTACTGGGCCAGAGTAGAAGCTGATGTAGTAGGAGCTGATCTAGAAACTTTTCTTGAGAGGGAATTATTTAGAAAGAAAACAAGCAGTTTTTGCTTCATTCTTTTTTGTTGTTGTTGTTTTGTTTTATGAAAAAAATCAGAACAGTTTTTTAGAAACCTGTTTAAAACTTTTGTTCATTTCCAAAAAATATGTTTTGACTTTTTGGGGTGTTTCCCCCTTCCTCTTATCCTTTTTTGCTTTTGAAACCTCCCCCCACCCCCCCACACACACTTTTAATACCTCTGGAGATGAAAGGAGGGAAAACTTAAATTTTCTTTTTTCAATTTCCTCTGTATTTTTCCTTGCTATTTCAAAACATTTTTTGAAAATATCAAAATATTATTGTTGTTTTTTTAAAAAAGCATTTTGAATTTGTTTTTTAAAAAAATGAAAAAAATCATCAAAATATTTTTCCCTGAAAAATTTAGTTTTCCCATTTTGGGATTTTAAAAAAATCTAATTTCAACCAATCTTAGCTAGTGTGAACTGGTTTAGCCAAGAGTATCTAGCAATCACTTGATTATGACCATGAAATAAAAAAGTTTTAACTTTATTATAGCAGGACATGCTTAAGGGCAGATATCACTAAAGGCCCAGAAAAAGTATTTAACACTTCTGAGGGGCCTTTTAGGAAGCAAAAATTTGTTCAAGCTGTCTGATTGTCTTAGCAAACATGATCAATAGTTCTTAGAAACTGTAGATAAATTAATTCAGAATGTGCTCATTTGCACATGTAATTTAACTGGTTAACATTGTTCCAGCGAGACAAGCTTTCAAGCTTACACAGAGTTCTTCTTCAGGTCTTCCTTAGTGTAGTGAATCATCACATATTAGAACTGTTTTCAGACAGACTTGAGCCAGGGCTCCTTGTCTGGAACAATATGTAAGGTATGATGGTGGTTAGTATACTGCACTTTTTATTTCTGTTCTTAAATATTACCTTGCTTAACTCATTCATTTCCTACTCCTGTTGAAATCTGTGGGATATTTGCCATTGCCTTCATTGTGGAAGTAGAGGATCATTCCTCATTCTGATTATGTGGTGTATGTGAAATGCCATGTACAGGCTAGAATTTCTTCGCCTCATGTGTGTTTCGAAAGGGTTGCCAGGGGCTGCCAATCCTTGCACACCTGTGTAGGCCTAGGTATAGTCTCAGTCCTTGTGTTTCTTTCATCTGTGTGGTGACACTAGCTTTCCTAGAGGAGATAGGATCAGGTGAGGCAGGGACAGAGCTGAAGTGACTGAATCATAGAATATCAGGGTTGGAAGGGACCTCAGGAGGTCATCTAGTCCAACCCCCTGCTCAAAGCAGAACCGATCCCCAAATAAATCATCCCAGCCAGGGCTTTGTCAAGCCTGACCTGAAAAACTTCTAGGGAAGGAGATTCCACCACCTCCCTACGTACACATTCCAGTGTTTCACCACCCTCGTAGTGAAAAAGTTTTTCCTAATATCCAACCTAAATCTCCCCCACTGCGACTTGAGACCATTACTCCTTGTTCTGTCATCTGCTACCACTGAGAACAGTCTAGAGCCATCCTCTTTGGAACCCCCTTTCAGGTAGTTGAAAGCAGCTATCAAATCCCCCCTCATTCTTCTCTTCTGAAGACTAAACATCCCCAGTTCCCTCAGCCTCTCCTCATAAGTCATGTGTTCCAGACCCCTAATCATTTTTGTTGCCCTCCGCTGGACTCTTTCCAATTTATCCACATCCTTCTTATAGTGTGGGGCCCAAAACTGGACACAGTACTCCAGATGAGGCCTCACCAATGTCGAATAGAGGGGAACGATCACGTCCCTCGATCTGCTAGCAATGCCCCTACTTATACATCCCAAAATGCCATTGGCCTTCTTGGCAACAAGGGCACACTGTTGACTCATATCCAACTTCTCGTCCACTGTAACCCCTAGGTCCTTTTCTGCAGAACTGCTGCCGAGCCATTCGGTCCCTAGTCTGTAGCGGTGCATTGGATTCTTCCGTCCTAGGTGCAGGACTCTGCACTTGTCCTTGTTGAACCTCATCAGATTTCTTTTGGCCCAATCCTCCAATTTGTCTAGGTCCCTCTGTATCCTATCCCTACCCTCCAGCGTATCTACCACTCTTTCCAGTTTAGTGTCATCTGCAAACTTGCTGAGGGTGCAATCCACACCATCCTCCAGATCATTTATGAAGATATTGAACAAAACCGGCCCCAGGACCAACCCCTGGGACACTCCGCTTGATACCGGCTGCCAACTAGACATGGAGCCATTGATCACTACCCGTTGAGCCCGACAATCTAGCCAGCTTTCTATCCACCTTATAGTCCATTCATCCAGCCCATACTTCTTTAACTTGCCGACAAGAATACTGTGGGAGACCGTGTCGAAAGCTTTGCTAAAGTCATGGAACAACACGTCCACTGCTTTCCCTTCATCCACAGAGCCAGTTATTTCATCATAGAAGGCAATTAGATTAGTCAGGCATGACTTGCCCTTGGTGAATCCATGCTGAGTGTTCCTGATCATTTTCCTCTCCTCTAAGTGCTTCAGAATTGATTCCTTGAGGACCTGCTCCATGATTTTTCCAGGGACTGAGGTGAGGCTGACTGGCCTGTAGTTCCCAGGATCTTCCTCCTTCCCTTTTTTAAAGATGGGCACTACATTAGCCTGTTTCCAGTCATCTGGGACCTCCCCCGATGGCCATGAGTTTTCAAAGATAATGGCCAATGGCTCTGCAATCACATCCGCCAACTCCTTTAGCACTCTCGGATGCAACGCATCCGGCCCCATGGACTTGTGCTCGTCCAGCTTTTCTAAATAGTCCCGAACCACTTCTTTCTCCACGGAGGGCTGGTCACCTCCTCCCCATGCTGTGCTGCCCAGTGCAGTAGTCTGGGAGCTGACCTTGTTAGTGAAGACAGAGGCAAAAAAGCATTGAGTACATTAGCTTTTTCCACATCCTCTGTCACTAGGTTGCCTCCCTCATTCAGTAAGGGGCCCACACTTTCCTTGACTTTCTTCTTGTTGCTAACATACCTGAAGAAACCCTTCTTGTTACTCTTAACATCTCTTGCTAGCTGCAACTCCAGGTGTGATTTGGCCTTCCTGATTTCACTCCTGCAAGCCCAAGCAATATTTTTATACTCATCCCTGGTCATTTGTTCAATCTTCCACTTCTTGTAAGCTTCTTTTTTGTATTTAAAAGCAGCAAGGATTTCACTGTTAAGCCAAGCTGGTCGCGTGCCATATTTACTATTCTTTCTACGCATTGGGATGGTTTGTCCCTGTAACCTCAATAAGGATTCTTTAAAATACAGCCAGTTCTCCTGGACTCCTTTCTCCCTCATGTTATTCTCCCAGTGGATCTTGCCCATCAGCTCCCTGAGGGAGTCAAAGTCTGCTTTTCTGAAGTCCAGGGTCTGTATTCTGCTGCTCTCCTTTCTTTCTTGTGTCAGGATCCTGAACTCGACCATCTCATGGTCACTGCCTCCCAGGTTCCCATCCACTTTTGCTTCCCCTACTAGTTCTTCCCAGTTTGTGAGCAGCAGATCAAGAAGAGCTCTGCCCCTAGTTGGTTCCTCCAGCACTTGCACCAGGAAATTGTCCCCTACATTTTCCAAAAACTGCCTGGATTGCCTGTGCACCGCTGTATTGCTCTCCCAGCAGATATCAGGATGATTGAAGTCTCCCATGAGAACCAGGGCCTGCGATCTAGTAACTTCTGCGAGTTGCCAGAAGAAAGCCTCGTCCACCTCATCCCCCTGGTCTGGTGGTCTATAGTAGACTCCCACCACGACATCACCCTTGTTGCTCACACTTCTAAACTTAATCCAGAGACTCTCAGGTTTTTCTGCAGTTTCATACTTGAGCTCTGAGCAGTCATACTGCTCCCTTACATACAGTGCAACTCCCCCACCTTTTCTGCCCTTTCTGTCCTTCCTGAACAGCTTATATCCATCCATGACGTACTCCAGTCATGTGAGTTATCACACCAAGTCTCTGTTATTCCAATCACATCATAATTCCTTGACTGTGCCAGGACTTCCAGTTCTCCCTGCTCGTTTCCCAGACTTTGTGCATTTGTATATAGGCACCTGAGGTAACCTGCTGATCGCCCCCCTTTCTCAGTATGAGGCAGGAGCCCTCCCCTCTCACGCGCTCCTGCTCATGCCTCCTCCTGGTATCCCACTTCCCCACTTACCTCAGGGCTTTGGTCTCATTCCCCCGGTGAACTTAGTTTAAAGCCCTCCTCACTAGGTTAGCCAGCCTGCTTGCGAAGATGCTCTTCCCTCTCTTCGTTAGGTGGAGCCCGTCTTTGCCTAGCACTCCTTCTTGGAACACCATCCCATGGTCAAAGAATCCAAAGCCTTCTCTCCGACACCACCTGCGTAGCCATTCGTTGACTTCCACGATTCGACGGTCTCTACCCAGGCCTTTTCCTTCCACGGGGAGGATGGACGAGAACACCACTTGCACCTCAAACTCCTTTATCCTTCTTCCCAGAGCCACATAGTCCGCAGTGATCCGGTCAAGGTCATTCTTGGCAGTATCATTGGTGCCCACGTGAAGAAGCAGGAAGGGCTGATGGGCTTGATGAGTCTCGGCAGTCTCTCCGTCACATCACGAATCTTAGCTCCTGGCAAGCAGCAGACTTCTCGGTTTTCCCGGTCGGGGCGGCAGATAGATGACTCAGTTCCCCTGAGGAGAGAGTCCCCGAACACCACCACCTGCCTCCTTCTCTTGGGAGCGGTGGTCGTGGAACCCCCAACCCTAGGAGAGTGCATCCCATGCCTTCCAATCGGTGGAGTCTCCTTCTGCTCCCTTCCCTCAGACATATCATCTGGTCCACTCTCCGCATTAGTACCTATGGAGAGAACATGAAAATGGTTACTTACCTGTATCTGCCCTGCTGGTTGTTCCCCTTTTTTCTTCTAGACTGCTAGGGAACTTTATGCTGCAATTTATAAAGGGATGTAGCAGGCTAATTTGGCTTGCATTTCTGGAGGGATTATGCCAGGCTCAGGAAGAAGGGGTGACATTTGGGCCCTTTGAAGTCGGTTAAAAAATTCCCATTGACTTCAGTATAATCAGGATTTCACCCAAGGTCTCTGAACATGGTTTCCTGTGTGCAGTCTCTCCTTCTCCAAAATGCAGGCAGTGCCTTAACACCATAGGGTAAAATCCGTAGGGAGTTTTGCCATTGACTTCAAAGAGGTCAGCTTTCCACCCACACTCCTGACTTACGTATTAAGGCAATCATAAAACCTATACATTCAATTCAGATGGAAACAAGTTCAATTTTGACAGTGGGACTAATTTTTAATCAAGTCCAGATGATGAGTTATACTGAAAAAAGCTGTGTTTGTTTGCCTTACAGGAGTAAAAATGGATTAAAGAAGAGGAAGCTGACCAAGTATGTGACTTTTTGATATTTAAATAATGTTTTAAAAAAATTAATAGTCACATTAGACTGAACAATAATTTTTATGATTATAGGCAATATGGTGTTATGGTTGCAGAGATAAATATTCTTCATTCTGGTAAATACCTCCAGAGAGAGATTGTATCAAGAGATGTCTGGAAGCACATGGCAAGAGATAATTACACTAAATCAGCGGTTCTCAAACTGTGGGTCAGGACCCTATTTTAATGGGGTCGCCAGGGCTGGCTTAGACTTGCTGGGGCTCGGGGCTGAGCCGAAGCCTGAGGGATTCAGCCCTGGGCAGCGGGCTCAGGCTACAGGCCTCCAGGCTGGGGATGAAGCCCTTGGGCTTTGGCTTTGACCCCTTCCCCACCCAGGGCAGTGGGGCTCGGGCTTTGGCTCTGGCTCCCGCACCCGGGGGAATCAGGCAGGAATCAGGCGGACTCAGGCTTCAGTCCTCCCTCCTGGGGCCGCATAGTAATTTGTGTTGTCAGAAGGGGGGTGGGGTCACAGCGCAATGAAGTTTGAGAACCCCTGCACTAAATCAAGAGTACCCTGTGTTTTGTTGTATCTTTTCAACAGCTAGGTTGTGGTAAAAGAGCTCCTGACTGATAGAAAATTAACCACTGGGGAAAGATCAGTTATGCTAAATTAGAAATTCCAACAGGGCCTTTCCTCATTTAAAAATGAAAAACTGAAAAACTGGAACGGATCTGTTTGTACTGCAGTTTCCTTCTTGATGTCAGGCTCTGATGGCAGTTGCTGTTGTGTATTAGATCATTAATGTTAAATAGGTAAAGAGAAGTAATTATCTGGAGATAAAAGACAGTTCCTTGGTGGCATATTGCTTCAAGTACATGAACGGATTATTGTGTACATGCTTCAGTATTTTGTAAATTAAAACATGATAATTACGCGAGGGAAACTGCTTGTATTTCATTATTTAAGGTGTTAATCTAATGACTAATTCTTTAGCCTGAACTCGGGGCCTGATCCTCAGCTGGGGTAAACAGGCATAGCTCCATCAGAGTCAATAAAGCCAGGCCAGTTTATACCAGTTGAAGATCTGGCCCAATATGTTTGTGCTCCATTATCTTCGATGGGCATTGTGCCCACGTATGCTAGAGTAGAATTTGGCTTCTAATGTCAAACATGGCAAACACCTGAACTTCTCAAAGCCAATCGTGAAAATATTTGTTGCTCTGGGGCTGAAATTTTCATATTTTACATCATAGACCTTGTCTGACCCAAATTCAGGCCTGTGTGTGGATGGACCCACCAATGAAACCTATTAATGGCTTGTGTGATTATGGTGCACATGAAATTTAAATGTGTGTGTTTACCAGATAGTTCCCCCTTTATGAAAGGGATTTTTACGTCACTAAGTCAGTTCAAGTGAGCGGCTTTTGCTGCCATCCAGGAATTAGTGCCCATGTATTGTAATTAGAGATGACCAGAACATAAACCCTGGATGTGACCATCTGAACTCTGATGGGACTTAGAATCGGGATCCAAATCTGGCATCCCACGCTCATTTTTAATTGAAATGGAGATTTCAATCAGAGCTATAACTAGAGGGTCCCCTTTGAGACAGTTTGATTTGAAGGGTCAAGAGTTGGTAGCTCTCCTGACTCTCCATTCTATGTTCCATTGCCAGTGGGCCAAATCCTGCATCCTAAATCAGGCAAAATTCAAACTGAAACCAATGGGAATTTTGCCTCAAGATGGACTGCAGAATTTAGCTTCATGACGTGGGTAGATTTATCCTATTAGCCGCAGTTGCCCACATGGCTACAATACAGTACATGTAATCACAGGTAAATGATTCATCGGACAGTATGTGTCACATTTCAGGTACACAAGCTTCCATCTTTTGCAAGCTCTGTCCCAGGTATAATTACGTAGTAGAATACAATGTTAAAAATAGAGATTAGTGAATTGTTAGTACTCAAAAACAAAACAAACCTATTTAAGAAATTAATTTCTTTTCTGTGTGTTTTTGAAAAGCCCTGTCCAGCTGGATGACTTTGATGGCTACATCAAGGATATGGCCAAAGATTCAGATTATAAATTTTCTCTGCAATTTGAGGTATGTATATGGAGATGACAGCTCCTAGCTGCCTCTCCCAAATTGGACGACTATTTATGCCAAACTGCAAGAACCTGATGGGTGGTATGAGTGTGGCATTCAGACTCACACGTCTGTTGTAGCATAGACCAGGTGGCAGCCTAAGTTGACTGCAATGCATTTTTAAAATGAAAAACGGCACTGGTGACAACCAAATCTTCTGAAACAAAGGGACAGTTTACTGGGAAGACATGGTCTTGTCTGACTAGTTTATTTCCCCAGTGCTAAAAATGCAAGATTGTCAAGTGAAGACAAAAGGGAACAACAAACATTGGGTGGAATCTTGGATCTGTTGATCATAGTAGCAAAACTCCATTTGACTTGATAGGGTTAGGATTCCACCCACTGTTGTCTCAGGTGGCACACATTGTCTCCATCTCATTTATGATCATATGTTACAGAATATTTTAGATTGATTATTTAAGGTAATGAATAGTAATTATATAAATCTCAGGATCAAAAGCAGCTGAGAGTTGTCGGTAATTGAGGAAACGTTACTGAAATCTAGCTCAGATGGTGACACCATCTGATAGCTGTTCAGTGGCCTATGTAGAATGAGTTTGGTAGGTCAGAACAAAATCATCAGAATAGGTGACAGTAACTGACAAACCTACTGACAGTCTCATCAGGGTAGCCAAAAGTTGAATGGGCATGGAGACCAGACTTCCCTCCCCACTCTTAGAAGTGGTCGCCCAGGTATGAGCCAAATGATGAGGTATTACAAGGAAACTTGCTGTATCTGTAGTGTCCATAAATAAAGTGCTTTGGAGTCCAGGGCTGTCAGAAGCATTATTCACAAACCATTAATTTTCAGGTGTTAGTCAATTTAATGGCAACATTTTCCCTTCTGACATATACAGGAGCTAAAACTGATTGGGCTTGACATACCCCATTTTGCTGCTGACCTTCCCATGAATCGATGTAAAAATCGCTATACAAATATCCTCCCATGTAAGTACAATAGATGCAGACTCCTGCGAGGGTCCCTCGGGGGGTGTGGGGGGAGAAGAGTTTTAATTGTGGAATTGATGCAGGTTTTCCAGCAGGTAAAAGCTTGTTTTAAAAGAAATAGGTCTCTCTTAGTTTTGAAAGGATGAAACTCTGTGTTTTGTATTTGTCATGATTGAAAATAGTAGGTCATTCCTACTGCTGAGCAGCCTTCTTCGTTTTTTCTCATGATTTTAATGAGATTCAAAGAGACCCGACAGTGAAGCCTCTTGAAGGCAGGAGTGTGCAGCATTAATGAAGCCGTATCCATGCAGCAGGAACTGGGCAGTACTTATTAGAATGGAATGCTGGCCCTCTACAGTTTTGCCTTTGTTATGCTGGAGAGTGTGTAATTGTGTTTCAGGATTTTAAGAGATTATTTAAAACCTCCCACAGTTTGCTCAAGCTACCCCCTTTCTTTCCCCCTCCCCTCCTTCTTTTTGTAGATGACTTTAGCCGCGTCAGATTAGTTTCGATGAATGAAGAAGAAGGTTCAGACTACATTAATGCCAACTATATTCCTGTAAGTGGTAAGACTCAAATCAACCTGAGGCTTAATGTTCTTAGTAGGGAAATATCACACAGGCAGTGAAAAGAGTGAAAACTCCTAGCAATTTGGTGACTTTAAAAAAAAAATTATCGCAATTTCACTAATTTTGCCTTCAGTGAACAGCACTTTTCATCAGCCAATAAACCTGTTTTGTGCACATTTTGCCACAGCAACTTTGAAAGTTGTGTGCATCCTGTTACAGATGGGAGGAAATTGGCTGGGGACACGGATGAAAAGTTTAAACTCTGCACTGCAATTCTCAAACAGCTAAAGGGTTTTTTTCCAATATTTTAATCTATGTGGAATAAAGGCAGTGAACCAGAGATACAGGTATAGTAAAAATGCACAGAGAACAAGCCAGGGCATGGTGTGCAAACATAGCTTCTATTTGCACTACCCTGATCTTGGCATTGTTCTGTTCACGCCTTCTTCCTTGCGCGGTTTAGAGCCGCTGTCTAACAGCTCATAGCAATTCTGCTATAGTTTTAGGACAGGAAGTAAAGAATGCTGTATTCGGCTGTAACCGTATGGGATATGTAGGGAGGCAGAATGTAATTTTGTACATGAGAATTTGGCCAGGATGCTGGGAAGAGTTCCCTGCTGTTATGAAGTGTGTTGTGGCATCTTTAATGACTACAAATGGTGGGCACATCTGTGTTCTAGTTCTCCACTGAAACAGCACAGTGGCCCATAGCTTCATGCTAGGGACTTGGTTCAGTACTGACTAAAATGGGAAGAGAATCACTGAATCAATATCCGCACTTCGTGCGTCACTTTGGAAGTCTCCCATCCAAACACTGACAAAGCACTGACCTTACTTAGCTTCTGAGATCTGACAAGATCACAGAACTAAGTGATAAGGCCAGGCAGGCTCTTTCTTTCTTTTCTTCATTAAATATCGATTATGTGTACATTTGATGCTCAGTCAGAAAACTAGAATGACAATTTTATAGCATCCAGTTATATAGCATCCATGGATATGGATATAGATATAGATAGATATAGCATCCAGATATGTCTCTTCAGCTTTTGTCAATTCCATGTTTATATTTTAGATATGTTTAATGCTACACACAAAATACACCTTCCAAATACTTTAGATACAACACAGCTATGTTAGTGTTTGGCTTATTTGGATGATCACTCTCCCACTTGGCACCTCATGATAGTTTCATCTCAAACCCTAGTGTTCATGTTGATCCGCTTTCCACTGTCAGTAAAAATGTGATGCATCAGTTATATACACACCCCATATGAAGCAAAATGAAATGTGTTCTGTACTTACAAATTATTATGAGTGTTGAGTTTGAACTGAGTCTTTTACAGATGGCAAATGCTGAAATAGGCTGCCTATGGAAAAGTGCTTCCAAATCATCAGTATTTTAATTACTTGAATGCTGTAGGCTGATACATCCATAGCCTAATTCATGTAGGAACATACTGTGTTTTGAATGTATCTGTCTTTTTTTTCCCCCAACTACTCTGGGTGTTAGATAACTTTCTAAACGTAGTTCTGCTGATAATCTCCTCCTGCGTTCACTGTAAACAGGCAGCCAGGGTCATAGTTAAATCAACCCTTACACCAAGCAAATATGTTAACTAGCAGATGCGGAAATGGCATCTTGTATTATTTACAAAATTACCCTTTTCTACAATAGTGCCCAAAAAAGTATCTACAAATAAAAACAGACAGATTATCAGACAGATAGGGATAGGAATGTATGGGTATAATGTCTCCTAAAGGTACTTCAGGTTTAGTAAATTATAAATATTTGATAATCTTTTAAGAGTTATGACTTTTAGAATAACCTATTACTATTATTTTAGGCCTAAGATTACCAGGTATTTTACTGATTTGGGTCTTGAGCTTGCAAACACTTATCCACATGTTCCTTGTTTAGAGTTGATCTGATTAATCCTTTCCTTTCTATTCTATTATTACATTTAATTCACCACAAGTGCTACTTAATTTATTTGGGGGAAAGGACAAGATAAGGATACATAACTATTGTACTTGTGAATTCACAGCATATTAAATGTATTAAAACTTTGTAAAAAAAAAACAGCCCTGATTTAGTTTTCATTTTTTATGCTGTTTATTTCTTGTACTTCACTAACTTTCAACAGTGAATTTACATTGGTCGGTTTCACTTTTGTCCATACACAGGTTAATTTCCAGGTACTCCTGTAGTATTTGGGACTCAAAATCTCCTTGGAAATATTTTGATTTAAAAAAATAACAGTTTTCACTGAATTAAAAGCAACAAACCAAAAAACTTGATATAGGCTTCTTCATGATAGGAATTACTTTTAAAAAGCTCTTTGAATTTTGGACTTAAACATTCAAAAATGTAACTTTAAAAGCATGTTGTAAATATGCTCCTGAGGAAAATGTATATTCTGAACAGTCTGTGAAATGAAGTATATTAACAAATTGCACCTGTCTCTTAGGGCTACAACTCACCACAGGAATACATTGCAACCCAGGGGCCACTGCCAGAGACAAGGAATGATTTTTGGAAGATGGTTCTCCAGCAAAAATCACAAATCATTGTTATGCTCACTCAGTGTAATGAAAAAAGAAGGGTAGGTAACATAATCCTATGTGCATTTTGCAAGGAAATAAATAATTTTAGTGTCATTAGGTTCCTTTGCATTATTTTTTAACACAAAACAGCAGTATAAGGCAAGCTCTTGAATGCCCTCTGAACCCAAAACTCCTAATGATATCAACAGGAGATCGAGAAGGAGACTCCTGGTCATTTATTGTAAACTCTTCAGTGCAGGGATAGTTCTATTTGTTTGTAGTGTAGCACAATGGGGCCCCTATTTGAATGGAGACCTCTCGGTGCTGCGGTAGCACAAATCATTAATATTAATGATAATAAACAGTAAGTCTAAAGAGCTGGTGCTGAATGGTACCATGAGTAATGGTAGCAAATAGAGCCATAATATTTGAATCCAAATATGAACTTCCTGAAGTTCAGCTGTGTTTGGACCTCAGGTTTGGCTTTGGTCCTATCTTTAGTAGGAAGTTACCCGTTGTAAGAGGCTGACAAGATTTTTATCAAGAGTAAAAGATTCTTACATGACTCAAATTAGACTTTAAAATGGCAGCAATAGGGAGTGGATGGCTCAGGGGACTGTTACTGGTTTGAATCCAGGCTGGCAGCAAATGAAAAATTGTTACTGTCTGATAGCTGTTTGTTGGCATCTCTGAAATTAGTGGTGGTCCCAGCTCAGTTCCTAGTCTACAGGTGTGTATCCACATCACAAAAACTACTAGGACAGTTGCCACCGATTATCCCCCTGCTTGGGAGTTTCAGCAGAGAGGCAGAGAATTGGCTGGGCATGGTGACTGAAGGTGCTGAGAGCCATTGAACCAAACTGTGAACCCTGTATATATGGGATCCACTTCAAGCCAGGGGGTGCAGCAGCAACCCCAGCACCACTAGTTCCAGCACCTACGGACTGAAATAGATTCTTACTCTCCCTTCAGGCCAGCACATTGTTGGGGCAGCCTGGAGGAGCTGCCAGAGCCCATGCTGTACCTCTTGTGTGGATGAATAGAACACTCATTTCCTAAGACTGTTGTTCTGGCACCTTTCAAGAGAACAAAACAATACTAAAATTAAAGATGGCACCAGTGATCTTTTTCTCTTCATTGAAGCGTGCCTCCAAATATCATATTGTTCTCTGTAAATTAGCATTTGACACAACAGGCTCTATTGCATGGTTTCAGTGCAGCCATTATAACAGATGTCAACGTAATAGATATTCTTTCATTAAGCTGAGATAACCAAATCAACACAGTCTTGGCCATGATATTTGTAGCATCCACATTCGCTTCCCAGCTATTTTCTTTGTTAGTTCTAGCCATTTGCACAGATAATACATATATGAATGACATGCAGATGTCAATGGCATTTTAATAATAGGGACACTGTCAATGTGAGAGTTCTGTAAAAATGACAAAGCATTATTTTTCAAAATGGAATGTGAAATACAATAATCAGCTAATACATGTACATTGCTTCTGATCTTGCATATTATAGAATCATAGAAGATTAGGGCTGGAAGAGACCTCAGGAGGTCATCAAGTCCACCCCCATGCTCAAAGCAGGACCAACCCCAACTAAATCATCCCAGCCAGGGCTTTGTCTAGCTGGGCCTTAAACCTCTAAGGAAGGAGATTCCACCACCTCCCTAGGTAATCCATTCCAGTGCTTCACCACCCTCCTAGTGAAATAGTTTTTCCTAAAATATCCAGCCTAGACCTCCCCCACTGCAATTTGAGACCATTACTCCTTGTTCTGTCATCTGCCACCACTGAGAACAGCCTAGCTCCATCCTCTTTGGAACTCCCCTTCAGGTAGTTGAAGGCTGCTATCAAATCCCCCCTCACTCTTCTCTTCTGTAGACTAAATAAACCCAGTTCCCTCAGCCTCTCCTCATAAGTCATGTGCCTCAGCCCCCTAGTCATTTTTGTTGCCCTCCACTGGACTGTCTCCAATCTGTCCACATCCTTTCTGTAGGGTGGGGGGGCCCAAAACGAGACGCAATACTCCAGATGTGGCCTCACCAGTGCCGAATAGAGGGGAATAATCACTTCCCTTGATCTGCTGGCAAGATCTGTTCCTACTAATGCAGTCCAATATGCTGTTAGCCTTCTTGGCAACAAGGGCACACTGTTGACTCCTATCCAGCTTCTCATCCACTGTAATCTCCAGGTCCTTTTTTGCAGAGTTGCCGCTTAGTTAGTTGGTCCACAGCCTGTAGCCAGGCAAGGGATTCTTCCGTCCTAAGTGCAGGACTCTGCACTTGTCCTTGTTGAACCTCATCAGATTTCTTTTGGCCCAGTCCTCCAATTTGTCTAGATCACTCTGGACCCTATCCCTACCCTCCAACATATCTACCTCTCCCCCCATCTTAGTGTCATCCACAAACTTGCTGAGGGTGCAATTCATCCCATCATCCAGATCATTAATGAAGATGTTGAATAAAACCGGCCCCAGGACCAACCCCTGGGGCACTCCGCTTGATACCGACTGCCAACGAGACATTGAGCCAAGCCCAACGATCCAGCCAGCTTTTTATCCACTTCATAGTCCATTCATCCAATCCATATTTCTTAACTTGCTGGCAAGAATACTGTGGGAGATCATATCAAAAGCTTTGCTAAAGTCAAGGTATATCACATCCACCGCTTTCCCCATATCCACAGCACCAGTTATCTCATCAAAGAAAGCAATCAGGTTGGTCAGGCATGACTTGCGCTTGGTGAATCCATGTTGACTGTTCCTGTCCTCCAAGTGCTTCAAAATGGATTTCTTGAGGACCTACTCCATGATTTTTCTGGGGACAGAAGTGAGGCTGACCAGTGTGTAGTTCCCTGGATTCTCCTTCTTCCCTTTTTTAAAGATGGGCACTATATTTGCCTTTTTCCAATCATCCGGGACCCCTCCTGATTGCCATGAGTTTTCAAAGATAATGGCCAATGGCTCTGCAATCACATCAGCCTACTCCCCCAATATCCTCGGATGCATTGCACCCAGACCCATGGACTTGTGCATATCCAGCTTTTCTAAATAGTCGTTAACCTGTTCTTTCACCACCGAGGGCTGATCACCTCCTCCCCATACTGTGCTGCCCAGTGCAGCTGTATGGGAGCTGACTTTTTCTGTGAAGACTGAGGCAAAAAAAGCATTGAGTACTTCAGCTTTTTCCACAGCATCTGTCACTAGGTTGCCTCTCCCATTCAGTAAGGGTCCCACACTTTTCCTGGCTGCCTTCTTGTTGCTAACATACTTGTCAAAACCCTTCTTGTTACCCTTCACATTCCTTGCTAGCTACAACTCCATTTGTGCTTTGGCCTTCCTGGTTACACCCCTGCATGCTTGAGCAGTATTTTTTATACTCCTCCCTAATCATCTGTCCAAGTTTGTTACTAGTAAGGAGACATGGGGTGCAGCATGATGATGACACCCAAATCTGTGTATCTGTCTTGTCTGATTTGGATGATGCAGTTCAGCTTCTCAGTTGCTGTCTAGTCAAGGTTGGCACATGGATGAAAGTGAGCTGGCTGAGGCTCAACCCAGCTAAGATTGAGGCAATGATGATGGGTTTGGGGAAGCAGCCAGGGGAGATGGCAGGGGTAATATCAGCCCCTTGGATTGAAGGAGTACATCTGTCATTAGATAAGTGTTCACAACTCAGGGGTGATATTAGCCCCCGAGCTGTTTGATAACCACATCACAGCAGTGGCCCAGTCTCTTGTTTCCCATCAGTGCCTGACTAGGACACTGTGGCCTTTCCTTCTGGCCACAGACCTTGCCACCATTATCCGTGCTTTTGTTACCTCAAGATTTGGCTATTGCAATGCTCACTACATGGGATTACACCTTAAAACCATTCGGAGACTGAGGCTGGTGTAGAATGCAGCAATTTGCTTATTGAGCAGGACATAGTGACAGCAATGTTCCAGGATAGCTAGCTGCCCATTGGTCTCTGGGTTGAGTTTAATGTGTCGGTTATGAGCTATGAAGCCATAAATGGGCTGGCACAGGCCAATGGACATGCCTCTCTCCCCATGCCATACTTCCACAGCTGCAGTCAGCATGGACACGTAACTGGATCCTCCTCATTGTAAGAGAAAGAGAGTGACTGGCAGGCTGTTCTTTGTGGGAGCTCTGGAACTTGCTCTTCCCACCTTCTCTTGTTCCAAAATAACACAGATTTGCAAGCATGCTGAAAGAGACGCCTGTTTCATAGGGTTTCTGGAGAAGGCTGAGGGTGTGGGAGGGAGTGCGGTGTGCAGGAAGGGGCTCAGGGCAGGGGGTTGGGGTGCAGTAGGGGGTGTGGCAGGGGGTTAGGAGGCTCAGGGAAGGGGGTTGGGGTGTCGGGTGCAGGAGGGATTCAGGGGTGCGGGCTCCAGCCGGCGCTATTTGCATCGTGCAGCAGGGCTAAGGCAGGCTCCCTGCTTGCCCTGGCCTTGTGCCGCTTCCGGAAGTGGCCAGCATGTCCGGCAGTGGCTCCTGGGGGTGGAAGGGGCAGCCCTCGCCTGTTGGTACCACTCCCAAAACTCCCATTGGCTGTGGTTCCCCATTCCCAGCCAATATGAGCTGCGGGGGGGCAGTGCCTGCAGATGAGGGCAGCACATGGAGCCCTCTACCCCACCCTCCCCCAGGGCTGCAAGGACATGGTGCCAGCCACTTCCGGGAGCGGTGCAGGGCCAGGGCAGGCAGGGATCCTGCCTTAGCCCTACTGCGCCACGGGGCTGGCAATCCCTCAGGACGGATTGAAACCCTAACGGGCCGGATCCGGCCCGCAGGCCATAGTTTGCCCTCCCCTGGGGTAAATGGTTCCTGTGGAATGGATTTTAATGCTTCTATGATTTAATTTTATTGTATTTACTGTATGGTTGGTTATGTTAGGGTGCCTAGAGTGTTGTTTGGTTGTCTTTATTATTTTAAATCTAAATAAAATAAAAATATTACATCATGGTCCTTTACACTGTAATAGAGAACACTTGGAACATATATTTTTTGTTTCCTTTCATGTATGATCTTGTTCACTGCATTTGGACACTTGTTATTTGAGATCATCAATGGTCTTCTGTTGGGGATGACAACTGTCTACAGTCTTTCAGAGTAGCAGCCGTGTTAGTCTGTATTCGCAAAAAGAAAAGGAAGACTTGTGGCACCTTAGAGCCTAACCAATTTATTTGAGCATAAGCTTTCGTGAGCTACAGCTCACTTCATTGGATGATGAAGGTGCCACAAGTCCTCCTTTTCTTTTTGTCTACAGTCTATGAGCCATAATGAGGCTGCTTTTCTAAAGCTTCATTTTTGTTGAGAGTTTACACACACACATCTACATAACACACGCATGCTTAAGTGCCAAGCAAAATTCTGCTGTGTTGCTTCCCAAACTTGAGTCTAAATAGATTTTGATTGTACTGTTGTTTTTCTTTTCTTCTAGGTGAAATGTGATCATTACTGGCCTTTTACAGAAGAGCCTATTGCTTATGGGGACATCACAGTGGAGATGCTTTCGGAGGAGGAGCAAACAGACTGGTCTTTTAGGAACTTCAGAATCAGCTATGTGGGTGACCGAGAAAGATGTTTCATTGCTTTTCATTAGAGATCAGCCCATCCTGCAAAATTTGGATCCAAATCTCTCTCACTCCAAAATTCAGGGGTGTTCAGACCTGGAGTTCTGGGGGCAGTTAGTTATAGAGAAAGGGACCAACAGCAACATTCATAAATAGATTTTGATTGCAAGCACCTTCAGATTTCAAGGATGTTCTGATCTGGGGTTTTGGTTCAGGCCCTTCTCTAATTTCTATCCATCCCAGGCATCTCCAGAGGGAAAAGGTTGTCTCTCTAGTCTAGATCCTAGTGGACAAATGTTCACACCACAGAATCCTCCACAAAAACTGGTATGTTTGGTAAGTTGCTGCTGTGATGCAAAGGAGCACTAATGGTGCCTAACTGGACACCTGAGGGTTCCCAGGAGGATCCTTAGGTAGTGAAGACCTGATGCACAGCACCTAGCATGATGGGGCCCTGATCATGACTGGGGCTTCTAAGTGCTAGTGTAGTACAAATAATTAATGATAATGGTTTGTTTGGAGACCACATTTCAGCCACTTTTTTTTTGGTCCCGTGTATCAGACGATAGTCCTATTTTCAGTTATAAACTGTTCAAGGCCTGAAAATAAGGATATAGAAGTTGAGGAATATTGTTTGTAAAGGAGGTAATTGTGTGTTATTCTTGGCATTCTTTTGAGGCCACGTCCCTAAATGCTGTTGAATAAAACAGAATTTAATTCATGAACGGTATCCCATCCCGTGGTGCTGTGAAATAGAAGATTTTGCTGTATTAACTGCTCTAAGCAGAGGAAGTGGGAGGAGCCTACTGCACATTCCAATCTTTCAAACACTTTATTTTGTTAAGGGTCAGGCACAGGCAGGAGTACAGCTAGGAATCGGCAAAACCATTGTAAAATGCAATATGATAGAACTGAATCAAAACCGTTGTAAAATGCAACGTAATAGAACTGAATCAAACCGCGACCATTCCTGTGCATTCCCATACTTTTTAATTTGGACCAGAAAGTCCATTCTTGAGCTATTTCCAGCCTATCAAAACCAGGAAATATAGTAATTCTTTTGAGAGCATCAGATTTCTGAACCAAAGGTGTTTGGATAAGCATCCAGATTTTCAGGTCTCTCTTCCAATTTCAGCTCTGCCTCCCAATGTTTTGAATGGGACGAATATTTACAGAAATCATTGTTTGATCTTGTGCAAGAATGGGAGACTGATACAATGGATCAGAACCGTAGTGTTGTAGGAATTCACAGCATCAACTCTCTGTCCTGAGTTGTGGGGATAAAAAACTGTCACTTGAGTGCATTTGTCACAAAGCCAGATCCTTGTTTGTTGAAGTAATGTCCTAGCCTTCTAATATATTTCAGTTAGAACTGTTAGACATTTTTTGAAAGCCAAATGTTTTTGTTTAAAAAAAAAGAGTCTTCCGAAAAAACTGTTTTTGTTTGTTTGTTTTTCCAATTAAACCTGGATATTAAAATTCCCAAGTTTCTGGTCTTTCAAGAAAAATGGAATGAGAAGAAAGAGAAAAAGGAGAAACAAAAACAAAACCCCCAAACCATACAATTTTTGATTATTGTTTTTAAGTTTTACAAAAAATATATTTCCTTTTTGAAACTGTGGAGCAAAAATCATTTGAAAATTTTCACATACAATCTTTACCATTTTTGACTAACTCTAATTTCATCAGTCGGCATTTGTAAATGCATGAGTCAGATCGAACATGTCTGCACAGGTAAAACAAACATGAACATGCTGCTGTTCTGTTTTTTCCGCCTTAGGCTGATGAGGTACAAGATGTAATGCATTTTAACTACACTGCCTGGCCTGATCATGGTGTCCCCACTACAAATGCTGCAGAGAGCATCTTGCAGTTTGTACAGATGGTCAGACAGCAGTCAACAAAGAGTAAAGGCCCCATGGCCATACACTGCAGGTAAAGGCTTAATTTTCCATTTTCCTTTAATGCGTAACCATTGAAATACATCGAGAAGAACACTGGAGGGAGGGATTTCTTTCCACCTTTAAGGTGCTGAGAATTGTATTTTATTTATGTTTTATGGTAAAATCCTGGCCCTATTGCAGTAAGTGAGAGTTTTGCCATTGACTTTAATGGGGCCAGGATTTCATTCTATGTTCCTAGATGTACGGGGAAAGAGAGTAAGTGATGTATACCATATATTTTTATCATAGTAAAGTATTGCAGGTCTGATACTCAGCTGAGGTAAATTAGCATAACTCCACTGACGTCCATGAGGCTACATTGTTTTATATCATCAGAGGACCTTGCCGAACACTTGCATTTCCATGTTTTTGCAATTCAGGTGGAAAAAATCAAAACAACAGTCTGTGAAGCAGAATGCTATTTCCCTACAGAGACATACTCTGTGTAGATCATCACTCTCAGATAATTTGGCCTTCAGTACACAATGTTGGGAGTTAAATCTATGGGCAGGCAGTAGGCATGACACAATATATGGGTTTTTCTTTTCTTGAGGGCAGCATTTTAATATAGTAACTGTCACCCTTGTTCATCGTCAGGCTTTTTGTAAGACGCTGTTGAGCTCTCCGAAGCCAGCTGCTGCATTAAAGATTGTGCCAAATTGATTCCTGATGTAACTCCATTGTAGTGACATCAAAGATTAATTTGCCCCACAATGTGTAATGGTAAGACTACTCCTGGTAATGATAGATTATTATAGGGTTACTTCGTAGAGAGAGAGGTGTGTAACAGATCATTTAGTGTGAGTTTAAACTGCTAGGTATGCCCTGAATGGAACTCAAAGCTTCATGAAGCTATTAGCCCCACCTCCCTCTATCACCCATCCTAAGGCATCTGCTCACAAGTTGTGAAAATGTGTGTTTGGGTATGTACAGATGCAGTTATGTTGCATGCAAACAATGTCAAAAGCCTCCAGCATAGCTTCCTCGTCACTGCAGTGGTGTTTGGAACATTTTCCTTTGCAGTCACATGGTGTGCCCTAAATAACCGGGACATTACTCAGCGAACAGCCTTTTACAGTATCACCCTTTCTAGTTCCCCATGAGGTTTCCAGAATTCTTACTAGGAAGTGGCACAATAGCAGCATTTGTCATTTCTAATCGTGTTCAGTCCTGCTGATGAGTTGTGGCACAGAAGTTCCTGGGTGAACTCATGCTGAGTACAGCAGCGGGACAGAGCCCTAATGCAAAGTTGAGACAGACACTGGTAGGCTCAAAGAGGGGACTTAGCTAAAGCATTTAATTTCACAACCCTATACTTAAGTCCCCTGGCTCATGCATACTTTGCATGGGGAGAGTACAGGGGCTGGCAGTGGTACGCTAGACCATTAGTGTCTTAATTTTTCATAAGGATAATGCCACCTGCAGAGAAATGTGGTTTTGGATAGAATGCTAAAGTGTACTGTAGGTCTTGCAATGCACGGATAGAAGTCACGGTTTCATGAAATCAGTGGGAAAAAATGAACCAATTAATGTTTTCTGGATACTTTTGGAGACCATTAAAAGTCTTCTCTAACTTTAATGAATGCATGAAATTGATAGTCTGTTACTGGATTTATTAAACTGATGACTACCTCTTAGAGTCATACATTTATTATTTTATCTATTGGAGTCATGATTTTTTATCATGTCTGCCAAATTCATGAAAGTGGATTAATTGATTAATGATTGGACATTGCACGTTAATTAGACCAAAAACCTCTTATTGAATTCATGAATTTTTATCCCATCTCAGTCATATTTATAAAATCAACCACTTTTATTGGATTGATAAATATCCTACCAGAGTCCCAGATATATGATATTCTGTGCATCTGCCTAGTCAATTTATGCCTACAGCCACCCCATGTCCACATAAAACTTTTCTCTGAGGTATGCAAATAACATTTACCAATTTCACATACGGTTGTATCAAGAATGTGAAAGCAAATGGTTTGGTTTTTAGAATGTTGGATCCACATCTATTTACATCAAACTGTTCTGCACCTTTAAAAATCAGGTCTAATAAAATTAAACTAAGATTTTCACTCTCTCTCTCTATTAGAGAAAGTCTCACACACAATATATTTGTTTTTATCTCTTTCTCCATCTGCTCCCTCATCCTTCCAAAGTTAGCCTCTTAAATCCATAAATTGCCTGATTTTAAAAGGTACTGAGCCTCCAGCAGCTGAAAATCTCTTCTGTTGCCCTCAAAAGCAGTGACCATTTCACAAGAAGTCTGTTGACTTTGCAGAAACTAAACCTGGTGGAACTGCAAGTGTAACTTGGTCAAGCTCATTTGCTGTAGGCACTATAATTGTAGGTCTATGTGTATTCACAGATACAGCTCAAGTAGTTTTATACCTCTCATCATCATGAGGAAAAAATATAAGGGAGAAAGGGACTTGCCAGCATAAGGTGGTCAGTCAAGAAAATGTAAGACTGTGAGAGGGGGCCAAATTTACCCCGTCGGATTTTGCCCAGAATATCACTCTGAGGGTCGGAGTTTTTCAGCCCAGATAGTTTCAGCTAGGTAGGATTAGTCAGTTGCCTATCACAGCTCTTCTGTATAACTATTATACTTTTTTTAAGAAAGCTGAAATCATTGCAAAGCCCTTAGTCCTGTGCATTCTTTGGTGTGAACTGTGAATTACTGTGCGGCCTATATTCGAAGGATTAGTCAATTGTGTGAATCCAGTGCAAATTAGACATATTTTCATCAGGATGATTGTTTCATAATTCTGAATTACAGCACACCATTTGCTTTCTTTACCCCACAAGCCCTCATCCCCTCCGCTCCCACCCCCAAAAAGTAGTAACCTGTAACGATGTGTGTATTGCAGTGCCGGCGTGGGACGGACAGGAACATTTATAGCATTGGATCGGCTCTTACAGCACATTCGGGATCATGAGTTTGTAGATATATTAGGGCTGGTGTCTGAAATGCGGTCTTATAGGATGTCCATGGTACAGACAGAGGTATGAATTTCATTTTCATGTATTTTCAAAATTAAAAATACCATGTTGCACTAATGTAGGTATCATAACTATTTTGTGCTGCAGAATCTATTGAGGTTCTGACATAGTCCTGTAAATAGATAAAATAATCGTCTTCTCCATGCTAAATGTATACTACTTCCACATTTTTATGAGTCTGCTACCTAAACTATCAATAGATCAGGATAGATCAATGTACTTACAACCTAGTTGAAGCTTTCTAATGCAGACAGGCTAGTCCCACCTTGTAAGAAACTAGTCTGAACAAGCATTAAAATAGAAGTGCATGAGTTATATAAAATGCACCATTTTGAAAAAACAGTGGACTTGATCTAGGGTTTAAATGACGTATAGGACTGGTAGTCAGATCAGACCACCATTCGGAGCCATTCAGGAAAGTGTCATCTGACTAAGCTGATGACCCAAGAGTTATACAGTGACAATACAAAAATTGGAAAACAAAAACAAAACAAAAGGTGGGGCATGAGGTTTCTTTCCCCTACTTCCCTCTCTGTTTCTTGGCTAAAGTTTCTGTTGAAAAATAAAAAAAAATCAAAATACTTCTGTGAAAATTTCACTACTGCAGAAACAAATAGACCAAAGTTTTAGAACGGAATTATTTGCCCCTTTTTATTCCCAAGAGCATTAGTTATAGCTGAAAGTTTTTATTTGTCAGTTGCCTGTTGGATACATGAAACAAGTCTGTGATCTCCACCCAGTTCCCAGTGCGGAGACCACATCACAATACCACCCGCACAAATGTCAGACTTCACAGATACGCACAGGATTTACTGGGTCTGGAGGATGAACTGTCCTTAGAGATGGGTCACTCCCGATCAAGGTAGATGCAAATTAGCTGAGGTAGTATGAGGGAAGCCTGCAGTGCCATTGCCTATCTTGTTGCTTTTTGTATGTAGAGGACTTCATTCTCTAGAGGAGTCAGCCAGGTAAGCACCTTTCCCCATCACCTGACCTGATCCAATGCCTACTGATGTCATAGGAAAGACTGCGATTTAAGGCATGGAAATTATTTGGTGTTTTTGTTTTAGTTTTAATTCTTGAATTTCACTGAGTTACCATGTCATAGAATAGGCTTTCACTTTTGTTCAGTTGAGTATGGTTCAGAGGAGAGTGATGGAGAGACCAGGGTGTGCTGCTTGATCTGCTTTTTTATTTGGGGAGCAGGGAGTTCCGCAATCCCACACAATCCATTTTGATGGCTTTCCAATTTTCATATTGTTTCCAAGTTTCATACTGTTGGCCAGCTGGCCTTTTCCCTGCTGCACTGGCATTTTAGCAAAGCATCACTAGAGTCTCTTTCCTTTCTCTTCCTAATACTCACACACCAACAGAAGGGCTCTGTAACGCCTCAAAAGCTAGATCAAGATTAAAGTGCTCCAGGAACTGGTGCCAGTGGGCAGGATTAAATACTGGGGAGCAAGGATACATCCCATTGGCCTTGTGAAGGGGAGACACCTGTTTTAGTCAACAAAGCTTGCTCTAATACATCCTGACAAACAGGAAAATCTTACCTCACAGGCAGGGTGTCATGCATTTCTGTGCTTGCCAGCCCTGACCTCTTCAGGTTTTTTCTTTTTAAATTAGAGTGGAATTTCCTAGTCTTTATAAAGCTGTATCCACACAGGCCACTAGGTGTCAGTGTAATTTAAGAGCAAACAGGACGGATGGGTTAGAGCTGTGTGAACCTTTCATTACAAAACTTGAAACCACACACAGCTCACCTGGTTTCATGTTTCCTTCCAAACTGGAAACTTGGCCACTGTTCCTTGAACAGTTTACAAACTGAGTGAACCCCAGGTGAGTTTAGAGGAGAGATGAGCCTGAATCAAAACCGGGGATCCCAGGATAATGGATATTTGAAATCCAGTTAGATTTGAGATCTGAATTTTGAGCTGGCCTCATAAAGTGTGTGTGTGCACCTGGGGATGTAAAACACACAGCTGACTGGGGCTCATGGGGCTTGGGCTTCAGGGTTGAAAAATTGCTGTGTAGACATACAGGCTGTGAGGCTGGAGCCCAAGCTCTGGGACCCTGGGAGGGTGGAGACCAGCCATAGGCATGCTGCAGGGCTTATATCTGTGTGTAGATGTTCCCATATTTGTAAGGAGCTGAACCAAATCCCGGGGTGTGAACAACTTCGGGGAGGAAATATGAAATCCAAACCCCAATGTTGTGGCTTAAAGCCATCTCAGACCTCTTAGACATCTGTGTCAGGTTTTGCGGGAATGTTCCCTTTCTGCACAAGGCCTGGAGAAGGATTGATGGTTTTATCAAGTTTTGCCTCCATTTACGTTGGAATGAGGTTTAGAATTCAAGGTGAAATGAATTATTATTCAGAGGTCCCAATTAAAGATCAACATTGTTCTTAACACTGTACACACATACAATGAAACATGGCCCTGGCCCCAAGCTTCTTATAGTGTAAGTAATTTGGTGGTTGATAATCCCACAATAAATAAATAAGTTATTAAACACTCTATGAACAGAAACCATCAGTTTTTAGCGGTTTATTGTGACGAGTCACAAGTTATAGACACACATGCATAGAAACGCACCAAGTATGGCTTTTATTTGCCTAAATCTAAGGAATATGATGATATAAGGGCATAATATATTTTCAAGCAATTAGAATATAAGGATTTTGTACAGAAGCTCCTCTATATACTAAAGTACTTCCAAAATTACACACACAAGAATTGCTTCACACGCCCCAAAATGCAGCTACGGCCAGGGGAAATGTAGCAGTTATTCAACAGTGCCCTCCAAAGCTACGAGACAGGTTGCAATTGCAGGGGCAATTTAGGATGGTAGAATATAATTGCCCAGTTGTAAATTGGCTAGCACTGTGAGGTTAACGTAACTATTCTTGCAAACCATGCCAAGGATCTTGTAATAACCTCAGTTTTCCATCTCGCCAACAAAGCCCCCTCTTACCACAGCAGGGTATTACTACCCCAGAGATGGGAGTGCCACCTACAGAATCACCACTGCTGCTGCTTGTATCTGGATTTTCCTGGGAGGCCTCCCCTCCAAGTACTGACACTGTTTAGTTTGTGAGATCTGACCAAACAATAGCCAAAATGGTATGGGGGCTAATAATTTATAGAGTGTAAAGCCAGAAGGGACCACCGTGATAATCTAGTCTAACCTGCTGCATAACACGGGCCTTAGCATTTCCCTGAATTCATTCCTGTTTGAACTAGAGCATCTCATTTAGAGGGGGAAAATCCAATCTTGATTTAAAAATGAGCAGTGATGGAGAAGCCCCACTACCCTTGGTAAATTGTTCTAAAGATTGATAACGCTTCCTGTTAAAAATGTGTGCCTTATTTACAGTCCAAATTTATCTAGCTTCAACTTCCAGTCCTTGAATCTTGTTACACCTTTGTCTGATTGATAGAAGAGCACTTTAGTATCAAATAATATCAGACCTGACCCCTTCCTCACTTATATCTTCATACATTTTATTGCCTTACATACTTCATAATTCCCATTAGCAGACCGCACCATTCTTCAGGTGTCATAAATTCAGTCAACACAACTACAGTCTCTTAATTTTTCAGTTAATTAATAAGAGTCAAGAATAGTGACACGGGCAGGTCTGATGAGCTTTGCGCTTCCATTGGTGTTGTATACTATAATTTCTTGAATGGGGACACAGATATGCAGCCAGAATATTAATGACTACAGATATTATTTAAGAATGTGTATGCAGACTATTGTTATCAATGTTACTTCATTGGCCAGGTTTAACCGAGCTATACCAGGTGCAAAAATATATACGTTTGGTCTTGCTTCCAGGAACAATACATTTTTATTCACCAGTGTGTGCAATTGATGTGGCTAAAGAAGAAACAGCAATTCTGCATCAGTGATGTCATATATGAGAATGTCAGCAAGTCCTAGTTCAGAATCCCAGGTGGTACGTATGACAGCATCACCCCTTCAGTTCTGCTCACGATTTATAATCCCAGTCAGCTGGTAGCAACTGGTGAAATTAATGTTTTACGGCAGAACCTTCATTATACCTTTTCCCATACTCCAAGAATTTTACCTTAGGGTTGAAGCTTTCCAAGCCTGGTCTCCTGCCCGCTCCTTTTCCCCCTGGGCCCCAGTGGGGGTGGTAGTGTGTGCAGAGAATGAGAGGGAAATCCCCTTAGCTGTTTGCGTTAGCATGGAATGATAAATCACACATTTCTTCGCATTTTTAGACCTTTCTGGCTCACCAATCATTTAATTAAAAAAAAAAAAAAAAAAAGCTGAATAAAACCCTCTTCTGGTTTTTCACATAAATCGCCCTGATAAGGTTGCTGCACTTTCCTAAGGTTTAAGAGGAAATTAAAAATCAAAAAGTCACAAGGAGTTGTCATCACTCACTCACTATCTACAAAGTGTCAAATTATCAGGGCCAACTGAATCCCTCCCCCTCCCTGTACGGCAATCCCAGCACCGGGGCTGCTGCAGAGACAGCTGCCAGTAAATATACTCCAGGAGTAAAAGCTAAGGAATTTATGAACCTGCTATGGAAGCAGTCCGAAGTTGCTACCAGCACTAACACTGAGCAACTTAACGATTAATACAGATGTCTTAAGTACACTTTTATTTAAGTGCAACAGGCAAAAAAATTACAAAACCAAAATGTGTTGTCAACCTGCTGACAGGCAGCATGGTCCATGGGCTCAAAATGCTGGGGATCTATTCTCAGCGCTGCCATTGATTCACCGTGCATTCTTAGGTACATCAGTTAGCAGCTGCGTGCCTCAATTTGCCCATCGGTAAAACTGAGTTAATGATATTGAGCTAACTTTGTAAAGCACGTTGAGATATATGGGTAGCCTGTGCTATGTAAGTGTTTGATTATACAATTTATCATATAAACTTTGGACCCTGCCTTCCCCTCTATTCCACAAATTGTTCCTTTTTCTCTCCTTCCATTTCTCCCATCAGGTCCGCTGGACTTTTGTCCCCAATATATTTTTCTTTAAATTGTGTTTCTAACTGAAGTGGGGTGGGGGGTGGAGAAGCTGAGATTCTCTCAAACATACATGCATACAAATAATTAATAATCCAGGAATAGAAACTGTGGCCAATATTATGAAAAGTGACTAGTGATTCTGGCTGCCTCTATTTTTTGGTGCCCAACTTGATTTATAAAAGGGGATTGCTGAACACTTTCTGAAAATTAGGCCCAAGTAAGGTTTATCAAGTTTTGCATTCAATATCACTTGTGAGTTTTCAACATATTGACCTGTATGTCCTGGTTTTTTGTTCCCTTCCTTCCTATACAGAGCTTCAGGTAAAACTAAAAATAAATGGCTAATGTTGTGTATCATTTTCAAACAGGATCCATTTGCTTTGCTTTCTTCCAGGTGAGACCATGAAGTACACCCATCTTCCCTTGCTTCAGATTTTGTTTGTTTGATTGAACTGCTAGCTGTTTTGCCATGGAAGGCCGCTGCTTTGCAGTATACGGACAATAAAAGAAAGATACTTTAAATTTTAGAAGCACTGGGGAGATTTAGCCTTAAAGAGCCTGCAGTGTCTTTCGGACTGTTTAATTTCTGGACATTTTTAAAATACTGGACCAAATTCAACTAAAACAACAGGACGGAAAAGATACTATAATATGTGCATAAAATACAGTACTCCTGAAGGGTTTGTTTGGTTTGGTTTAAGTTTTTCTGTGCAGGTTGGGCTTAAGGTTAAAGGAAGTGCAATATTTTTTAAATGGCTGTATCTGAATGAAGAAGAGCTTTCTTCATGTGTTTCTGGTCTGTGCTGAAGTCCATAAGAGAACAGGCATTGTTAGCATCTAATAATACCTCATTCGTGAATACGAGGCATGTACAAACCTGAAGGATTGTGGATTTTGTCAAGAGGAAATGGGATATTGATTTGACTCTGTTTACGGCAGCACGGTGGTTCTGTGCTTCAGTGGAGTAGGGAGAATACAGTACCTGGGGAGCTTTAGTAACACTCCTGAAATCCAAACAATATAGCTCAAGGCTAGTGTAGAAGACCTACATTAGAAAGCTTCTGTTGGTCTGGTTCTTGATTGTGATCCTCCTCATTAAACAGCAGGATCGTTCCTCTCTTTACTCATTTCAGTAACGCCCCTGATCAGGTACAATTTTTTTTTTTTTAAGACTGAAGCTATTGAAAGTGGAGAAGAGTTTGGAGCTGGAGAACCTTTAGGCTCTCTTGCTGTAGCATTTAGCTGTCTGAGCAGTCTATGGTGCCTATACCCTTGATTTGTTTGTTCTTCTCAAATATATTCGCCCTGTGTAAAAATGAGAAGCTGATTCATGTTGAGAAAAAAATAATTGCTGTAATGAATGCAGCAGCATCTCTCTGACGAGCTGGGAATTCACGGTGATGTGGAAATGAGGGTTTTGGCATGCTACGGAAATTTTATGGGTTCGTTACCAGGATGTTGTCAAAGCATCGGTACTGATTCCTGCAGGGACTTTGGGGTTGGGTTTTTTGTTGTTTGGGTTTTTTTGCTGTCAAGTTTTATTTCTAGTCAGCATAATTAGGTATGTTATATTCTTTTTGGCTTTGTATAATTCCGGTACATCGTTGTGTATTGTGACATGGATAATTTCAGAGTGGATGTCGATGGCATTTTTGTAACCTGTTACTTTGTGTCAGCTCATTGGACGTTAGAAGCAATGGTACTCAATGTAAACAAAAACTGAAAGTAAACACATTGGATTGCTTACCTGTGAAAATGACACTGAGCAAGGCTGCTGCTTTTCCCACCTGGATCGCTCTACCCTCGTGTCTGTGCACCACAGCCCGAGAATTTAAGATCATCTTTTTTGATGCTATATTGGCATAGCTCTATTCCCCTCTCCAAAAGTAAATTGGGTACTTGCGAAAGGGTTCCAGACCCACTGAAAGCTACACCCTCTGATCACTGACTGGGTGGCAGCAGCTCTACTTTCCCCCCATATTTCCTACCTATGTCTCTCTGTCCTGTCATGGAGGGATCACCTCTACGCACCAACAAGTTAGTTCAGTCTCCACTTCTGTATCACTTGTATGGTGATGCCACTCAGTTAAGAGCTGGAATGTAACCCCCATATTTTTTTTTAATTGGGTATTTAGTGCTGGTGCAAGAGGCCAGCTTGATAGTCCTGGAGACTGAAATCCTGTCTTCATGGACAGAACTGGTAACTGCTCAGGCTACAACCATGCAAGCTTCTTCTACTGCCCCACCAATGTGCCTCAACCCTGAGCTGAAGGGCTCACCTCTGTGCCACAAATGACAACAAGGGTGCCATTTTCTCTAGGGTGGCTACTGCATGAAGGCCACCCAGCAGACCGTCGTCTCTCCTCACCTAAGTAGAATTCAGAATTGTAAACCAGGACGAAAAGCCCCAGAGCCCTGCAGCCCTTGCCACAGTCTCTATTTCTGTATGTATTTCAAGCCTTCCTGTGCTTACCTAGGATGTACTACCTGTCTTATTAATTTATATATCCACAGGTACACAAAGTTCTTTGTTCAGGAGGAGACATGAACAGCTTAATGGCTGGTTGATTCCTTGCAGCATGGGCATGGGCCTGGACCTAATCTGCAACCGTCATATCTGAAGTTCAAACGCCCAATACTTGGATCTAGGATTTTCAGCTGCCACATTGGAGATGGGGCTGGCATCAAAATTAAGGTCCAGGTTTGGATTGCAGCTTCCACTCTGCCACAAAGTACAGGGGTGTTTGGCACTGGGGTTTTGGTTCAGGCTCCTCTCTAAAGTTGAGTAGGATGAACATCCTGTAAACTAGAGTTATGGTCCATGCATATTTAGAAGTAGATCATCAGTGTAGTGGTTTCGTTATACGGCTATACACCATACACACTGCCCATAGAAGCATAGGCATTGCTTTACAATCAATGAAGGAAAACAAGTGTGTTGATTTCATTCTGTTGGAAGTGTTATAAGTTTCAATCAGAGCAGTAATGTGTATGAAGTATCTGTTTTAGGCCTAGCTTATTTGAGGTTGTAGAATAGACTTTGAGCTTGGGGCCAGAGCTGTGTGAGCTTGAATGGCACAAATTACACTGGTCAAAGAAAACCTTGTGTATGTTTTATTTATTTGTGTGCTGTCACTGTCCATTGCTCACTGATTGGCCCTTTTGAAACAGAGGTTAATTAGTTCTAAACCATCACAGCAAAGATGGATGTTATAACACGACACAGACTGGATATGGTATGACTGTAGCCTACACGCCATAATTAAACATAGGTAACCAACCACCACCATTTCTGCAAATGGTACAGGCGCCACACCAGACATTTATATAAAAGCCAAAATGGTATTTAGGTTAAAAGGGTGACATGATGATATTTTCTTTTTGGTCGTCTTCCTACAGGCTGCCTCCCATTTCTGTTACACACAAGATGGTGGTAGACATTATGGAGGCTCCTGATCCCTTGTTCTTCCCTCTAAACCTCAAAGGCTGTTCCATTATCAGGCACCCTGGCCTCACTGAGGTGAATCTGAGAAAGGCAGGTGTTCACCTACCACACTGAGGGGAGCCATGTCCAGCTATCTTCCCTGCAGGGCATACTGCACTCCCTGTTTCTAAAAATGTTCTCTCGTGTAATTTCTGGAGTTGAGCGGGGGGTAGAAGGTTCTTTCCCTCCCTCCAGGGAACAGGAGCCTGCCACAGCTCAAGGGATGGGCCTATTATGACTTGTTAAGGGCAGTCTCACTTCTAGCAGTGTCACGTGATGAATATAAAGCTTGCAGAGTTTGAAATAGTCAATTCAAACTCTGAAGATATAAGCCAAATACAGCTACCAGACAACTAATACATTTGGAGGTATTATCACCTTTCACAGAGCTCATTATATTGTCATCAATTGTATGTTTAAAACTTTTTGATTTTGGTTCAAAACCTTGTGAGCTCACATGCGTTCACCTTAATATTTCAGTCAAAGCAAAACCAATGTGGTTTGGGTTCCTCTCCTAAATCAACCTTGGGGCAACTCTCAACTCATTGCAGGTTTGAAAGTCTATCTAAAAAATGCAGTGGTATACTGAAAGCTGGTGAATGGTTTGATTTGGGTTCAGATCACTCCAGTACTGAGGTAGGTGATCTACACTGACAGTGCTGTACTTCCCAGGTGTTCTGTGCCCGACCTAAGTGTCATAAATTGATTGGCTGTGTTCCAGAACCAGAAAGGGAGCTGTGAGCCATACTAAACACAGATAGTACTGCACCTGCTAGCACAGTGATGTCCCAGCCTAAGGGGGTGTACGGGTGGGAAACAATTCCTTAACCTCGCCACACTACTTACAGCAGTGATGAAGTTGTCATGGTTTTTTCCTAAGGCAGAAATTTGTGGTAGCTTCTAAGACTACGTGCATGTGCTGACTTTTGGCTTGCGTCCCTATGGCATTTCCCCAGTTTTTAATTAAGAAAGGAACAGTAGGTTCAAAGTTACTAAATTTCATTTCAGATCATCACTGTATATACTACAAAACTATTTGCCCTTGAAGCACCATTCATCAAACTCCTGATGTTGTGTTTGACCTCCTTTCCCAAATCAGTCAACCCACCTACTCCAGTAAGCCTTAACAGTCCCTCCGATAGACATTTGAAAGGAGCCTGTGTGAAAACAAGCTGTATCTCATTCACCGAACCTACAGTTGTTACTTCGGGCAGCTTCTCTGTTGTTTCTACAAATGTTGTGATACAGATCTAGTCAAGTTCTTCTGGCCCACATTCCAACAGACAGCAGAAGCTAAGGAACTGTAGGTTTTATCGGCTTTCTTTGTCAGCTGCCACACCGCTCCTGAGAAACAGAAACACAATGGCTGCTAATGCTGATGCTCCACTTATGTGGTACTGCTGCAGCAGGAGAACTACTAGTACCCATGCATAGAATTGGGCTCATATGAAGGGAGATTGTTTTAGAGGGAGAAATTAATGAACATACGGGCTCAAAGAACATTGAGCACCCATAAGCATGCAAACACATACTTGATAACTTAAACAGAGACATGCTGGGGCCTTCCTCATGTATATACATATCACCCTACTTTGTGTACGCAGTGCACAAACAAGCATGCCCCTGGGAAACGTGGGCCTGATTTGCTCCCCTTGTTCAAACTCAGCAGGCACAGGAAGTTTCAATCAACTGTTCAATAGCAACCTTGAAAATATTGCTTTGGCAAATTACCTTTATCAACCTGTTCCTCTTACGTTGGCCTTACTCCTGGGCAAAGTCCAGAGCTACTTGTTTCAACAAGGCTTTACACACACAAGCTACAATGCACGCAGGTAAGTTGAAAACCAGTCACTTGTTTACAAACATCCCTTTGAAATGACAATTTGTCTTCATTGCTCACAAAAGAACTCTTCCAAATACAGGGCTGCCTGTTGACAAATACTTACACCAATCCTGTTGGTTTTTCTTGGCTTCCTTCCTCTCACCTTTAAAGGGCTGAGCCCTCAATCCAGAAAAATCCTTAAAGCATGTACCTAAGGTCATCCCTGGTCAGCAAAGCAACCTCCTTAACTTTAAAGCATGTGCTTAAGTGCTTTGCTGCCATGAGCTCTGTGTCTAACAAATCAAGTGTTTTCAGTGTACACTGCTACTGTTCAGCCTGCATCTAGGATTTGCCCCTAAAATTAAAGTCTGGAATCTAAATTTTCCAAAGCACAAATTTGTTATAAATCACCACTTTGCCTGAGCCAAGTGCTGTTTAACATTTCAACTGAGAAACACTGGGTAACCTCTTTCCCCATATGAACACTATGAACTCACCGTGAAGTTTCAAAGTGGTTTTCTTTTGCCTTGCTCTCCCGAGCGCAAAAGTGACAGCCAGCTGTTAAATGGGCAAGTCCCCAGAGAACTTTTACACCTTCAGAGTAATTTTAGCAAAAGCAGATAAATGCTACCCAGCTTTCACAGTCTGCTATGCAGAGAACACATGGCCACGCAATTGTGTGGGTATCAGCTATTCAGTTTGCTCATTTCTGGCCCCCTAAACAGCATGAGGATGATATTTTCCTCAAGTATTTCCATAGACATCCTTTATGTGGCCTCCTTCCAACCAGTGAGCAGCCACCATAGTAAAAGGAGGATTATGCAGCTTATTCCTGTCTTCTCAGAGAGGTACCTTCACAGTACCTCAGAGTATGTCCGTACTGCACTAACACACACAGCTGGGCCACGTCAGCTCACTTGGGCTATAAAGTTGCAGTGTAGATGTTCAGGCTGTGACTGGACATTGGACTCTGAGACCCTGAGGAGGGGAGGGCTCTAGCCTGAAGCCAAACATCTATACTGCAATTGTACAGCCCGCAGGCCAGCCGCTTGATTGTAGGGTAGCCATACACTTTGCACCTAGAACAGTGTTCCCGCTATCTCACAGTGGACATTTCCTTTTGGCCAAAAAGTGAATCGGCCCATAAGTGATCAAATAACCTGAGGAAGGATATGAAAACTGAATGTAAACTTGTGACTGCCAACAAAGAGGAGGATATAACTGTTGTGTGCCATTTTACAGTAGTAAGCATTCTTTCAGTTCCCAAAGACCTACCTAAAATTTTACGACTCATCTGCTGGAAGCTCTATGTTTGATGTAAAATAAAGCAAGGTGCAATAGTATTTTGTCAGTCATTCACTGCCCACCAGAGAACACCTACAATAGGACGACATTTCTTGGACAAAGACCAGGAAACCTGCACTACTGTAGAAGAATGAGGTACCATCAGTGTGTTGAGTTAAAAACACACAAGAGTTTTTGTTTAGAGACCCTGTAATGGTGACCCATCATGCTAAGGCAGGATGCTAGTTGTATGCTATAATGCTAAATGTCAAAGACTTTGCCTACATAAAATAGTTTTGTGCATCCATTCAGGGCCATTCCCCACCCCCCCACCCGCACAAAGTGTGTGTGTGGGGGGGAGACACACAACACTGTATAAACCCATAATTGGGTCAAACTGTGGCTGTATGAGTTTTAAATTCAATACAGGATTCTTCACTGCCTGTCTTAAAGCTTGTGTTCTCCATTCTTGAAGAGGACTGCATTTGAGCGACAAGCATAGACACTATTTACATTTAATACACACACAGCAAAAGCATTTATAAGGTGCTTTGGGATGAGTGGCATTATTAAGATGTGGGATTTTCATGTTATGAAAAATGGAGCACTGATTACAAAAGTATTTTTTCTAGTATGTATATAAAGAGCATACTCTAAGGACAAAATCAGGAATGTTTGCTAGCCCTTCTTTGTAACAAAGATACAACTATTTAACATACATCAAACACTGTTTATTGCAGACTTTCAGCTGAATCATGTGAAAAAGGCACTATGAAAATTAATGAAACTAGATGATGAAATCTTTCTAAATGACGTGTCAGTCTTTATACATGTGAAACAATAGAACACTTTGTGACAAAAATTGTGTTTCCAAAAATAACATTTGCTGGAAAGTGTCCCCGCCCCCCGGAATTAATAATATTTCAAAAGATTAAATTTATAAATGAACTTTTTTTTTTTTACATACAGAAAACTGGTCATTTAGGATCAACACAAAAAAGAGTCTAGATTACATTTTCCTTTTGACTAGTTAAGTTACCAACAAAAATGCAGGTCTATTAAAAAAAAAGATACTGTGAATACCGTTATGGCTATCAAAAGCAGGTCTAACCACCTTTGTAAGCTGACTTGTGTGTTAATGTTTTCTAGTTATTCCTTGCTGTGTAATAGTATGGTTCATAACCAGTGAAACAGAAATAAAATCAAAGTACAGAATATATGCTCTTGCTATCAACAGCTTCTTTAGTAATAAAACGCCTTGCAAGAGGTACAAGAAAAATTCAGCCTATGTTCCAAAGGCTTGAGTTGCTGTTTGCATTCTAAACATTTCATCTTTGATTGCTGGCATCAAGAACTTTCCAATAAATCTGAACATCCTGCTGTCCAGAGCGTGAGACAAAAGGAATGAATCACAGACTACAGCGGCAGAAGGAATTTAAACTCTTATATTACTGAAGGTCCAAGTACGTCTTACTACTGGCTCAACTTCACTGGAATAAATCAAAAGCAGCAATGTGTTTCTGATTATCCACAAAAAGAGCATGAAATGGTTAATTCCACAAGGCTAAAACTCATGTTTGGATGTAAGGGTTTTCTCGAGTGCCAAGAACATCCAGCAGTGGGTACTTCTGTCAAGTCCAGTTGCATGGTTTCTTTATGGCAACAAGTTATGTCTACAAAATAATAATAATAAATCAGACATTCCCCTTCATTGCTTCCTAAAACAAAGCTTGATGGAATAATGCCAAGGACAATGGGATTAAAAGGAAAAGACATTCAGTGACTACTTCCCTCATCAAACGATTCCACTCCTGAATCTGAGGCCGCTGCACTAATTTTTTCTTGTCGTCGTCTCATGATTTCCTGGAGTTCTGAGCTACCATTGTTAGCCTAAAAATGAAAAGAAGAAAACAAATTTAATTTGTGGTTCTAGCAACAGGATGAGGCTTTTCAGCCAAGATTTTAATAAGACAGACAGACGGCTTAACGTTAGGTCTTCAGTCCACATTTAGGCCTAAATGTGGCCTAAAGAGGCCCATTCAGGACAGCACTTAAGTGATGTCCTACATAGTGAGGAACTTAACTATATGCTTAAATGCTTTCCTGAATGAGGGCTGTAGGCTTCTAAATAAGTTCAGCCTGATTTCCAGTACTGCTGAGCATCCTCAGCTCTCTCTGGATGTCAACGAAAGTTATTCAGGACTCGGGGATGAAACCCCGACCTCAATGGGGCCAGGATTTCATCCTTTTAGGAGCTTAAGGCCTCAATCCTGCAACCATCTGTTTAATTTTACATGCACAGTGCCACTGAAGTCAATGGCCATCAACAAGTTTAGGTCTGAAATTAAGATCAAGGTCTCTAACCATCAGAGGAGTGAATTTCAGAAACAGCCTTATAAGGGGAGCAGTGGGGGGCAAAAAACCTAACTGGCTTCAAGCCTGAACTGGATAAGTTTATGGAGAGGATGGTATGATGAGACTGCCTACAATGGCAGGTAGCCAATCTGCAACATCTAGCAGCAAATATCTCCAACGGCCGGTGATGGGACACTAGATGGGGAGGACTCCGAGTTACTACAGAGAATTCTTTCCCAGGTGTCTGGCTGGTGGGTCTTGCCCACAGGCTCAGGGTCTAACTGATCTCCATATTTGGAGTTGGGAAGGCATTTTCCTCCAGGTCAGATTGGCAGAGACCCTGAGGGCTTTTCGTCTTCCTCTGCAGCCTGGGGCAGGTTTAAACTAGTATAAATGGTGGATTTTTGGTAACTTGATGTTTTTAAACCATGATCTGAGGACTTCAGTATCTCAGCTAGAGGTTATGGGTCTGTTACAGGAGTGGGTGAGTGAGGTTCTCTGGCCTGCAATGTGCAGGAGATCAGACTAGATGATCATAGTGGTCCCTTCAAACCATAAAGTCTATGCATACGTGTAAAGTTGAACACACACAAGTGTCTGCAGGATTGGAACCTAAATATGGATTTAGGAGCCCCACTTTATTTACCCATTTTACCTGCTGTATAAACATTTTAACACATGGATTTAGCACTTATGACAGTGCAGTTTCGACTGATCCATGTCATCTAACCAACCCAAATAATGTTGCCTGAAAAGAAATGTCGGTGAAGTTAAAAAATTATGTTCTTACCATTCTACATTTCTGGAGAAACTAGAGCAAATCTCTGTTTTTCTCTTCTGCGTACAGACCATTTGGTAATTTGAATGAAGTCATTAGTATGCAAGTATACATGCTAATTATATTGGAAACTTCTACACTGTATATTACTTTGAATAAGATTAGTAGATTATACAGTTGGATATCAACCCACTATTTATCTAGCTGTATAACAAAATTACCTTAAGAACTAGTTTCAGAGTAGCAGCCGTGTTAGTATGTTTCCCAAAAAGAAAAAAAGAGTACTTGTGGCATCTTAGAGACTAACAAATTTATTTGAGCATAAGGTTTCGTGAGCTACAGCTCACTTCATCGGATGCATGCAGTGGAAAATACAGTGGGGAGATTTTATATACACAGAGAACATGAAACAATGGGTGTTACTGTACACACTGTAACAAGAGTGATCAGGTAAGGTGAGCTATTACCAGCAGGAAAGCGCGGGGGTGGGAGGGGGCTTTTGTAGTGATAATCAAGGTGGGCCATTTCCAGCAGTTGACAAGAATGTGTGAGGAACAGTGTGTGGGGGGGTGTATGTGAATAAATATGGGGAAATAGTTTTACTTTGTGTAATGACACATCCACTCCCAGTCTTTATTCAAGCCTAAGTTAATTGTATCCAGTTTGCAAATTAATTCCAATTCAGCAGTCTCTCGTTGGAGTCTGTTTTTAAAGTTTTTTTGTTGAAGAATTGCCAAGCTCATCCTTCAGGATAGGTTGCAGATCCTCGATGACGCGTTGGAGAGGTTTTAGTTGGGGGCTGAAGGTGATGGCTAGTGGCGTTCTGTTATTTTCTTTGTTGGGCCTGTCCTGTAGTAGGTAACTTCTGGGTACTCTTCTGGCTCTGTCAATCTGTTTCTTCACTTCAGCAGGTGGGTATTATAGTTGTAAGAATGCTTGACAGAGATCTTGTAGGTGTTTGTCTCTGTGTGAGGGGTTGGAGCAAATGCGGTTGTATCGTAGAGCGTGGCTGTAGACATTAGGGGATCGTAATGTAAAGTTGAACACACCCCTACTGTTCCTCACACGTTCTTGTCAACTGCTGGAATCCTAGACCCTAATGCCCCTTCTCTACTTGCGCTACATTGATGACATCTTCATCATCTGGACCCATGGAAAAAAAGTCCTTGAGGAATTCCACCATGATTTCAACATTTTCTATCCCACCATCAACCTCAGCCTGGACCAGTCCACACAAGAGATCCACTTCCTGGACACTACGGTGCTAATAAGCGATGGTTACATAAACACCACCCTACACCGGAAACCTACTGACCGCTATGCTTACCTACATGCCTCCAGCTTTCATCCAGACCACAACACATGATCCATTGTCTACAGCCAAGCTCTACGATACAACCGCATTTGCTCCAGAAGAGTACAAGAGTACCCAGAAGTTACCTACTACAGGACAGGCCTTGCATCTGATGAAGTGAGCTGTAGCTCACGAAAGCTTATGCTCAAATAAATTTGTTAGTCTCTAAGGTGCCACAAGTCCTCCTTTTCTCCTTAAGAACTAGGAGAATCTTAATCTTCCTCATCACGGATAGGAAGTCTGCATCATATGAGGCTAGCAACAGTTTCCTTATGCAAAGGATAGGTAAACAATTCTTCAATTGGTTCTTAATTACAGCTCTTTACAATTTATGCCAAGTTAGACTGATTACAGGGTATTATCCAATAAACTATTTTGCATGAGCTAACTGCTGGGCAACATGATGTGCAGATTAGAAAAATCAGGCATTTTCCATTCGGGGAGGATGGTGGGGTGTCTAATTCTTCTATTTAGGCACACTGACCCCTTGAAGTATTTGTTACCCTGACACTGGGCAGAAAGCCACCAGGGAGCTGTGATCAGCACCTCTTTCTCCACAGTGCTTAAGTTTTGTACAGGCACAGCTGAGAGTTGAACTCAAAGTGATTTGCCTAAAGTCACTCAAGGAGTCTGTAGCAAAGCCACAAACAAAACCCAGATCTCACAACTCCAGGCACTTTGCTTGGGGCAGAGAGCCATTCTTTTTACAGCACGCTGCTCAAGAACAGCAATTATGCTTTCCATTCTTTAGATTTTTTTTTATTTAAAAACAAATAGGAAAAAAATTGATTCAATGTAACAAATTTTGTAAGAAACCATTTATTTCCCCCGAGGGAGAAAATAATCCAAGACACCTTCTTCTCCTCGATTTTCACTCTCTTTAGACCATGTTTATGTGGTGGCCACAGAAAGCCTTAACATTTGTTGCTTTCTCTTCCACGTTTGAATTCCGGTTTAATTCAAAAGAGAGAATGAAGGATTTTCAGCTCACTCAGCAGTGGAGGACTGATCAAAAAAAGCTCAGCAGAAGATAAAGCAAGACAGACATTTAAATTGTTGCACTTAGCATATTATTTTTCCTGCGGGTACAACTACTGAATTACAGTAGCCTAAGTTTAAGGCATTAGTTCACTGCTTAACTGAAGAATTAGTCATTATGCAGAGGTGGATTAAGGCTGGTTCCCTGGATCTGGGGCACAGATTTGGGAGCGCCCCTGCATCACAGAAAGGACACAGATCAAGGAGCAAGCTTAGGACAAGCATGGAGAGGAATTTGTTTGGGTGGATCCAGACTTAGTCCAGCATGGGATGTTATTTGTACCTGCACTGACTTAAGAGTCAGTCAATTCCTCTGATACACAGGTCACAAGTATTAGACACAGGATGCAAAATCTAGAGTACATGGAATCTAATCATCTGTTCTATATATTAGCTAGATCTGTATGGGTAAACTCATAACCCAATGGCTAGTCAGACATTTATAAAAAAGAGTTAATTGTGCTTAGATAATCTGTATGTCATGGGTTACACTGGTTTAACAATTTTACATGGCTCTATGAACTATTATTTGAATTGCTTCCAGTTTGAGTGATAACATTTATTATCTTTTAAGAACAAAACAGCTCATTTTTGTTAGCTGGTGTACAGATAATGTTTCAGAAATGGCCACTGCCATTCAACTGCAAACAGACTTGCTTTCTGCAATTTACGTAAGAACATGCTCTTGGAGGCAGGACAGACAAGCACAGAAAAAAAACATGCTCCTTCAGTGTGTTCAGATGTTCCCAGTAAGACATCAGTAGAGGGGTTAAAGCATCACATCGTCCCAAAAAAAAAAAAAAGATTACTTTTAATTTAATAAGTTAAAAGTCAAATGATAAAGTGGAGACTGAATTTTAATTAAGACTTACAGAAACCAACAAAAAAGATCAACCTCCTTGTTAAACTTCCAATACCTGCATATTAACATTTGCAGATAATCTTAATAGACAAGCCTTGACCACTCAAATTCCCGCAGAATGAAGAAACAACCGAAACCAAAGCCAAGCAAAAAAAGCCCAAAACACAGAGGGAGAATGAGACTTCTACTAACCTGATACATGTTCAATTTTCAAATTAACTTCCATTGAACACAAGAATATTTTCCTAGCTATTTGCAACAATAAAGACGACATCTGCTTATAGTGCATGTCCACAGTTAATTTAATACCCTATAGGACACCACCATGCCCTTTGACAGTATAACTATTAACAGGGGGATTCCTTTCACAATCAGTGTTTAAGTCTCCTGTTTCCTTGACTGCCTCCATCAAACTAGTATTGTACCCACTTTGTAACAACTGTGAGGTGTGTGGATGTCTACAGGTGTGTTATTCATATGCCAAGTGTCTGAATCATCTTGTGTAATAAACATGATATTTTAAAGCTGGGTACGTTTCCTTAGAGGATGATTTCCAAAACATATTGACATTAAAAAAGGCATAGTAAAAGTAAATGTGGGTATAATTCATTTTAAGTAACTTATTCCCTCCCATATACATCCAAGTGGTTCAGACTGGGGGATTTGTTATTTTCTAATAAAAGTATAGAAGCTATAGGCAAAGTAAGTAAAACACAGAAATATAATACATGTAATGAGCAAGGCATTCTGCCAGTATAGTCATTCTGGCTGTGGTCATTTTCAAGTGCTGGATTGAGGGTGAAAGACTAAAATTACATAGAGTAGCAACAGTGCCTACTTGCCAATACTGCCCAGCTAATTTGCCTCAATCCTGAACTGGACAGTTCACCGCTTTCAGGTTTATATTTGGTCTCCACAGCTCATTCTGTTGTTTGCTTCTCTGCTGAGACTGCCTCCCACGGTGCCAGCATTGGTAGTGGCATGCATGGCTCTGGTGATTGGTAAAGGAACATTTCACCTCAAGTTTACCAATTCAAACAAGATGACCAAGATAGAGATTGGAAGTCATTACTATCCGATGGATGTTTGGTTTCCTATGCCAAATGAGCTGGTGGTATCAATCCAATCCAAGAGAAACAGGTGTCACTGGACTTGATTTTCTAAAGTGCTGAGCACCCACAACTCTAACAGATAGGAATGCTTAGCACATCCGAAAACAGAGATGCAGCACACAGGACTGGTAATGACCTGCTGGGTCATCGAATCCAGTCCCCTGCTACTGTAGGCAACCCCATCATGTAAACCTGCTCATAAATTTATCAAGCTCCATCTTAAAACTAGTTAGGTTGTTTGCCCCCTTTACTCCTATTGGAAGGCTGTTCCAGAACTTCACTCCTCTAGTGGTAAGAAACCTTCTTCTAATTTCCCATCTAAATTTATTCATGGGGTCTTCTATCACAAAAAGCTGTGGTAGATGTCAAGCTTTATAAAGTTACAAATCATGGGGGAGTAAGGGAGGGGAGGGGATGTGTATAAACACACACAAATGTCAATCAATAATTACTTATGATTCTCCACAGTGATCTGATAGCCCTTATTCACCACCATTACCACGTTTCTTAATCTTCAACTGATCCCTTCTAAGAAGGAATACATTCTTGATTATCTATGCAAAATGGCTGGCTATAAGCACACATTACCATTACTACAAAATGCACCAAGTCTGTCTGTCCTTCCAAACACTGACCCACTAGTGGGTGGAATGTAATGGTGGGGAGAGTGCAGAAAGGGAGAATTTCAGTCTGTAATGGCTCCAGCCTGCTAGAGCAGTGGCTCTCAACCTTTCCAGACTACTGTACCCCATTCAGGAGTCTGATTGGTCTTGCATAGTCTCAAGTTTCACCTCACTTAAAAACTACTTGCCAACAAAATCAGACATAAAAATACCAAGTGTCACAGCACACTATTACTGAAACATTGCTTATTTTCTCATTTTTGCCATATAATTATAAAATAAATTAATTGGAGTATAAATATTGTACTTACATTTCAGTGTATAGTATATAGAGCAGTATAACCAAGTTATTGTATGAAATTTTAGTTCGTACTGACTTTGCTAGTGCTTTTAATGTAGCCTGTTGTAAAACAAGGCAAATATCTAGATGGGTTGATGTATCACTCAGAAGACCTCTGTGTACTCATAGGTGTACACATATCTCTGGTTGAGAACCACTGTACTAGAGGATGGGGAGAAAAGGAAGAGGAAGGTAGCAGAGAACAGGAGAGAAGGACAAAATGAGGAGGAATCACCTCTGATTTTACAGTCAGAAGAATACAGGAATTGCCATATTGGATCAGACCATCTAACCTCTGATAATGGTCAGCATCCAAATGCCCCAGAGGAAGGCATAAGAACTCTAACAGTAGGTGTAGGATAATCTGACCCCTGAAAATCTCATCCTAACTGCTAATGATTAGAGACTGGAAACCCTACCAACCTAAGAATTTTTCATGGTTACCAGCTACTATGCACCATTTTGAGAAGAGGGGTTAGACATACCTCTAATGCAGCTTTCTGTACAGTAATTTGGCTGTAGACTCTAGACCCTTCAGGACAAACAGTCTTTAATTCATCCTTATTGAGAGAGAAAAGCTGAGCCCCCGTCAGCACTCCAAGGCTATTGACAGTCCTAAAAAAGGCAGAGCAGAGAGTGAACATCATAAGATTTTATAGTTCTGTGAGAAGCAAAATAAAAATAAATAAAAATCTACCACTTGGGAGAGAAACATGAGCCATTTTCTCCCCAAATTATCCCAAATAGGATTATTAAATTAAGACAAAAGCTTTACATGCTGAAGTACTCAACATTAGTACCTAAAAACTGGTCAAATCCACTTATATTTTCCTTGACTTTGCAAGGGGCTGAGTGTCCTTACCACCCATTAAAGTGGAACCCTATAGTAAAAAATCAGCGCCTTGCAGTGCTCGGCCCATTTTGGGTGAAATTAGTTTCTAATTTTGAAGATGAGATTTACAGGTTACTAGGATGGAAGTCAGTCACCAACAGCAGGGTGCAATCTGATCTCCTTTTGTTAGAATCAGCGTAAAAGTGGACAACATTTTCAAGAGTGACTTGTGGTTCTGCGTGCCTCAATATTTTGGGGGCTTAATTTAAGACCTCTTATTAAAAGGGGAATGGATTTTCAGAGGGCGAGTGCTCAGCACTTTCTGAAAACCAGACTGCTGGAAAACACCACAAGTTAGGCAGTCAAAATCCTAGTCTCTTTTGAAAAATTGTAGTTTATTTCCCTTTATATTCTGAAATAAGTGTTTCCCCAAGTTCATCCTCAGACTTACACTGGGCTGAATCCTTTTGACTCCAACCACATTTTCACATCCTCAGCAGAGGAATCATAAGTGATATTAACTACTGGTACATTTGGTCGTGGCACATGGAACTTTTTCTGGGCAGCACTCCGGCCAATGGTAAGCCTGTGAATAAGCTCATCCTGTACCTCCTCCATCTGAGATTTCCTACCTAAAAAGAGAGAGAAAAAAGATGAACACAACAGGGAATCTATTTTAAGGCTTTTTAAAAGATGCTTTTGGGAAAAAAGCATGTTTGTTCTTAGTACCACCACGCTCCATTTTTAAAATAAAAAAAGCATTCACTAGAGAGGGTCAAAAATACTTTTTTCTACTCCATGGAAAATTTTGACAAAAATGAAAAAAAAAAATCACTTTTGTTTAATTTTCCACAGAATAGTTTTTTTCTGCAAAAATTTCAGCCAAAAACCTAAAAGAGGGCCGGGGGGAGAGACCTTGCTGCTGCAGGGGAGGTGTAAGAGCCCAGGCTGTAAATGAGAAGGGGCACGAACCTGCAGTAGCTGAACAATTCCTATAAGGCACTATGGCAGCAATTCCAAATCAACATACTTTGGTTTGGGGCCATTTAATTTTCTGACAAAACATTGACATTTGCTGTGTGAAACAGACACTTTGGGGGGAAGGGGGGGAGGACAATTTTTCTGTTGAAACACAGTTCAGACGGAAAAGTTTTGACCATCCCTAGGGTTCACTGCATTCCTTCTGCAAGTGACTGTCACTATTTGAATCCACTTTCCCAATGCGTGTTTTGGAGAAGAGGTAAATACAAACTATAAGACAGAGCAAAATAGTGGTTTGTTTCTGTTTATTTTAAATGGTATCACTGCTGAAATTTTTAGGGGTATTTAGTGAATCTTACTGAGATACTGGTGCTTAGGGTCATTGGAAATTAGCATGAAATTTACCAAATTCTCTAGCTTTCCACCCAACAAAATTTTGCTTCTCTGAAGCTTCCAGCATTGGCCTCAAGCGTACAGCTAGCTGAACCAGATGTGCACTGGGTCAATTCTGTAACGGAAATTTGTACATCTCTGGAAGGCTATATGCTTCGGCTGGGAACACTAACTCAGAACACAGCCTCAGAGGAAGGAAGTATTGCAATTATTCTCTAAGGACTGAAGACCTGCCTCATGCTTATGAGCCAGCATCTCTGTTGTCCTTTAAGTGACAAATCACTTATTCCGATAGATGCAGAAACTGACAAACTGTCCCCAAAATGAAACTGTAGATCTAGTTCATAGTATAGGTGCAATATTACCTTGTGGCAACAATGACAGCTAATGCAGAGAAAGGCTTAACTCTGAGGTATTTTCATTGCTGAAGTAATATTTCTGCAGGATACTGTATCCATATCCTTTTGGCCCCATTAGTTAATGGCTAAATTAGTTCTTAGAGCTTCTCTTTAAATAGTCAGTCTCTTCCAGAAGGAAAGGACATAATGGGCCACAGTGAAGTTAAGTTCAAAGTGCACTACAGTTTGTCTCAACAGGTCAAGCGAAAGATGCCTTATTGATTTAGCTCTGCAGACTCAGAAATGTGTTTATTCAGAACATGGAAGGGAGAGCTATCTCAGAGAACTAAACATGGGTATTAATTAGTACAACTTTACCAGAAATGTTGCTAGGATTTTTTGCCATGCCAGAGAGGAAAAAAAGGGAAGAGCTGTCAACCCACAAACAGCCAAATCACTCAAGATCTTATTTCAATATCATCTTTTCAGCTTGTAACAGTTACTTGTAAACTAGAGACAACATAGGTGAAGTTGTATCTTTTATTGGGCCAACTTCTGCTGGCGGAAGATACAAGCTTTCAAACTACCCCGAGCTCTTCTTCAGTTCTGGGGAAAGAAATCAGAGTGTCTGATTTCTAAACTACGCTATTAAAGTGCTGGTTTTAGGCATATGTAAAACTGCTAAATTATTGGAATTATGTTACTATAAAAACCCTTCTGATTCGAGGGGTACACAGTAAGGGACACAGCAGTAGTCATTAGAAATGCCATTGACGACACTGTTTTGGGCAGAACTTGAGAGAACAAGGTTGCCAACCTCTTTCCTTCTCTCTTCCTTGATTACCAGGGAGCTCTTGTTAAAGAGCTGCCATAATTTCAGGCCATGTACTCTCAGTCAAGCCAGGAAAGTATAAGAAATTAATGCCTTGCTTGTTCTTCTTCAGTTTTAGCCTCTGCCTCCTGTCACAGAGCCTCAAGTGCTTGCTAAATGCTGAAAACAAGGACAGCAGCAAGCATGTGCATTAAAGGGTAACTTTTCCCAGAATACTAGCATGGCACTCCGCATGCTGAAATCCACTGCTGTATATCTGAACACAAACATACATCAAGACTGATACTAAATTATTATTTCAAATATATCACAATCACTTTTATAATGTTTTCTATTCAAAAAGGACTCCAAAGGCTTTCCCAAAATAACACATAAGGATCACATTTTTCTACCGCTAATATACAGCTACCTCTGGGGTTGGAGATAATAGTTGTTGTACAGTTCAGGTCAGGATATGAAGAACAACATATTCAATTGAAATGAAAGAACATATATGTAGGCATAATATAATTAACTGAATTGAAATTTGGCTGTGACAGCAAGGTTAGACACAGGAAGGATGGTGGTGCAGTTGTTAGGATGCTAATCTGGAATTTAGGAAAGCCTAGTTCAGTTCCTGTTTCTGCCACAGACTTCTGGTGTGACCATGGGCAAATTAGTCTTGCTGTCCCTGAGTTCCCCATCTGTAAAATGGGTGATAACAGCACATCCCTACCTCACAGGGGTGTTGTGAGGACAAATACACTAAGGATTGTGAGACATTCTGATACTACGGAAATGGGCATCATATAAGTATTGATGTTACGTCTACACTTACGGCAGCGTGTACAGAACAGACACAGCACACCCAGCTAGCCTGGGTATAAACAGCAGTGTAGACGGTGAGACATGACTTAGGCGAGGAGCATGATCTACATGGCTCTCTCCACACCCGAGCAGTGCTTCTCACATCTGGGCTGCTATTTTTAGTATCCCACTGCCTCCCTGCTGCCAGAGCCTTTCCCCACCACAGTGAAAGGCTCTGGTGGCGAGGGGAGGTGGCAGGGGAAGACATTGAGGAAAGACTGGTGCTACCAGAGCCTTTCCCTGCACCTCCCCCCACCAGACCCTTTCCTCACTGCCTCCTCAGTGCCAGGGCCTTTCCCCTAATGCCTGCCTACTACTGCAGACCTTCCCCATTGCCACAGCCTTTCACTGCAGCGTGTAGATCCACAACACAGTGACAACTGTGTATGCAGCCTGCCTTTCACTGTGGCACGTAGCTACATGTGTAAGCGTAGAAGTAGCCTGTAACACACAGACAGTTTAACACCCTTTTGCAATAAGTGTCATGAGGTCTTTAATTATATGAAGTGACCTTAGTTTTGTCTCATCTGAAAGACAGTATCTCCACCACTGCTCCTTATCATATTATAGCATCAGGCTACTACACATTAGGAGGCAGAATCCCCAATCACCACTTCTTGCAGCTACTACTTGAGCTACTTTCCTCAGACGACTTTCATTCAAGTACCTGCTTAGCTTGGGTTATTGGACAGGTTCACTGCACTAGGTGACATGGAAAGATCATTTTTTAAAAAAGTTATGGTAAAAGCCAGATATCAAATGACAACATGAAAAGTGTGATTTTTAAAATGTTACAATGGATGGAAATGGCAGGAAAATAGCTTTTCTGGCCATTTTGAAGAAACTTACGATCCACAGGAAGTTGTTTGTGTCTCTGGTTGTCGCGCATAATGGTACCGCTGCTCTCACTAGAGGTGCTGCTTTGGCGGCTAATGGTTCCTGGTGCTTTTGGCAAAGGAACTGGAATAGGTGCTGGTGCACTAGGAGGGAGAGGGACAGGAACTGGAGCTGGTGTCAGAGGTGGAGATGGAGCAGGAGGACTGGGATCGGGTTGTTTCAGAACATAATCCATCCTTTGTTTCTGAAGAGATGCAAACACATAATTAGCTTTGCACAGTAAAATCCCTCAGTGTTCAAAAGCCAAACCTTCTGCAGGAAAGCACCTGGGTACGTTGCAGTCAGCAATCTCAATTCATCCCAGAAAGGCATGCTACTTGTCAGATATACAGCTGCACTTTCCCAAAAACTTACTTTGCCATCAATATTCTCAATGTTGTCAGTCTTTCCATCTGTCTTACTATTTAGGATAAACTCTGATTATCCCAACACCATCACCAACATCTCCTTTCTCCAGTGCCACAGTTGGGTAAGAGGGCCAAACTTATGAGCAGATTCCATCCACATCTGTTTTGAGTTGCCTGCATGGTTTTATATATACCCTGTCTCATTAGATGTCCATGGCCTCTCTCGCCATGCACTCTTCCATAGAGAACGTTTTAGGCAGTTGGCATGGTGCCATCCCAATATTGATTATACAGAACTCATTTCTTTCCTCCAAATATAAAATTTGTCTAAAATTAGTTTTTTAAATCCAGAACTCCTGTTATGTGAAGGTTTTGAGTGGCCTCTTAGACATATGAATATCTGGAGTTTACCTGATTAAACATGTACGAGAGCTAGGTAAACGAAAATCCTAGGTCCAAACATACCCAAGCCTTGGGAAAGTTTGCCTTTAATCTGCACTTTGCTGTTGACTCCTATGTTTGCAGCAGCCCAAGCCAAAACCCCACATCTAGCAGTGATCATTATGACTACCTAGTCTGACCTTCTGCATAAACATAGGCCATAACTTTCACCAAGTGATTCCTATACCTACCTGGAGCTGGATGAATAGTGGATTTTTTGGTTCATTGGCAATCTGGGGGAGTGGGGAGGAAGTCATTTCCAACTGAACCAAAAATTACATTTTTCGAAATTGTCAGGAAGTTTTTTTTAAAAGAAGTTTTGTTTTAGGCCCAATGAAAAGTTTCACTCAACTCAAAATGAAACCTTTTGTTTTGATTCTGTGCATTTTTAATATTTTGTAGGTTTTTTTATGAATAAAATTTAAGGAAATTTTGAACTGAAAAGTTGTTTTGAATAAAAAACATCAAAAGGTTTAATTTCAAACATGTCAAACCAAAACATTTCAATTTTTCAGATTTTTGGGGTGTTTTTCCTCAAAACAAACAATTCAGCAAAATTGACATCTGCAAAAACATTTTGGTGTCACTGAAGGTCTATTTTTTCACTGAAAAAAAGTTAGGGAAGAAAAAAGTCATCCAGCTGTACATCCACCCCCACAACTTCTGGTTAGTAAATATCTTTCGGAAAGACATCTAAACATCCCTAAACTTTGACAAAGCATGGGCCCAGATCTGAACTTTGCAGTTCAGCCTGCCTCAGTCTGAACAAGTTTAACTACAGAACAATGTGCACGTCACATGTTTTCTCTGGAGACTCACAGGAAAAAAGCTTCACATCACACATTCTTGTAGGCAAAAACTCATATCTGTATTTAAACAACTCCGCATTTCTACCGTGTTTTCAACTGTGTTATGATTTAAGTCTGTTTCTTTAACACAGTGATGCCTTCGTGGGTGTTTGTTACAATTTTGCCATCGAACTGTAGGGAAGCGTTGCGGTTATTTTCCTGCCTCTTTGTGTTGATCCACCTCCCACAATATGCTACATCAACTCTTGCAGCTGTGATGTATTATTTGGCTCAAAAACAATTTTGAGAAGCAATTTATTTTTTAGAATGTATCAGATTATACTAAACGGCAAGTATTTTCCAAAAGGGTTTGCAGAAAAGATACATTTAGATACTCATACAAAATTAGGGTTGCCCCCTTTCTAATGGGACCCCTGAGACCCCGCTCCTGCTCTGCCTCTTCTCCCAAGGCCCCGCCCCCTGCTCCACCTCTCCCCACCCAGACGAAAACCTGGACATCAGGGGTTGTCAAATGGCACCCAGACACACAAGCCAAAACGCCAACTGCCTGGGTGAAAACCGGATGGGTAGCAATCCTATACAAAATCTACATTGCCACGTCCCCTGCAAATTGTACAAGCTGAATAATGCAGTATGCTAGTGATATACGCCGAACAGTTTGCAGGCGCAAAGTATCGACATTTCTAGCGGTATATCTTAATATAAAGTAGCGAAGACTTCTTTCTTCGTCATGAGAAGTTGTTTTATTTTTAGCGGGCAAAACAAATGAGTAAACTCCCCAGGCCTCAATCCTTCCTGGAACACACATCTCCATCCCCCCAGGACAGGTGGGTTTATCACAGATTAAGTAGGGAAATCTTTGTGGAAACCATGTGTTAAAATATTAGCACACATCAGTGCCTTAACAATATTTGAACATTCGACTTTTCATTCATTTTAACCAGCTGCTCCTATGCGTGAATGCCAAAACGGAGAAATTTAACCCAAAAATGTACAGACCCAGATCTGGAGAGAGTGCAAATTGGTTTAGCTCCAGCAGAGTTATGCTGATTTACAACAGCTCAGAATCTGTCCTATTGGTTTCAAAGCTAATAGATTAAACTGAGAAATGCTCCTCTATTTCTCTGTTGCGTTATTTATAGCGGTCAGTTATTAAATTAACAGATCTTCCTAAATATGTTCCCCATAAAAGATTTTTACTTTGTTTCATGCAATTTTATTGGTTAATATATTACCTTACAATTATTTTTTGTTTGGTTTGTGTAATCCAATGTGGGAAGCTTACAGGAATCATATGCTTGACATTAATTGTGCTATAGCATTGGATGTGATGCCAATAATTGCCTTTAAAAATATAACAATCACCACAAAAGTGGAATACGAATATGAAAGAACAAACTGCCTGAATAATGTATACCCCAGAAAGCTACTCTTTAAGTGAAACATGAGGTGGCAAATTAATACATCAACAGATGAGTTAATGAGTTTAAGAACTTTATAAGTATCGGTGTAAAATGTTTTAATGAAATTCAAAAATAATTAAATTACGCTGACAGATTTAAAAATGCCAAACTGCTATCCCCACAATGTGATTCATATTTTCTTTTAACACAGGGGGGAAAAGCATTACTAGTTTGATGAGACTGAATGGTTCACTAAAAAGCAAAACATCAACTTTCATCACAACCACAATCAAACCCCAAAGCAGGATTACTAAATACCAGATATAACTCTTATTTGACATCCCTGGACAATTTCATTGTCAAACGAGACATCCCACAAGTGCTATGCCCATAGAAGAGAGCAACTATCAGTTTCATATTTGCAAAGAAAACATAATCCAACAGGGGAAACCATTCAAGTTCTACATTTATAAGTGGAACTACATAAAACGTAGTCCAAAATTTGTGCAATCATGTGCTAAAGCCAATTGTGTACTGAAACTGAGTTTACTCAATTTAAAAAAAAAAAAAATTGAAGTATTTTGAAGACCTCTTCAACTCATTCATCGGGTTAATCTTCATTTATCACTATGAAAGAAACAAGTATGCACTACGGAATTTTTGAAACAATGCAACCCAAAAGATTCAGCCTACAAAGAGACATTTTAGAAAGTCAGTAACATATAATAGCAATTTGTGTTACCTCTGAAAGCTCTCCCAGTAATTGCTGTGAGGAAAATGGAGTAAATTACATCACATGAGATTGTTAGCACAATATTGGAACTTCAACCACATCAGCTATTTTAAAAAAGACATTAGTGGCATTAATTAGCTTTTGATACCAATGACTGCATACCAGTCCCACTAACTTTATCAGCTATCTTTATTATTTTTTTCTTTAGAATTGCAGGTGAAAAATTGGTCACCTAACATACATATATGAAACCAAATGTATGGTGACTAGTACTTATCTAATATATATTTTCACACTTCACATCCAAACAAACAGACATTAAAACAGGTGGTAAGAAACCTACACTGAAATAGACAAAGATTCAGAAATTACATCTAGGGAATACTTACTAATTTTGAACAGTGGACTATTATTCATTTTCATATTCATTCTTAGTTAAACCATTTGGGTATTGCATCAGACCTGCCAGGGCTTTTTAAAAAGGGATACATTTGAAAAGGATGTGTAACCTAGAAACTGGGGTCAATGGGACTATTCAAATAGTTAAAATAAACCACATGCATAAGTACTTTGCTGGATCATGGCCAGAATGCTTAGCACTTTGCTGGCTCAAGCCCTAGTTTTCCAGAGAATCATGAGCCAGATCCTCCACTGATACAGACGGATAGCTCTCCATTAGTTTGCATACACTGAAGATCTGGCCCCATGTATTTCAGAAAAGCTTGTTGGTACTGGAGTTAGTTTATTTCAGGAAAACTTTGTATTTTACATTAAAAGGAAAGGTCTCAAAAAGGCCTCATCATGATGCAGGCTACTTTGTCAAGAATCTTGGTTTAGCACCATTTGTTTTAATCTTTCCTCAGACACATTTTCCAGTACAATAACTTATTTATACAAGCAATGAAGATCCCAACTCCACTTCTTGATCATTGCCAGAACACCAAATATGAAAGCATCATATTTTCTATGTATATTTTGGCCATGTTCATCAACAAAACAGAATATAGATCATGTTCAAACCATGACATATATATAGCCAAGTTTATGTACAAGCTCACCTCCCCAAACACTTAACTTCAGTCTAAAAAGTCAACAGAAATACAAGTCCTTGTGGACCTATACATTGCACTAAGAAACACCCTTCTGTCTCTATTTATAATACTTTATCACTTATACTGGTCAGTTATTCAAGTAACTAATCTTCCTAAATATGTTCTTCGTGTAAGATGAAGTGTTAACACCACTCATGTCACTGCGGCTGCACTGTCAGACAAGAAAAAAAAAAGGAAATATAGCCCTTTCTCCAGATAACTGAGATACTGCAATTTATTAGTGTGTATGTCTGTACACACACACTTAATATTCACTTAAGGCCAAATTCCACTTTATAATACTTGCAAATGTCTCCCATTGAAATAGCAAGATCCAGGCTTAAAATCAAGACCAGAATT